ATTTTGCATCTGGAAATTGCTGGCCTGAAATGTTTGTAAAAAAATGTCTTATTGTGTGACACCCCTTGTTATATGTATATCAATGAATAGGAGGCCATTTTGGAAAAGATGGCCGTAACGACCACCAGGGGGAGCTGCTGAGGTGGATCCACATCCCAAAATAATCAGTAGGGTTGATGCCATCTATGTGCGAAGTTTCATGCTTTTAACCCAAAGTGCACGATTTTTTGCTTAACCGCCCCACTTAATATAGGAGACCATGATTTTACATCCAAAATAATCCCCCATTTCGAATTTGGCCCCTTAGCGGAATTAGTCTGCACTTTTGGAAGGGATTCCAAAGCTCATTGGTTTCGGCGGGTCGAATTCTTATTCAAATCGAGGTCCTAGAGAATTTGTCACGAATTTTAACCAACTAAATAACTTAACAAGGTCCCATGGCGGCCCAAGAATGCCAGTGAGGTATCATCCGGATTCTGAATCTAGATGTTATATTAAGATGGCCGTAACGACCACCAGGGGGAGCTGCTGAGGTGGATCCACATCCCAAAATAATCAGTAGGGTTGATGCCATCTATGTGCGAAGTTTCATGCTTTTAACCCAAAGTGCACGATTTTTTGCTTAACCGCCCCACTAATATAGGAGACCATGATTTTACCGCCAAAATAATCGCCCATTTCGAATTTGGCCCCTTAGCAGAATTAGTCTGCACTTTTGGAAGGGATTCCAAAGCTCATTGGTTTCGGCGGGTCGAATTCTTATTCAAATCGAGGTCCTAGAGAATTTGTCACGAATTTTAACCAACTAAATAACTTAACAAGGTCCCATGGCGGCCCAAGAATGCCAGTGGGGTATCATCCGGATTCTGAATCTAGATGTTATATTAAGATGTATAATTAATCAAAAAGCATTAGGTTTGTTGATCTGCTGCTGGACTATATGCTCTGATTAGATTATTGATACGTTCTCTTTTCTAATTGATTTTTTTTTTTACCATTTGAAACTTAATTGACCATTACATCATGTTGGAATGTAATTACATTTCCATTACTCTTAATTTTAAAATCATTAACTAATAATTACTTCAAACAATTTAATGATTACATTCCATTATCAATACCCATTAACCCAGCCCTGATAGAAGTTGGAGAGTTTTATGTGTATGAAAGTAAGGTAGAGCAACAAAACCTTAAGCTACAGGTGCATACAATTAAGACTTTAAATGCCCATTTCATATTATTTCGAAGAGAGTGTGGATACTGATTCTACAGCATTTTGTTTGATTAAACTTTACTGAACATCACTGCATAATAAGTTTTGTTTGGAACTAGTACGTCTGTAGATAAATGGTCAATCCAATGGCTCTCTTTATTCAGACAGGTTTATCCTTATATCTAAATGAATGGAATGGAGTTGGAACTTACTTTGATCATTTTCAGACAGAAATAATTTTCATGCTACTGCCAGGGGTTCCTTTTATTTTTTTCATTCCGACTAACATATGGTTCAATTTTATTTCAATAATTCACTTGCACGTTGAAGGAATAGGAATACAAGATTTGTGATCATCAATAAAAAATAAATCAACACCATTTTGCTAATTTTTTGTTATCAAACTTACATCTTTATTGTAAATGGTCTTCTCCAAAAAGACTTTTACATCAATTTAAACACTTGACACTCTGCGATTAACAATTCATTTCTTTTATACAAATAATGACAACAGACAACACCTTATGTAGAAGATATTGGATTTAGCATGTTTATAAGTGCTTTTAACTATCTATTGGTTCCAGGATTGATGGCATTGCTCTAGACTAGTTTTAAAAACCTGATTTGTGTCAAAGTCAAAGGTTTCTCAAGACACTGAATAAGAATTTACTCAAATTTGGCTGTTGGTATTACATATGTGCATTATCATACATGAACTAACACCCAGTATTTACTGCATTAATTAATAGATTTGAAAAAATAAACTACCATAATTAGAGGAGATGTAAACAATCCCTGTATACTTCAAATATTTAGACAATACATTAAATTCTGAAAACAATGACCAGACCAGAACGTATCCATATTACTTCATTTGAAAGTGTACTTCTTCATTAATGTTTGAGAAAGTTTGATTGCCTCCAGCCTGGAATATTCAACAAGTTTTACATGCGTATAATGTATAACGAGACCAAGGCTTATGATTCAGTCTTTTTCATTATGTTTTTGCAGTTTTGACTGTATACTCAACACAGTTAAATCAGAGAGCCTATTTTCTTAATCATCATCGATTACTATATTGTTTTCAAGGTAGCCACTGATTTACAGGTTAAAGCCACTGATCATCATTTGGGGGAACTTTACATCCCTTACACGCTACTATATTGTGAAAGTTGAATCTTTAAAAGGAAGATCAGTCCAAAAACGACTGAACATTATGAATAGAAAATTTGACATTAATTGTAGATAATATAAACAAGCTAGAGCCACCTATATATGTTGGCTAAAGTCTTTTGATGGGCCTCTTTTTTATCTGATTAAATCCAAGCCGGGAGATTATCTACAGCAGATTTTTGTTTTGGTTTTCTCTAAAGAATAATTAGATGTCCGAAAAATACAAATGGCAATCAATGACCTTTAACCATATGCCATATAACATATTAATTACTGATCACTCTACGTTGTTGTTTTACTTACACAAACTTCATACTTATACAATAACTAGTAACTTTCTACTCTACATTAAATAAAATATTACAATATTTAAAATATCCAATACTAAACATTCATAGAACTTGTTAATACAACAAACTCGTTACAATTAAATGTCTAATTTGTTTAGTTTTACTTCTGAATCAGTACTAGATTGACATGTGAGGTACTAGTTACATTGATATCTGAGATATTTCATTCTATATCTACATTTAGAACATGTAATTAATTGGCCAATCAAATTATTTGTAGTAATATTTGGGTCTGAGTATATAGTGGTCACATCAAATGCTGATTTTACTATTTGAATATTCTAAGTCATTATTCATATGCTTTTTGATTATTTGATTCAATGATATTTGTTTTATTTTTTTAAGATGCATTTTCAGATTTGAAGATACTTTTAATTTCTCAAATCAATGCATTTTCTTTTATTTTTTAAATATTAGTTGATTTCAATGGAGACAAAAAACAGATCAAATTTCGTTAGTTTAATTGATGTAGAATAACAAATAATTAAAAATCAGCTCAAATAGTCTTAAACAACTATTTAAAAATTGAATATTTGTGTGAGCGCTGTGAGTATTATCAAGGCTTGTGGGATATGAAACCCAAAGTAGACTAAAATAGTGGCTCCCATGTCAACAAATCAAGTATGGCATACCTGATTTAATCTTTCTTTGTTCTTTTTTAATGTAACAATCTTTAGTCTTCCACAATATGAGTAATAAAATCTGATATCTTTGAGTCAGCCAATCTGAAATACTTTCCGCGGAACATATATGTATGTAGGGTTGTTAGGCTATCAGACAGAACATGCCATTGATAAGATGTTATATTACAATATAGATTACAACAGTCAGAAGAAAAGTAGGAAACTAACATGTAATCTAATTTTAATTAGATTGATTTACACTACTACATATAACTTGGAACACAAAAATCTTCAAAATTCAGCTATTCTTAACAAATGAAAAGTAATATCTATAAAATATGACTGAAAACGTAAGCACACAAATATTTTCTTGAACATGTGAAGTAAAAACTGTCAAAAATATTAAATTTTAGTAATTTTATGATGAAACATTTACAAAATATATTACAACTATTATATACAGATGGGTCTACGAAATTAAAGAAAAATTAAATTCAAAGAATTAAAATATTTGTCTAAATGTATATCACAATTAATAATGAAATTGGTCCACTAAAAACAAAAAGCAGTTAATTAAACAGGAACTATGCTTACATACAGGATGAAAAAAAATACAACAATGTTTTAAGCTACCCAAACAAAAATTCTATTTTTCAACAACTGATATTGTCATAATCTTAAATAATCTTTCATGAACGATTCTAAATCCAATATGATTAAAACACAGATTCTATTTGGGGTTTTTTATTTATAGTTCAAAATTTTGTTTTACCTGTCTTTACTACACTAGGATCGGATGAGCTGTTATATAACCTGCATTCTGATTGATGTGAGAGATTAGTCAATGTTGCAGCATGTTCTTGACATGCTGTGCATGAAATTGGGTCTCCCAGCAGAAACATAACTCTGATGTCATAGGGTCAAAAGACGCTCGTATGACCCTGATGCAACCATCAAAATTATAAAAAATGAAACGAAATATAGATTTGTATTTTAATCAGATTGATTCTAAATCATAACCAATAAGCAGCATGAAACATATGTTGAATTAGAAGATAATCATCAATGATATTAAAGGACAATATTGGTGTCAGTCATTATAAAATATGTGACAGAGCTCGTTAAATACATCCCAAATAAATTTAACACATAGATCATTGCTACGATAGCTGAGAAACAAGCCCGTGAAGAAACGGGAAGTGGCGTCAAACATGACAAACAAGAGTTGTCTTTCTATATAACAGACTGAATTAACGAGCGGTAACAGACAAACGATCGAATTTCATTTCACTGATAATTCAGTTGAAGATGAAAAGTTGTTATATGAGACGACGAGAGGATATCGGACAATTCAAAAAAAGAATTGGCTGTCAGGAGATACAGAATGAATAAAAACGGAGGAATGCACAGGATTTTTCTATTTTTCTCGTGTCCCTTATCTAGTGACAGCCAATTCTATTTTTGAATTGTGAGATACCCTCCCATATAATAACTTTTCAACTTCAACGGAATTATCAGTGAAATGAAATTCGATTGTTTGTTACCGCTCGTTACTTCAGTCTGTTATATAGAAAGACAACTCGTGTTTGTCATGTTTGACATCACTTCCCGTTTCTTCACGGGCTTGTTTCTCAGCTATCGTAGCAATGATCTCTGTGTTAAATTATATTTGGGATGTATTTAACGAGCTCTATCACATATTTTAAAATGACTAACACCAATATTGTCCTTTAAGTTCCGATTGATTTATCAACTGTAAAATGTCTGAACAATTATGAGGATTTGTTAGTAAATAGACTTAAAAACATGCATCATTCTAAATAAACAAATTTTATGAAATGAAATGGGGGTTTAACGTCCTACTGTTCTGCTCTGACTGGGCTTATGAAGACGGGTACTCAATACTCTCTATCCCTTGATTTGTGATAATGGGGTTAATGACTGGCAATAATCTGACAATAAAGTATCAATGAACTAAACAAGCAAACCATGCATGTACATTATGTTTTATTGTCATGATTCTACTCACACCAAATGCATTTGTGGGAATGACAGATCCTGATTCTGTGTTATATTCAATGTAATTTCGCCAATCGGAAAGTTGACTGATAACCTGCCATCCCATTAGCATTGAATTAGTGAGAGTAGCAGCAGGCACAGCACAACAGTTTAACTTGTGTATAGGTAGCTTAAGACAGTTATTATGATAATATAAATTAAGTATCACATATTTTATGATTTAGGATTATTTCTAGTTCTCATGCCATATTGTTTAACTGGCTGTTGTTGTTGATTGACTTGAGATTGACTTGTTACTATGGTAGTTACGGCTGCCGGTTGTGGTACAGATTGAGCACCCACAGCAGACTGTAAAGAAGGTGAAGCTACAGATATGTGAGTATCAGGAACTGTGTGTTGTATCTGAACTGTCGTTGCTGGAGATGGTACTTGTGTAACATTAGCAGCCTGCTGAATTCCTACTTGTATCTGCTGCATGGTTGGTGTCGTTTGAACATGAATTGGCTGAGAGACTAAACTCTGTGTTAAAGCTGCAGATTTAACTTGTGTTACGTTCACACTACTTGGAACAGTTCGAACCTGCATAGTAGCAGATGGTGGTACCGAGGTTTTAATTAAAGACGGTGTAACCTGTGACGTGGAGACGTTAATAGCTTGAATCTGAGCAGCTGAAACTGGTACTTGCGTAACAGTTATAGGAGAAGCGGACACTGTTAGGGGTTGCGACGGCGCCGATGTTGTTGCGATACTAACTTTAGTTATCATCTGAGTTTGTTGACCAGTAGAGGAGACTGGTATCATAGTTTGAGGTATAATATGAGATATCGAACCACCTTGATGTTTAACTAAATGTTGTAATATCTGCTGTCCGCTAATATGTTGTCCAAGTTTATGAGAAGTGTTCATTAGGAGAGGAATCTGAGCTTTCTGTAGTTGAGCTGAAAATAAATACATGAATATTAAAGACTTTGAATAAAGTTGAAATTCTGTGGCACAAGACGTCCTACCAATACCGACTAGAAAGAATTGCCTTGCTTCAGGTCAGTCTTATTGCATTTTCAGTATACCCAGAGGTATCGTTCCATTCTACTCCACTATTCCACTAACCCCTGGATCCATTCAAGGGGTATTCATGAATTCAAATTATCTGCCCTTGATGATTTCATTGGCCACGTAGGTTGTTTCTACAAACCAATCAAACAACCGGTGCCATGCAAGATAAGTCCACATTTTGTAAGAGATAGACAGAGAACGAGCAAAAAAAAAAACTGATTTTTTTTGTATAATCAGGAGCAATAATCCAGGAAGTTATGGCCCGATATGCGCGAATATCGAAAGGAACCAAGATCTTTTGATATAAACTTAAATTTATAGTTTCATCAAAATCGGATCCAAATTGTGACCTATAGAGGTTCAACAACCTTGATGTACCATATTTTACACTACTTGTGTATGAGGAGCGTTCATTTTGTCAGACAGTTTTGGCCCAATTTTTACGAAATTCAAACTCAACTATCATCAGGGTGTAATGGTGATATATTGGAAGTTTTTTTTAAATCGGATAAAAATTGTAACCTCTAGAGCGACCACAAGCTAAAATGTGCTTTTTCTTAAAATCAGGGGCCATTATCCTCGAAAGGAACCAAAATCCGATAAAAATTGTGACCCGTAGAGGGTCCACTAACAAATTGTGGACGCATGTCTGGATGGACAGGGCCGACGACAATATACGTCCACATGGGTGTATACAAATTGAACGAAAATGGCATGATAACTCTTCAATTTGTCATAAAATATTTCTGAGGTTTTTTCCTTTGACCAAATCGACAATTCCTGCAAACATGAGAAAACATTTGTCAAGTTGCAGGTGATGATAATATACCTCCACTTTTAATGTGGGTGGATAAAAAATAAACAATTGGAGCCAATAATTGTGTAATTAATGAAGACTTACTAGTTCCTTTTTGTGGATGTTGTTGAAGCGTTCTCTTCTGTGTTAGAATCATTTTTTGTTGTGCATTAAAAGGAGCCGCACGGGTAGCTGTAATTAACAACAAAGTATTCATGCACAATCTTTACACTAGTATCCAATTAAATAAAACTTCAAGATTACGAAATTCAAATATAGGCAGCAATACACTGACATCCTTTCCATATTGGCATCAATGACAAACACAATTTTCAATAGCTTAAAGGACATGGTTTCCAGTTGTCAGTGGTGCAGGACTGAGGGCCTGACTAGGAACCGTGTCTAGTCATTAGGATGGTATGAAAAACTGAGGTTGTGTGTGCACATTAAAGAATCCATGACAGTTGGAATTTGAAATATGAGTGCTTGTATGTTGTTTGTTCATCTTCATTAGCCATGTCGGTTCAGAAAAGTAGGACGCTAAAGCCCATTTCTTTTCATTTCTATAGCTTAAAGGAATACTACCTTATGTTTGTGATAACAAATGTATTAATCTAAATCTGATATTTGTCGACATTTTATCCACATTTAGATCAAAGCCAAATCCCCAAGTCTGATTTCGGAATGTGTTTCTGGTTGATTATTATTAATGTATGATTTATATAGAGCTTCAATACACAAGTGTTTCTAAGCGCATTAACAACAAAACAGTTCAAAAACATTTTTGAAATTAATGTTTTTAAGTCAGTCTTAAAAGCTCTAGATGGAAGAGGACACTCGAAAAATTTTTGGAACCTATAAGAAATATAATGTACGTAAATATTGCCCTGGATAACCAAGCAAATTACTGACTGAATTAGTGTAACATTTATACCAATAACCCAAATTTACATGGTATGGAGATATACGAAATCAAGTAGAAAAACCTGGCACTTTTAAACAAACTCAATAAAGTATTTAAAAGATTTGTAACTTACTAAGAATGTGTTTTTGCTGTCCTACATTCACACTGATATTAACTGGACTAGACTGTGAAGTTGATTTAACAAGTGTTACTACAGGAGTCTGGGATGTTCCTGGTGTAACACCAACTTGTTGAACCTGAGCCTGAGCTATTATCTGGGCTGTAGGAATCTATTCAATAAATAAACAATAATATATATTACAAATACAATAAATAAACAATGATATATATTACAAGTCAAAGTGAGGCTGATGTCCCCCGCCGAAATCCCAAAATAAATAGATGACACATATTTAATTGCATATTTATCTCTTTCAAAATTATCGAGCAATCAAACTGATTATCAACTACACACTAAGTTTCATCACTCTCCATGAGTTAGAATCAAAGTTATCTTGTCCTAAAGCATTGATCAATGAAGTTGCTTGTCTCTGCTTAGCTTTCGTGGGAAATGTTAATCATTGAACTCTCTCAAGACATTAACCACAACATCTATACCTCAATTAAAAGCAGAGTTGTCATGTTCAAAAGTCTTATTCAATCAAATTGCTTAAATACACATTTAAACTTAAATGTGTATATTTACATAACAGTCTTTACATTATAATTGTGACTTTTTAAATATATGTACAATTTGGCATGCTGTGCCATATATGGTGGAAACCAGTGAAAAGCAATCCTAACCCAGAAAATTTGTAGAGATCCGTTACATGCCAAAAAATCACTTTATATAAGATATCTTAATGATTAATCATACCTGAGTTGTGGTACCTTGCACAGTTATCTGCCCCTGACTTCCCACAGTACCCTGTGCTTTCTGTTGTAGTAATCTCTGCTGCTGCTGTTGTTGCTGTTGACGTTGTATCTGTTTAATTTGATCAGAATTAATCAAACCTGGTTTCTGGCCCTACAAACAGTAATAATACAACATCAGTGACTAAAATACAAGAATATGCAACAACAAAAACGTTTCTACCTTGGGTAGTCCTAAAATTCAGACTGACAGAAATTGTCCTGAGTTGTTTTATTAGGTGTGTAAGTTAAAAAGGTCAACATGAGAAATTTCTATTTTTAAAGCTTCTGATTGTCATTTGTATCTGTCAGACAATATCTAATTCTGCAAGACTTAATCCACATTAAATTGTACTCAAACTGATATTAACATTTTCCAAAACAAAAATCGAACTATCAACAGTAGATAATCTCCTGTCCTGGATTCAAACAAACTCAAGATAGGCCCAACAAAAGATTTTAATGAAGATTATAAGTAGAACTGGCTTTTGACCACATCCCATTTATACTGTCTGCAAATGATAATGATATTCACCAATTTTCAATCCTTATTTTTGTGAAAACCAAATAGAACCATTATTGGGCTGATATTCCTTTTAGAGATTCAATCTTCACAATATTCCAGTTTACAAGGAATTGTAAGTCCTCAAAATGATAATAGTTTCTGAGCTATAGACATATATGGGTCCTTGTGGGGTTTATTGGTAGTAAATAGTTTAAATATCAATCCCAGGACTTCCCTCAAACAATAATTGAATATCTATTTGGTATGTCCAATAAAGTTATTAAAAAAGATAGAAAGCAATCAGAAACAATTCATACTTGTACCATTTGTAGAGTTGTAATGACCTTTTGTCCTGGTAATGGTGTTGGCAGACGCTTTATTGGTTGTCGTATTTGGTCGGTCTGAATGGAAACAAAACAGAAAGTGTTAAATATTACCCCACTTTTAGTTTGCTAAGGAAGTAGACATCTACAAAATATATTAGCTCTCCTATTTTATAGTCAGAACATCTAGAATTACTCATCCCCAAATAACCGCCCTCATGATCTAATATATTAAAATACATACACTTACTGCAAGGCTGTACTTCTGCTGGCGTAATTGGGGTGTCTGTTGTCTAACTATAGATTGTTGACGTAGCATATTTATCTGCTGGGGTGACAGGTTTTTAGCAATCGCTAACTGTTGTTGTACTGTAGTAGGCAGACCTACAAAATATAACAGACAAAACATGTACGGAAATTAAAATCATACAAATATGACCCACAACCATCTCACTTCTAGGACATTACGTCCAACATTTTTCAAATACTGCTGGATTACAGTGAAAATAAAAAAGAACTACAGCTTTTAATCAGATCATATTCCATAAACAAATTGAAATACTGTATTCTAGAAGAGTCAACTGCTACTGCAGACGATGACCGAGAGGGGTGACGATAATATACGATCACATATAAATGTAGGCATATAAAATAAAACCAACAGTATAAATCAAAACTCGGTTGTAATAGGTAAAGTATGGAAAATGGGATTAGTCCAATGTACAAGGAACCGAACCAAAACAAGTACCGAAACACTGGTAATGGTATAAATGAAGCCATACCTGTAAATGTTGCAATACGCTGTGGTGTTAGTGTAGTGGTAGCACCAGTTTGTAGTGTAGCTCGTGTCTGACCTGTTACCTGTGCTGTCTGGGGTGTAGCGATGGCTGTTAATTCTATCGGAGTGCCTGCTGGTCTAGCTGCTCGGACATTCTGGGTACTTGTTACAGCCTAAAACAAACCAAAAATGTCATATGAAAAAGCTGTATTTTTATTACTTTATTCATCAAAGACACTTAAAGAAGACAGTGTAAATCAATAGAAAGCAATGAAAACTTTAATTGACCATAACTTAAGAATTTTAATAATACTTTTAATTGTGTATGGTCTTCATGCATAATTATTTTGTTATTTTTTAGGTTTCCAAAAAATTGTTTATAAATTCTTATGATGATATTAGTTTTAAGCCAAGAACTCGTACTCTTAAAACATGGATCAGAACAGGTTATCGCAGGAGATAAATTAACTTACTATAGAGGTAGGTTGAGAAACAGTTACAGCACGACTGATAGTTTTATTAATAGTAGCAAAGTTGGATGTTATAGGAGTGTTGACTATAATATTTCCTGTACCACTAATAGTACGAGCTATAGATACAGCCGTCACATTCTGTCCTAACTTCTGTACAGCTCCAGATTGCTACAAAATAATCAATAAATAATACAGTGATCACAGAAAATGTTACTCTTATCAGAAAAAATTTAATTTTATGATTATCCAAAGTTTACTTTATACAAAAAAATCTGGTTACGATGTCGTATTGTCTTTTCTTTGTAGTTTAATAAGTTCAAGTTAATAATTTGGGTAGAGTATTCATTTCTCATTATCTGTTTTTGAACTTTTACAGCAAGAATGGCCAGCTCTTTATCTAAAGCTTACATAATGCATCTTTAATATTTCAATTAATATTTACCATGACTGTTGTTGCTCCAGTAACTAAAGGTTGTAATTGTTGTGCTTGTACAGCCTGGGCAATAGTTGGAGCAGACACAGCAGCACCTACTGTAGCATTTGCAGCTTGCGCTGCTGCTGCTGCGGCAGCTTGTGTTCTAGCTGCTAACTGTTCAGCTGCCTGCTAAAACAAATTGGTACAAATCATAACTGTTACAGTTAGATGACCTGAATGCGAACACAAGTCACACACTGACAAATATTTACTTGTGATTATTACAATCTGATTAAAATACAGATATATATTTTGTTTTATACTTTCAATGGTCTCTACTACATGAAGATCTGACAAGTTGCAGTGGGAGGTCGCGTCAGGGGTCATACGAGCAGCTTTTGACCCTATGACGTCAGGCATTTGATGCCAAGAACTCACTACACCAGACTGTTTCATTTGGTAATCCCTCACATCAACCAGAACGCGAGTTATATAACAACTCTTCCAGATTCTAGTGTAGTAAAGACAAGTAAAACGAAATTTTGAACTATAAAAAAACGAAATGAAATAGGACCTGTGTTTTAATCAGATTGTGATTATTATTAACTAACGAAACAATGCTTGGCAACTAATATGGTCAAAAACAATTGGCAACAATGCCCAATACAAATAAATTGCCCAATCCATTACTTCCATACAGTACAGATCACAAAAAATGATATAGGAGAACCAAACCGTACCCTACAAAAAATATTGTCTATCAGGCAAATTGTACCCTACAGTAGTCTAAATGACAAAGCCATTGGGATCTTAAATTAACCACCACCTTAATACAAAGGTTCTGAATAATGAGATGCAAAACCACATACAGTATGAAGATGATCATTTCCTTATAACTAAATTATTTTTTCCTCAAAGCATCGGAACTGCAAATTTTTGTCTGTCTACTTGTCAAAGACGGGTGATTTTTACGTCGGTCAGGTACTCAGTAAAACAACCTTTCACTTGTGACAGGTGGACCGTAAATTTACTTTAACCCAGACCACAAGACTCATGTATCGCCTTAACTATATAACATTATGCAATTCAAAACTGAATATGATGTAAAAATAAACTACAAATAAATACTGTGAAAAACAGTGATCAAACATTTCAACACCTGTAACCTTTTTTATATATTATAAACATAATATCAAAAGTATAGAGTAAAAAATCGATATTTTTTCACCTTTACCTGTGCTGCGGCCTGCGACTGTTTCTTTTCTCTGGCAATTCTTTCAGCTCTATTGGTAGCTACTTGTAGAGGATTCAATGGTTGGTCGTAAGTGATTCCATTTTCTTCCAGAACAGCAGCATGTTTAGGATTTCTAAGAGTAGGATTTGCAAGGGTCTGTTTGAGAGTTGGTGTTCGTTTGTTGGATACAGCTTTAACCAAATCAAATCTTGATGAATATAACATTTTGATGTCTGCGTTACCTTTCTGTAGGAAGAGATTACTGGTTCGCATTGGTCGGTTATTCTTACTCTGAAATGATGCCTGAAAAAATGGTGAAACTAATAAATTAATAACTATCTAACAGAATAGATGCATTAACTTTCACTTTATTTTGTTTGGTTATCTTTTTTTTATTATTATTATTTTACTGTAACAACCAGCAATTGTTATGCAAGATATGCCCACATTTTGCAAGAGAACAAGATAAAAAAAAAAGGTCATAATCCAGGAAGTTATAGTCTGATAATCGGGAGTATTGAAAGGAAATGAGGTCTTTGGCATATAAACATATATTCTAAATTTTATCAAAATTTGACAAAAATTGTGACCTTAGAGGGTCCACAACCTCTGTATTACATACTTTTACACTATTTGCGTACAGGGAGCGGTAATTTTGTTGGGCAGTTTCATTTCAATTTTCCCAAAATTTGAACTCAACCTTCATTATGGTGTAACAGTGTTATATATAACATTTTTAACATTGTAACCCCTTTAGGGTCCACAATCTACAAACATGTTTTTCATACAATCAGGGGCCATAATCCAGGAAGTTGGGGATCAAAATTGTAACCTCTAGAGGGTTCATAACCTTGATATTACATACTTTAACACTATTTACATACAGGGAGCGGCCAATTTGTCAGGCAGTTTTGTTCCAATTTTCACAAAATTCAAACTCAGCCATCTTTATGGTGAAACAGTGATATATCCGAATGTTTTTTTAAATCAGATAAAATTTGTTACCTTTGGAGGGACTACAAGCTGAACAAGTTTCCTCAAAATTGGATGAAAATTGTGACCTCTACAGTGCCCACAACCTACAATCTTGATTTTTCGTACAATCAGGAATCCCATTTTCAGGTAGTTACGGTCCGATATGCACGAATATCGAAAGAAAGCAAGATTATTGGGTTATACACATACATTTCAAGTTTCATCAAAATCAGATTAGAGTGTCCAAAAGCTAAAAACATGATTTTTCATACAATCAGTGGCCATAATCCATGAAGTTAGGGTCCAATACATGCTAATATCTAAACAAACCGTGATCTTTAGGTGATAACCCTATATTCCAAGTTTCGTCAAAATCAGATAAAAATTGTGACCTGTAGAGTATTCACAAACAAATTGTGAACGAACGTCCGGAGGGACAGGGGCGATGACAATGAACGTCCACATAAAAATATGGGTGTATAAAAACCACTGTATTTTCTTTAATATTAATCAATTAGCTGTCTGTCTTACTGTATATACAATTCGTGCAATGACTTATGGGCGATGTCTTAATCTACCAGTTAACGACACATTCTGAATACTCCCAACAGAAGGTAAGATTACTTTTTTCAACCCAAAGCTGAAACCTCAGCAGTCTGTCCTTTGACACTTTATACTCAATTGAAACTATTTTTTCCAGATCCAGATTTGTTGCAGCTGAAGCAGAGACAATTTAGTTGCTGTAATCTAGATTGATTTCAGTTGATTTTAAGTTTTTCACTAATAAAAGCCTTGATTTATAAAATTTAACAAGTAGATTTTTAATCTAGACAGGCAGAAAAAGAAACCCACAAATATTTACCTTATACAATCCTTTGTTTTTCTTCTGTTTTCTGGGACTAACATCATATAGAATTCTTCCCTCTTCTCGTGGTATAATAACGTTCTCATACTGGTATTTACACATCTTGGGTGTTCTATAAACACGACTTCCACTATTAACCACGTCTGCTACCAGATCCCAGTTAATAGTTACAGCAGGGGAGACAACTTGTAGATTTAATGGTAGATTCAGCAACGATTGAACAGACTAAACAGAATGAAAAATGGAAAGATCATTAATACTGTACACATTAAAAATACTAACTTTTAACATGGACCGTGTATAGATGGACAGGCAACGAGTCCAGTTTGTTGGATTCTCTGCCGCTCGCACGAGACACGGAAAGATCTCAATGTCAACGGCAAATCAAGCGATGTGATTTTGGACATTGCGGGATTTTATACTGATTAATTTCTTGAACTCCTCCTTGGAATTGACGGTATTCTTATAGTTACACGGTAACTTTTCAACCTGATAAGTATTCCTATCCGGTAGTGACGAATTTGTCCAGTTTGAAACTGTGAAATTTCCAAATGTAGCAGTTGAAAATTGTGAAATTATCGATTTCAATATTTTCATAGGTTTTGTAAGCATTTTGGTTTTGCTTAATACTCCAAATTCCCGTATGTATGAAGGATTTTAAAGTTATGAAAATAAAGTTCAGGTATAATACTGTCCGGAATGATGAATAATTGTGCAGAAGTAAAAATTAAAAGAGTGTTTTAGTAGATTTGTTTTTAAGAAAAATTTGACGTTTTTTTTTTCGGATTCACATAGGCGCGTCCGAAGTAAACAAAGACGATGTGTTGATATATTTACACCCCAATCATCAGTTAGTAGTCTATGTATGAGTTTAAAAAAAAAGAGTAGCAAGATTAATAAAATTATTATGAATTGATTTCTGTTTCTTTGCTTTTAAACTTAATACAGGTATTTGCGCGAAGGGAGCTAATTTACAGTCTTAAGACCAACTAGAAATCAGCCAGATTTCTTCAAGTTTGGGAATGTGACCTCAAAGATTTGTTGAAGAGAATCCTGTCATCAACCTCTCAAAGACAATAAATTGTAGCCCAATTATTATCTATTCAGATGGTGTATTGTATAAGTGTCATATTACACTGCTCTATATTTAGAATGTAAAACTAAAGCTAGATGGGTTTGGAATCAGATTCTATGAAATTTGAATAAGAGAATAAGAAAAACTAATCAAATTAAACACAGAAATAAACAAATTTAATAACAATTTAATAAAATTAAAAAAAATTGATTCAAATATTACATAATGTAATAATAAGCTTATTAATTTGATGTAATATCTACAGCAGCTTGTCTAAGCCAGGGTATAAAATATCTTACATTATTTTACTCATATACTTTGATATTGACCAATTTGATGTTAACCAATTTAATGATTTTGGAACTTTTTCTTGGGGAGATAAATATTCATAAGTAAAACAAGGGTTGTTGAGCACATTACGATTGTATAACTCTTGCCAATTATATATTGATTTCTATAGAAATGGGCCAATATCGAAATATTAATGGCCTATTGATCCATCGTATAATACTATTTACGAACTTATCAATTATCAGTAAAAGAAAATCTGATCCAAAATTATCTATTTTGGTGCAAAAATATGAACATTTACTGATTATTTACATACAGGGAAAAGGTCACCCCAAAACAATCTACATGTATTTGTTATTTAAAAGAGCTAAATCGCTAATATTTAGGACCTAGAAATTGACACAAATGGTTCGCAACACAAATAATAATGTAATATGAATGTACATAAACTGATTTAGTATTTATTGCGCATGCTCTCCAGATAGGAATATGACGTAACCGTTTGAGTTACTTGTGGAATATATCTAGCCCTGTCCTTCAAGTCCCTTGTTATAAATGGCACTTAAAGGCATTCGTGAACCAATGGTAAAATGTTTATTTTGTCTTACAATCTTATGGAAGCCTATAACTACCATTCGTAATTTCTACTTTTCGCCCCTTCAAAACACGAAAGTCGAAAAGTGACCTTGAAAGTAGAGACTACATCAACTTCTGAGGCGAAAAGACAAAAGTACGACAGCAAGCCAAAATCAAAGGTCGCTAATATCGCCATCAATACTAGACTTTATAAACTATTTTGTTAACGCGAATTTATTGTCAATGTCAACAAAACAGTACACCTTTAATAATGTATTATAACAATATTACTTATATTCTCTGTCACCACAGGGGGATCACGTGGCTAAGTGGGTAAGACGCTAGCTCGCTAGCCTGAAGGTCGGGTGTTCGATCCCTGCATTGGCCGAGAAAGTTCATCCAGATTTTCCAGCGTGGTTCTCCCTTGTCAGTGATGCAGGACGGAGGGGCTGACATGGAAAGCTGTCTAATCGTTCGGTTGGGACGAAAAACCGAGGTCCCGTGTACACATTGGCGTGCACGTAAAAGATCCCTTGGCAGTTGGAATTCGATATAAGAGTAGGCCGTAGTGCCGCTGTCCGGGCAAAATTTCCCTCATAGCACACTGTATGGCGTATGCCCGTCTTCATTAGCCCAGGTTAGGAGCAGAACAGTAGGACGTTAAACTCCATTTCATTTCATTTCATTTCTGTCACCACAGAGTTCTTGATGTGGAAATTTACACGGAAATATTTATTTATGGCTAGGGATATGATATCATATCTTTCTTATCTAAATTATATCCTGGTTATATATATATATATATATATATATATATCCAGGATCTAATTATATCCTGGTTATATATATATACTATTCAAAAAAAGTAGGGGATATTTGATTTTTAAGTGTTATTAAAGTCACCTAATGAAACTGACGAAGAAACAAATGACAAAATGAAATGAAGTTCACATTCATCAATTTATTCCAAATGATCGTTAGACTAAGTAAGGCACAGACTGACCATTATAAGGGTAAAATGATACCCGAGGTCAAACAGCAAAGTTACCACAGCATCACAACCAAGTCAGTAACGGGTAAATCCTCCTCTGTTTGCCAAACAAGCATTGATCCGACGTGGCATACTCCTAATGAGACGTCTAAGGTCATTTTGGTCCAGATTGTCCCATTCCTGTTGCAACGCAGCAGCAAGTTCTTGGACATTGGCAGGACGTTGTTGACCTTGACGTAACCTCTGTCCAAGCATGTCCCAGACATGCTCGATGGGGGGAGAGGTCGGGACTCAGTGCTGGCCAAGGTAATGTGGTGATGTTCTGTTGTTGGAGGTAACCTGTAACGATCCTGGCCCTGTGACATCTTGCGTTGTCATCCTGGAAGATGAAACGGCGGCCATGACGTCGTGCGAACGGCACAATATGGACTGCCAAGATGTTGTCCCGGTAGTACTGGCCTGTAACACGCCCTGCAACAACATGTAAAGCCGTTCTTCCAGCAACAGTGATGCCTCCCCATACCATAACAGAACCACCCCCAAATCGATCATGTCTGATGACGTTAACGTCTTGGAAGCGCTCGTTTCGACGACGCCACACCCTCCTACGTCTGTCCAAAAAATCAACAGTGAACCTTGACTCATCTGAAAACATCACATTGCTCCAGCGTCGATTATCCCAGTGTTGACGATCCCTACACCAACGACGTCTTGCCTGAATGTGATGATCTCTCAAACAAGGGATCACGCGAGGACGTAGGGCGCGAAGGTGACCCCTATGCAGTCGATTCCGAATCGTCTGGCCACTCACTCTCACACCAGTGTCTGTTTGAAGACGAGCGCTGATCTGATTTGCTGTGATGACACGATTTCTCAAGGCCAAGGTACGGATAAATCGATCCTGGGCTTGAGTTGTCGCCCTTGGTCGACCTGAGCGTGGTCTGTCCTGTACAGATTGTGTATCACGGTATCTGGACCATAGCCTGCTTATGACAGACCGAGAAACATTCATCGTCCGCGCCACAACCGCCTGTGTTGTGCCGATCTGTAGCATGCCAAGGGCACGTAACCTTTCATTTTGGGTAAGCCGACGCGTATCAAAATTTGTTTTCTGGTCACTAAAACAATTAAACTGATGTTTCCACCCTGGAATTCAATGCCACAATGACTGTAACATTCAAAGTCAGAGTCGTGCAAATCTTGGGTTGGACCCCCATGATGATCCCAAGCATCACCTGCATTCCATGCGGTAGCTATTGGTGCGTTTGGGTGTCACATGTAACTGGAAATGTTTCTTCTGTTAGGTTCTATAGTGACTTTTTTCGTAGTCATTTGCATATTTTAGTATTATGCCCCCAAAATCAAATATCCCCTACTTTTTTTGAATAGTATATATATATACTATCATATGATATCATATCTTATCTAAATTAGATCCTGGTTATATATATATATATGATATCATATCTTATCTAAATTAGATAAGATATGATATCATATCCCTAGCCATAAATAAATATTTCCGTGTAAATTTCCACATCAAGAACTTGTAGTATTATTCTTACAATTTCTCGTACAATAGGGGCCACAAGGCAAGAAGTTAGGCCCGATATACGCGAACATCAAACCGAGATCTTTGATACATAAACATATAATATTAAGTTTTTTTTAAAACCGGATACAAATCGTTAGAGGGACCACAGCCTTCGATCCGATTATCACAAAATTCAAACCCAGGGTGTAACGGTGTATATTTAAACGGTTTTTAAAATCCGGTAAAAACTGTAATTTTTGGTACACCCAGGGTCCATAATCTAGGAGGTTACGGACCGATATGTGCGAATATGGAAAGAAACAAAACTCCGTGGAATATAGACATATATTTTAAGTTTGATCAAAATCGGATAAAAAAATTGTGACTTCTACAGTGTCCACAACCTTTTTATTATATACTTTTATACTATTTGCGAACCAAAAATAATCATCAGATTCATCAGAAACACAGAAAAAAGAACTAGTTAAAACGTAACCAGTTAACATATTATTGCAACCAACCTGTAATAGTGACCAATCTTCATTTATCAACCATTCTGGTATATCTTGATCTGGAGGCTCCATCACAGTTTTATTTGGCATTAATGGTGCTGTTGGACGGAATGGTTTAACTAATCCTTTCAGTTTTTGCATCTTGGCTTCACGTCTCAGTTTCTGTTGGATAGCTGTAGGACGGTCAAACAATGACCTAGGAACACGAGGAGGTTCTTCCTTACGTTGCTTCTGTTTACGAGCTGAAAAGAAAAACAATCATCAATTCTCAAATTAAGGAATTTAAAAAAAAAGTTGAGAAACCAACACTTATACTTGGTGTAGTCTCTATTCTATGGAAATACTAATTTGATCACTTTTCTCATTTCGGCTAAATTTTCCACAATGAGTCATTTATCAACATGGCTTGCAAAATCTTGCCTTCTGTAAGTAATGCAAAATCAAGCAATGGAAAAATTTCGATGGTAAAACAGTCCTTAGCGAAGTATGCTAAATGATCACTTGAAATGAAGTATAAATAATATATTTAAGGACTGTATACAGTCTATTAGTTCTACTTCAGCAATGTTGAGTTTCACATATTTTGAATGCTCAACGATTCCTTAATAGATATTAGTTGTTTATGGAGCATTTATGAATAAGGTATTGCTTATTAATCTGTTTTCTTAAATTTTCTCTCTGATGTCATTCTTTACTTACTTGTAACTGTTTCAATTCTTGGTTTTTTATGTTCTTTACGTATATGTACTGGAGGTAATTGAGATTCAGGCATTACGTTAGGTTCATATAGAAACAATAAACTCTGATCTATATAAACATCATTATCATCTTGTGGTGGGGTTGGTGGTGCCCATAGCTATAAAATACAATATTATATCAACATAGCCAATGAAATCTGCCATTTATAAATGACGGGATTAACATGTGGTATATACTTCCACTGTGGGGTCTTAAACAAGGCGAGAAAACCACATGTTTACTGAAAACCCACACATCTACTGAAAAGCCATGTTTATGAAAACTTGAGTTTACTGAAAACCGAACATGTTTAAAAACAAATTTAAATGTGAGAAAAGTCCCTCTAGGTTATTTATTCCATATAATCGATATGATTGTTTTGAAACTGTGCTCCTAAACCACTGGTTTTAGCAACTGTTTAAAAATGTCATTATCCTTTCTAGCATAGTGGCCCAGAGCTGTCCTTACTTTTCACTGACCATCTTGTTTTGGAGTAGGCTTCTTTTTTTTTTTTACAAGTTGTGTGTTCATTATCTTTTCCATACAGGCAATTACTCAAATCTAAGATAAAATTTATATGCTAATATTACTTACAGGCATAATTTCTTCATCAACATCTGATATAAACATCTGTAATATAAATATATATCTCTAGAAATTATATTTAAAAAAAACATATCTTGAACATGTTAGCCGACTTTGTTGTTCAGAATTTTTGTTAAATATATGTGCAGTAAAATTGGGCACGTCCAAACTAGATTGTATTCAAAATTAAAAGAAAAATCTGCTGAGCAATACAGAAGGTTCACACTTTTCAGACTTTGTGAGACATAAATATTTTTTTGTGGTTTTCAAGGAGTCATGAAAAACACCCCTTACAGCTATTTATAGCAATTATGCTTATTAAATTTTCTTGGGAATGTGATTATTTCACACCAGTCAAATGATCTGATGTATGTTGTTATATCTCCATATTATAAATATAAAACATTGTATATTTAAATGTCAACAAAAGTATTAAATCTGTCAATTAAGATAATTTTCTGAATTAATGCATTTTTCATATTATTTTTCTTCAAGTAGGGGTTACGTATATTTATATATCAGGAGTATTAACACCCCTCTAAACAATACAATATATAATCCAAACAGGATTGATTAATTGGCTGGCTAATTAATATCTTTACCAACATTGTAACCTCATTATGTGTTAATCTTGTTAAAATTACAGGAAAACACCCATTACAGATAAGCATATCACATTAATTCCAGTAGCATTTTGCATTGCCTGAATTTTATGACTCATTCATTTCTTGTTGTACAGTATGAATAAAGCACATGAAACTGATACAGTAATTATATTTCATTGAATTGTATCCTGTATATATATATAAATGTCATTGAAACAGATGTTCAAGTTATATGGAAGAATCACACTTAATTTGTAATTAATTGCTGTGGTTTTTTTAAATATATATTATCTTTGATTTTCTACAGGAAAGGGATTTCTTTTCTCCACAATGATATGCATAAGCCATAATCATTGACTTTTCAGAAAAAGTGGTTAATTGTATTTTGCCTCTAAGTTATATATACATCTTATGTTGAACCTTACTTTAACAATTTTGAATTCAATCGTTTGAGATTGTAAATATTAATATGTTAGAATTAATTTATTGTAAAAGTTGTAATAAAATAAAATAAGCTAATGTAAAGGCAGTGAGTGCACATGCATTATAATATTTGAATAAAAAATCTGAAATAAGAATCCATTGAATAATGAACTGGGAAGGGAAACAACTCTTGCACAGTCCTATTCTACATGTAGGGCAGCCTAGCAACCAACATTATTATTTGATTACAAAAATCTTTAATACATCAATCTGCTAAACTCCTGAAGACAACTTTTCAATTCTAAGAAACAACGAATGGGTCACTTGTTGATTATAAGTAACAGCTACTATATACACGGGCCTAATGTGTCATATCTGCTATACATTGAACATTACTCGGCCTTCCCTTCTACTTCAATCCGTGCCACGATATTCAATGTTTAATACGGATTGATCACTCTTTCATGATGACTTCAACTTTAAATGTGATGCTTTACCCAATATCATTCAATATGATGCTTTTTGATCAACAAATTTTATTTCGCTCAGCCAACCTTTACGGAGATGCTTTGTTTTTGTTGCACGAAATTGATTCAAAATAGCACTTTTAATGCAGTAATATTCCCCCCCCCCCCTCCAAATGTAATTTTACTATATTTTCTTGTTTTTTAGGATATTAATCTATCTTATTTCCTGTAATTTGTAGGTGGATTGCTCAAGTTTGTAAAATATATTGCCCAGTAAAATTAAATTTGTTGATCACAACTCCCTGGTTACAGCGATCAGCCATCAGATGAGAAATACACCTCTGCATCTCATTTATGTAGGTCGTGAAAGAACAGCTAGATAACAAGGTATTTGGTGTTTATCAAAAAAATTCTACAAAATTTACTCTTTCTTTTCTAATTTTGATATCAAAGTTCATTATTTTTGAACAGTTTAAAAGACTGTTCTCTCTTAGATAGCTACATAATGAGATACAGATGGAATTTCTTTCATGGTTTTACACCAAAACCTTGACATGCTGTGTAGTTTCTGACATTTCCCCACATAAATAAAGACACAAAAGGCAATATTTACAAATTCAATAGCTTTTATTCACTTTGAGTTATTTTGCATGTTGCTTTTCAATAATATATCACATTTTTTTTTTTACAAAGACATCACATAAATTCTGTCTTATGATTTCTCGTAGCAGTCATACAAAATACAACCAGGAACTCGTCCCATCCAAACAAAATTTACAAAACATCTTAACAGGGCCGCAAACATCAAATCTAACAAAAAAATGGAGCTTTTAAAAATAAGACTTGATGCAAGGGAAAATAAATGTACAATTAACCATACTTAGGACTTAAAACATGCCAACTTTTACACATTTACAAAATGTACATTTAACACAATTATCACTGGTATAAACAAAAAAAAATATCGCAAATTATAGTTTCAACTAAATGCTTCAAAAACTTGAGGATTTTTCCCTTTCTTACATTAAGAATCAAACTATATCAGTCAAACTCATTCAAATGACAACAGGCATAATAATATACAATCATATAGATTTTATCATGTGGACAGATACTGTTTGTATGTGAAAGACAAATGGAATGGCTATATATAACTAGGACTGTATCTAGCCTGTATCTTTGAGATTATTAACACCATGTCCGTTTGTATTGGGTTGTGGTGTGGTAATTGTGGCAGGCTTTTTCTGGCCAACAACAACAAAATTTGATAATTGATTTGATTGTATAATTTGAGGTCTAGTCAAAGTAACAGTTTGACTTGTCATAGGTTTCAGATTTAAACCCTGTATATTTTGAATGGGAACAATTCGTGGCATAGTAGACATATTGACCATCACCGGGGAATTGGTATCTTGATGCTGGGATGCTCGCCTTGTTCGTATTACTAGATTAGGATTTGACCAAGGTTGTGGTGGAGAACCAAGAGGGTTCGTGGTTGGGGTTACAACTATTGGTCTAGGGGAGGCTACTCTTGGTCGTGGACTAGTTATTATACAAGTTGACGGGATTTGAACAGGTGCTCGGACGTTCAGTTGCTGACGGGGGGCATTATTAACAAACGGGACTCTTAAGATGGGTCTGGTCGTCACCATATTATTGAGTTGCTGAAACTGTTGTAATTGAGCTGGGGTCAAGGTTACACACTGCTGAGTACCTAGTGCACCGGGGCGGGTTATACGAGTAACTGTACCAGAAGTATTAATACAGAAGGACGAAGCCAAGCTAATGGGGTTCTGTAGAATTATAGTTTTTGGTAATTGCACTGATTTTGGATTAGGAGACTGTTGAACAGTGGTAGCTACTGGTATAGCTGTGGGTTGGCTTGTTCTAATTACAGCATTTGGATTAATCCTGATTAAGTCCTGCATAGCAGCAAATACATTTCTATTATTAGCACTAGTTAGAGTAACTTTATCATTTGGCTGTATAAGCTGAGAGTTACAAGTTGTAGGTAGTTTTAATAATATCATATCTTTGATATCTTTATTAGTGGGAAGCATAATAGGAGAGGCCGACTTAGAGGTAGTGGGAGTTTTAATAGTGATAGTATTGTTTTTAGGAACACCAGAATTCTTAATTTCCATTTTAGGCACTTGTATTACTTTCTTAGCTACAGGAGGAGTCTTTTTGATTGGCTCTATTTTTGGTTTAATGGGAGATTGTTTTCTTGGTGGTGCTTTAGCTGCTGGTGTTTTGGGCGTTTCTAATTTAACATGTTTAACAATGACAGGTTTAGTAGGAGAAGGGGGATTACTGCCTGATGGATGACGAGTTGATCGTCTTTCACCAGGAGTTTGAGGGGAAGTATTTTTACTTGTAGTACCAGAACGACTTCTGGTACTACAACTATCCTCGCTAGTTTCACTAACTATTCTCTTTCTAGCTGTTCGTGCTCTCTCACTACTCCTCTGTTTGGTTGATGACACTTCAATGCTACTTTCAAAAGAAGAATCTGATTTGCGTTTTTTAGTTTTTTGTTTTTTCTTCTTCACCTGATTATGTGAATCCTCCATTGAGTATGTGTACAGCATTTCATCTTCTTCCAGTTCAGCTCTTCTTTCTTCTTCCTCTTTCAATGCTTTCAGTCTTGCTAACTCCCATTCTTTCTTAGAATTCTCTATATCCTCCTATATTAAATAGATAAATATGTCAGTTGGCTTAAAGATACATTATGGGAGATTTTTATAGAGAGTTGGCCATTCTTGCTATAACAGTTCAAAAGTAGATGATGAAAGAAGAATATATTGAAAAATTCAGTCAAATTACTTTATTCTGAACATAGTTATCATCGTTGTAATATTTGCCTAGAAATGGTAGCGAAATGTGTCTTCACCTTCGCCGATCGTTTGATTGACAGGCATTAACTCCACCTACATATCTCGATTATCAAGTAAAGTTTTCAATGGCATACCGAAACGCTTTACAGCGGCCTCGCTAAGTACACTCTATCATTTAGCCGAGCCATCCGTGGGTCTACAAAGTTGATTTTGGTCTTGTTGTTTAAATAAAGATCTAATTTATAATTTCTATAACATCTGAAGCCTAAATTAAGACTTGCAATAATCAGATTTAGCTCTTGCATAATGCATGTTTAATAAAGTAATTGTGTTCAGACATTCAGATTGGAATAATAATTTAGATCCTTTTACAAAAGGTACTACATATAAAGATCCATTGGCAGTTGATAATCAATGGATAAAAAGTAGATGCAAAACCATCTAAAGAGATACAATAATTGTAACGTCTCACAAGATAACAAAGAATCAAAACAAGCAATGACTAACCTCATCAAATGAATCTTCTTCAGGTTCCATTTCAGCTTCCACATAACCCACAGCATATCTTTCTATTGGTGATAACTACAATAATTAAACATGACATTATAACATCTACATAGGTAATGAAGTATAACTATTTAACACTTCAGGATGTTAAAGTTCTCCAGACTACTCCTTGATGTGTCGTAAATTAATCAAGTAAACCTGCTAAATTAAGATGACAAAGGTACATGTCTAAAATAATTGTAAAGACCTCATTAAAATGTTCATTTCATTGGTTTTGTTTTTCATTTGACGAAAAATTAACATAATCATTGATCTTTATCTTATAAACACAGTAATATATTATATTAAAGATGCATTAAGCAACAGCAAAATCTGCCCATTGTAGGTATATTTTTTCTGGCTTCAAATGTTATATAAATTATTAATAAGGTATCTATTCACATGACAAGCCCCTAATCAATCGTATGGTTGAGATAATAAATGGATTAGAACATTCAGGTCATTGGATAATCAAGACTTTTATTATTATAGCAATGATATTTGACAAACAAGACTTTTATCTGTATTTTTTTTTTTTTTGTGTAAACAATATTTTATTTCCAAAATTTATGAAAAGGGATTAGTAGGGAACAGGCAAAGCCTATATATTACCCTTCTCCTCATACAATGAATATTTTAACTATATCTTGTCAAAATTACACTCATCAATTGTTGCTTGCAGGTAACAGTCTTAAGCAGTGGGAGTAAAGGCACATGTCAAATAATGTAAAGACCTCATTCAATTCTTCATTTCATTGGTTTTGTTTTTCATTTGACGAAAAATTAACATAATCATTGGTCTTCATCTCATTTTAAATACTGAATTATATATTATATTATATTATATAATGTATTAAGAGGTTGGCAGGCAACACATACACCCACATACGTCAAACAAGGGCTTTAACTCTAAAAGTAATCAACAGAAATAGCTAAAATGCAACCAACTTTTTCGTTTCACTAATTTAAATGATGCATATAAATTTCATACAGATCGGATGATAATTTTTGTCTTTCGAGCATTCATAAGGTCTAACAAAGTGAAACAAGGGCCATAACTCTAGAAATAATTGACGGAAATTGCTGAAATTCAATAGGCTTCCTCGTATCACTAATTTAAAGGATGTATATAGATTTCGTACAGATCGGATGATAACTTTTGTCGTAAAGAGAGTTCACAAGATTCAACAAAGTGAAACGAGAGCCATAATTCTTAGATGTAATTAACAGAAATTGCAGAAATTTAAGAGGATTCTTCATTTCATTAATTCAAATAATATATATAAATTTCATACAGATCAGATGATACCTTTTATTGTTGGAGTGTTCATAAAGTGAAACAAGGGCCACAACTCTAGAAGTAATTAACAGAAATTATTGAAATTAATTAGGCCTCTTCATCTCACTGATGTAAACAACATATCAATTTCAAAACAATCAGACGATAAATGTAGTCTGTAGAGTGTTCACAAGAAATTGTGGACGATGGATGGCAATATACAACCACATTTTCTTGTGGACGTATAAAAAGTCATCATGGGTTAATAAAGTTGAATTTTGATCCACAAACTATTTTCTTTAATTGTTCAGCAGGAATGCAGCAATGACAATAAGTATTATTCCGAGCTACTGAATGTTGTCTTAAACGATTATCAAAACTTAAGTCAAATTTTAGACATCGTTCAAAAACGTTAATTTAAGGCCAGTGCCACAAGACAATTACTATATAAAGTAACAACTTTTGGTAATTTTGGCCTACAAAATTGATCTGTGATCTTATTCACAAAAATTTGAAGAATATTACATTTCAGCTGGTTAAGTGATAATATCTGTGCTAGAATCCGGCTGTCACAGAGGGGAGAGAGAGAAAAAAAGAAAGAGTATAATGTTCCCTCAACACAAACCAGGTCATTTTAGGGCTAACATTGTACAATTTCATTTTCACAATTTGCCTGCACATAGGGGCAACCAGACAGAGTTGGCGACAATATTCAAACATATTTTTGAAATGTTAATTGTAGTTATCTTTACTATTTTGTGGTTTTTTTTTAAATATGGAGTAGATTAATAATCATTGGACACTTTGGGGTCCTTATGGTAGAAAAAACATCTCTAATATTCATAAAACAATTTTTCAATTTTTGTTGGGATACCTTTTATTAGACAATAATATAGATGAAGGATGTAAAAATAGTAGTCATATACTGGGCGATCGAAACGAGGCACATAAATTTTGAAACACTTTCATTCACTTAAAACTAATCTCTGACTAAAATATTTTCTTAAATACAGTTAGGAAAGATTGCAGTAATGAAAAAAAAAAAAATCTTATGAACATAAATATTATTCAAGGCTATGTTGTCTTAAAAGAATATCAAAACTTTAGTCAAATTTTAGACATCATTCAAGAACATTAATTTAAGGCCAGTGCCACAAGACAATTACTATATAAAGTAACAACTTTTGGTAATTTTGGCCTACAAAATTGATCAGTCGTCGAATTCAAATATTTTAAGAATATTGCATTTCAACTGGTTAAGAAATAATCTGTGCTTGAATTTGACCTTTCCCTTACAATCAATAGAAGAAATACAGCTGACTTAAAATAATATCCAGACATTATGCCCTCACAGCGATATTTTAGGGATTAGTTTCAATATTTACCTCTTTCTCAAGCTGGGCTAACTCTAATTCTACTTTAGATACTTCATCTTCTTCCTTTCTATTTTCAGACTCCTTTTCATCCCAGGGAATCGACTCATCAAACTCAGCTAATTCAGCTTTCTGTTCAGCTTGTACTTGTTTAGCAGCAATAACATCAGTTTCATCTTCAGCCTTACACAAAGCCTAAAAAATTAAATTACATGAAGCAATACTTGACAGTGTACCAATGTAAACTTTATACGACGTAAAATGGAATTTCATAAATCCGCCTTTTTCAAATATTGATCATTTGAAAACCTCATAAAGTTGAATCATCAATTCCAATACCAACAGGAAACATTATGTTACATGAACAAAAACAGTTCAGCAAACATAGGATTACTAGGGCCAGGTTTGATTACATCCCACAACACATCAAGCAGAGAGGATTAGATTCTGTCACTTATTGCAATCCTGGTATGCTGCAGATCAAGTACTCTGATACTAAGTTAAAGGAATTTAGTCTAAACAATATGTAACTTGCTAAATTTTTCTAGATTTGACAAATTGACTGCCAAAAGACTGATTTATAATTTACCATTTCAAACTGTTTCAACATATTAGCATCCTTAATATTGGCTTCTGGTTTATTATGAGCTGATGTTGATACTTCTCGAACTTTTTCTATTGCTTCTTTAGCCTTAGCCTTTTCTTCCGCCAAACTTTCCAACCCTGATGGTTCCTCAAATAATTCTTTTAGAGTTTGCTGAAATTTAACAGTTAATCATTACATATATACCGATACTTATCAATCACTATTTGGATGATTTGAAAGCTTAAATCTCGGTGCTACTCAAATAGATTTTTATTGATGTATTCATATAAGCCCAATAAGAAAGGGCTTCAGTCTAAATAGAGACAGCTTAAATTATTCATATCATGCACCAATCTGAATAGATAGATATTTATTGATCTGATGATATAATAATAATGAATCTTCATTAATCCGCCAGTTTTCAAATATAGAATTTGACATACCTAAAATAATCATTAGATTCATTTAACAAGTTATTATCTTAAAAATGGAATACCACGAGGACTGAACTATTTACTAACTGTAACCAATAAAGCAAAGTGTTTTAATATACTGTAACACAGTATACATTAAACCATGAGAAATTTTTATCAAGTTGAAGCTGTTTATTTACCTGTTTAAAGAAAGCTGTTGTAAAGTTACCACCTTCTATTGCTAAATCACCCAATAATCTCTTCTGATTCGCTTTCTTCAGAATATTTTCTTCTATTGTTTTATCACTTATTAACCTGAAAATTAAGCAGAAGAAACCTATAAGATTAAGCAACCTACCGCTCTTGTTACATGTATATAGGATTAAAAACCGGATACTTGAATCAATGACAAATCTGAAGAACATCTTTACTCCTCCCCATTTTAAAGAACTAATTTAAAGAAGTAATTTCCATTAATTCAATGGGATACAGAGGGTCAGACGTGACAATGACTTTGTATGAAGACAGCTCTGTGTTGGAATGAATCTTCATTAATCCGCCAGTTATCAAATATAATATTTGACATACCAAATATAATCATAAGATTCAGCGAACATATTATTACACTTTAACACAATCAAGTGAATTAATTCACACATACATTAATTTCTCAAAGTTGAAATTACTAAAAGCAATGTCACACTATCATTTTATTTTTACAGGACTTGCTGTCCACAGTGAATATATTTTAAACCCAATAGGTAACATGTAGGTTAATAAAATAATCCTTTTCAATTCACTAGTATGAAATACTGTACCTGACCAAAACATCAAATACATAATATTACGTATTTTGGCCAATATAGCAATCAATAACTTTTATCTAAAGCATTTTAAACTTTCACAAAAAAACAACTTATCGATGTTAATCTTAATCTTCAGCTCTAAATACAACAAACTCAAAAATAATATTATTACTCTGCCCCTTCTGAGAATACTATTTGGGTCAAATGTCACGCAGTTAGACAACCTACATATCTGTATCATGTAAACGCATGTATTGGTGACCTAGACTATGATTAACAAATGAAATGAAATAGGGTTTAACATCCTACTGTTCTGCTCCGACTGGGCTAATGAAGACAGACACACACACCATAGTGTGCTATTAGGAAAATTTTGCTCATATCAAATTCCAACTGCCAAGAGTACTTTTAAGTGCATACCAATATGTACACAGGATCTCGTTTTTTTTTTGTGCTATTCAAAGGACCATCCCGGGGATCAAACACGGGACTTCCAGGTTACCCACTGACCACCATGGCTCCCCAATTAACAAAAGATACTAAAGTTTATAAATGGCATCACAAAATTTGTGTGACTGGTGGATAATATAATACAGACTGTAAGACTAAACATAATTTGATTGTAACAGCCAGACAATTGAAGAATGTAATTAAGTGAAACCCTCATCAAGTTTTCATTTCATTAGATATCATTTGACGAAAAATTAGAATAATCACTGGGTTTACTTATATAATACATTTTCTACGGGGTCTATTGCACGCTACATTCTGCAGAAAGCTCTACGAGTTCATGGTTCACGACTAAAATATGGTTCAATTTTATTTCAATAATGTGCTTGAGCGTAGTAGCCTGTAGAAGTGGGAGGGAACCCGAGGACCCAGAGAAAACCCACAAGGTTAGACAGGCGACCCTACTCCTTTTCACATGGAACCACCTGATGTAAGATCAAGAATAACAGGTTAACCTACTCAAACATTCATACCATTAACCTACTCAAACTTTCATATCATGAACCTCAAAAAATGAAATGGGGGTTTAACATCCTACTTCATGGAGCTCAAATAGATTACCGAGCAAAGCAGTTTGGTATGCCATCACAAGCCTGAGTTAACACATTGCCCTGATCTGAATAGATATATACTGTCCTGATGACTTATAAACCTGTAACAGTAAATCTCTTTGATCTTTGGGGTATATTCTATGCCCATAATAACTTGTGGTCTGAAAATCGGGGGTGGCTTTGGATACATACAGGGAAATTTGGGGTTCTTCTTCTGAAAGTTTTTCTTTAAACCTGTAACAGGTTTTTCTTCCAGGGTAGGGTTTTTTCCCATAAGAAAACATGATATAAGGTTTTTCTTACGGGAATTCTGGGATATTTTGATCTTGCGTACATAGACGGTTTATAAGCAAGATAAAGTCCTCGACTTCGGTTATGCTGGGGAAGAAAGACTTCAGAAAAAAACCTTTGACATAAACACCTTGGCCTGGGGACCTCGGTTTTTCTTTTTCTCAGGTTATTTTCTTCAGTCTTTCTTTCCCCAGCATAACCTCAGTCTTGTGCTTTATCCTACATTTAATAAATAATGAAAGAATCCTCATTAATCCGCCAGTTTTCAAATATGGAATTTGACGTACCAAAATTAATCATCAGATTCATTTAACAAGCTAATTGGTACAAAGCAAAGTTCTAGTATAGATTTAAACTTACCTATAAATATGGACATCTCGTGTTTGACCAATACGATGACATCTGTCCTGAGCCTGGGCATCCATGGTAGGATTCCAGTCACTATCATAAAATATAACAGTATCAGCACCTGTCAAATTGACACCTATACCACCCGATCGTGTTGACAGAATAAAACAAAATATACGTTTATCACCATTAAACCGATCCATTAATACCTGAAAATAGTAACATATCCATTACATCACAATTTTCATCGTATTATACAAAGTTATTTATGACCAAAAACAAAAATTGTGACTAATTTCCAGGTCAAGGAAAAATGATTTTAACTATCTGACAAAATGTCAACTACTACTGAACTGGTACCTGGCCTTTCGAACTTCATCCTGGTCATATGAATCAATTTTAACAAATAACTAGAAAACGAGACAAATCTGAAAGGTAGCTATTTTACCTTGACAAAGGATCAATTTTTTCCTGACAATGTCTGTAACATGTGCTTTATTGCAGTTTGCTAACATCAAAGATTCAATTTTAATCGCTCCAAAAAGCTGTTGCACATCCAATAAGAATAACTGTTTTTTTCAATGCTTCACATTCATTTACAGAACCTCAAGACACCTGTCAAATCTTCAAAGAAATCAATATGGTTTAATGAAAATTTTCAAACTTACTTGTCTTTGCTCAACTCTGGTAGTACCATCTAATCTAAGATATCGATGACCATGATAATTAAGGAATGCTTCTAAAACATCCAACATCTTTGTCATCTGAGTAAATATAAGCACCCTATGACTACCCGATTTTAATTTAGCTAGCAACCTATCTAATGTTTGAAGTTTCCCTGAAATAAAAACAATATATTTATAGATTATTCTAAAAGACTCAATTGTTAAGACACAAATTTTAATGTACAAAATATTGATTGGTAGACTTCTGAGACCCTATTTTAATTTCTTTATTTCATGACATAAATTTGACTGACAGCTTCAGTAGGTTTCTATAGAAATATTCAAGTGCATTGGTGATAAAGATAGAATTTTCAGGATACATAAGTGAAACATATACCGCTAAGATAACAAAAGCTGTACCAAGTTGAATGGTTCACACAAGTTCTTTGTTCATAGCCTTTTGTCTTCAAATATTTCAACGGAAAATCTTATTGCAGAAATCATGTATCGCATTAACTCTGTCATTTAACAACCATATCCATCAGGGGTATGAGATTTTTACACATATATATAAACCAATAAACATGCACAATAAAATAAATGGAAGAATTCTGTCATATTGATAATACACAAGTTTGAAGAAATCAAATTTACAATACTTCTCCAAAATATTCATATGACTTACCACAATCGTACTGTATAAGACGTAATTCTGGGAACATGACTTGCATTTTAGAAGATATAGTATGAAGACATGTTGATAAAGAGGAAAGTTCTTTCTTTAAAGTATAATTTCTATATTGTTGTTCCACGAGATAAGATGGTGGAGGATGGGATACGTGTAGCTGTATAGAAGGCACTGTAACTGACGGTGTCACAAACACGTAACGATCTAAAATCTCCTTAAGTTCATCCAAATACTGTTCTGGAGTATGGACCATATTTGATAAAGCACTAGTTTTTTCCCAATAATGTTGATTGTTTTGATTATTTTGTGTTGCGTTGTGGCAATGAACGGAACCTAGACCATGCCACGTATTATTGTTCACGCTAGTAACACCAAGATCATTCCAAATATTCACAACTTCACATAAATCATGTCCATAAACAGGTTTAACATCACAGTGTCGTTTGTTTATTTTAGCTATTAATTCTAATTTAGCTTTTCTATGTTTTTCTCTTTTTTCTTTCAACATTTTCTGAAATTAAAACACAAGTTTATGAAATAATTAAAAGACAGAAGTTCTGCACTTTAAACACGTCTTACTTTCAAAAGCCCATCTCTTTATACCATGTTAGTTCAGATAATATAATTCTTGCGAACCGCAAAAAAATAATAGTCTTAATTACTTATTGGCATTTGGTAGTTGCATTTATCTGGTCACTCCATGAAAAATTGGAGGCAAGCTACATAATTACATAACCCTTATAAAATGTTTTGGTGATCATTTTAAGGCCGTCGTTCGCACTTCATTTGGTGAATTTTAACAATAAAATCGTTTTTGAGGTTTTATGATTATCTGCGAGTAACACTATCTAGGAACACATACCAGTCATTTTTTTCACAAAATTCTTCTTTATTTCTACAAAATTTGGTTCTGAATGATCCCACCCTTTTTTATTTTGCCCTAATTCCGCTAAAACTATTGATATAAATCTAAAAACAATAGGCATTTCATACGTGAAATACTTGGCTTCCGACCGGTAAACTGTCGCCATGTTGGATACTGTTTGAAAGCTTGGGATTTCCCCTATTGAAAGGAAATGACGTTTTTTGGGGGTGTCTTGAAACCTTTCTTCTGTATTGAGATAAAAATAGCAAGCAAGAACAAGTTTTGCATACCTAATGAGGTTATTTCGAGATTACGTTATTTGATTGGTCGGTCACATAGGTCAATGGTGAAGTGTCCAATCAGAAGCGGGCAATCCTCTAGGTCAGGTCAATAGGCATGCGCACTAAGCTCAGGTCCCATATCAATCCTGGTTGCTATATTACTGAACCGTACGTCACTGTTTATCAATATTTTTGAAGATTTTCAAATAAAATGCGTTTGAAATTGTTTAGATGACTAAATAAGTATGACAGACACTCATAATAAACAAAATGAAGATGAATATTCGTCTGCTAGACCTAGTAGTGGTATGGTTGCAATACCATTACCAGGTAGGCCTGCTGTCAGTGATTATTATAGTTATGGTTGTTTTGAATAACATCTATTCCTATGCCAATGTACGGTTGTAAATTTACACACAAGAAATAAAATAAGAAAATACTGTATATTGATAAGAAATACATTAGAAAATATATATATTAAAAGTCAGTTTATTAATATTAAATAAATGAATTGAACAGATCGGCGTAAGTTGTTCTACTGAAATACTTCAACTTCAGTTGTTGATTTCTCAAAACAGTTTTTTTCTAGAGTTACCAATTTTAGTCATGCTATATCTCTGAAAGTTATCGTCAGATTTTCTTGAAACGTGGAATATAACTTCCTATATAATAACTTTGTGCAATAGGAGAATTTTATTGAAATCTGCAAAATAGTTCCTGATATATTGTTGCCATAGCAACTGTGACACGTGAAAGAATTTTGAAGTTAACATTAAAATGTGTATAACTTGCTTTCTAATTATTATTTTGTAATGAAACTTGCCTATTGCACAAAGGAACATGTCAGTATCCTCTCTGCTTAATTTTAAAACATTCTGTTGAATAGTTTCTGAGAAACTGGATGACTAAAATTATACGCAGAAATCCAAGATGGCCGCCGTTTCCATAGCAACAGGTACCCCCAGGAAAATTTTTCGGCCGTTTTTGTAATATTCAATGGATGTGTTCTTAGATGTGTAAGAATGGTGACTTTACCTCAATTATTAAAAAAACTGAAATTTTCTACTGTCCACCCCCTTAAAACTGTTAAAAAAATTGAATTTGAAATTTTCAGACAAATTTAATTAATAGACTATTTCTTTTAACAAAATTATTATAGTGTTACCAAAAAAACTATATAATGTGGAACTTACTAGATGTAATTCAGATTGTGGAGGAGGTTTACTTGGTCTACGCTTTGCAACAACTACAGGAGTAGTAGTAGTAGTGTTAGCAGTGTTTGATTCACTTGTCTTAACAGCAGCTATAGCATTTGCAGCTACAAATAACAAAATACTCTTATCATTGTAGAAGACATTCAAAATTCGAGACATAAAATAGTTTTCATTCAGCATTTATCACAATATGCAGCAGTTCATTCACATTATTTTCGAGTCAAGTTTTTTTCTTTTTAAAGAATTTGTAGCTTGATTCAGGTGTCCAAAACTCCACAAAAAAGTTTCGGATGTTTTTGTCAGGCGTTTTTCTTTCCCTTTGTAATGTAAATCCCAGATTTAATCATAAATACAGGAGGCGTTCAAGGGAATATAAATGAGAACAGAATTAAGATATATCTGACAACAAAGTTAAACTGGTTAAATATATTAAACTATAACACATACTTAATGGAAAAACAGCTACTAATTTATTTGGGCAAAGTTTCGATGAGTATTCTCTCAACGTTATCAAGCTCATTAGTTGCTTAAAACAGTTTAAAAGTGTGAGATGTGATAGCTACCAGGTAATAGTAGATTTTAAAATTGTGTGCTACTTACGCAACTTTCAATTTTTAACCACCTTATTACCACAAGCGTAACCTAAAGCAGTGATCAACAACATTTTTAATGAAGTTTATAGAGAATTAGACATATAAATACTAACCCTGTGCAGCAGTAACTGTAGATAATGAAGATAAATTTCTATTAGATGATGTAGTTGTAGTTAGATCAGTAGTAGAAAGCGGAGTAACACGCATCACAGGTTTTTGACCAGCAACAATTGAACCAGATGGTAATTGTACTGGTGTAGTTTTAACTTGAGTTATAACTGGAGTTGTTATAGGGGCAACAGAGGTATTTATTGTTGATACACTGGCTGTTGATACTATCACCATTTTACCTGAAATAATTCATACAAAGTTCTTAGTAACAAACTGAACAATCGATCTCTACAAGAATTTTAGTTATTTGTAAGTATCATCAATCCTTTATCAAATTATGGGCGATCAGTTTGAGTCACATTGGCCAATAAATGGTCTTGAGTGACAAACCTCATTTGATAATGTAGCACAAATCGGAAATTTCATCTATTCTGATTTACAACACTGAAATATATGGGTTTAAGCACACAAACTTCATCAAATTTTACAGCAATGCCCAGCAATATTCTGCAAGTTCGCATACCTGTCAAAATGGTTTTCCACATTATGTGAGGTATTGGCGGCAAGTCAAAAAAAAAAGATATACAATAAATGTATACAATGTAATCATAAGATAAAATCATGATATAACCTCCAAACCCGAGATATAGCTAATAATTTATATAATTCAGGGCTTCGAGATTCATGTAGCTTGAATCAGGTGTCCAAAACTCCATAAATAAAGTTTCAAATGTTTTTACCAAGAATTTATATATCCCTTTGTTTAAAAAATCCTTGATTCAATAATAAATGAAGGACGCGTTAAAGGGAGAAAGTTGATTAAATTAATGTGAAATATTACCTTGTGTAGATGCTATCTGTATAGGAGCTACAGGTTGAACTAATGTACTAGCTGAACTAGTTGTAGCTATCAGTTGTTGACCTGTTTGAACAATTTGGATTAACCCAGCTGAAAGAAGTATATTTTCATCATTTTACAAATACTAGAGTTTGATTATGTATCGAGAAACATCTTCTAGCTTTAGATATAATTGACAAACGTACAGAGAGTTCATCATTACTTTTCAACATCACTTGGTCTTCAGATGTTGACAATTTACCCACTTCATTTTCAGAAAAAAACAGATCGTGAAATGCAATCTAAAGGACAGTTTGCAGGTGACTTTCCAAATTACATTGTTTGACTCTAAACGGTTATTATATATGATTAGATATAGACTAACCTGGTAATTGTGAAAACTGACTGGTTGGTATCATTAACCTTGTACCTTGTTCTGTTTGTTGTATTTGTACAGTTATAGGTTGTGATGGCATATTAGACGAACCAGATGTATGTAATAAACCTATAACACAATTTACATACTATTGCAAAAATTTTGTTTAAATGGCTAGAACTGATGCTTATGGCCAGTAAATGGATTAATTCACTTGATTAACAGTTCTGAGTAAATACTATTTTGAGGATGTCAAGTAAGTTAGTATCATGTTTTTCTAGTTTTTGTGGTCTAAACTAATAGAGATATTAATGCTCTAGTTGACTTGTAGCTTGAATCAGGTGTCCAAAACTCCACAGAAAAAGTCTCGGATGTTTTTACCAAGCAGTTCTCTTTCCCTCCTTATAAAATCCTTGAAATCAGTTATTATCAAGGATGCGTTCAAGGGATGTAAATGCAGAAAGATTTCCTTATCAACTCTAAAACTTTAAATTAAGATTTCCAAGATTTGGGTAAAAAATAAAGTTGTCGATTTTATTGGAAGTTGTTTGTGAATTCGTACCATATGAACGACAAGACACTGTTCCTTGTCAGGCCCTCCATCTTGCACAAGGGGAAACCATGCCGTAAATTCCTAGGGAACTTTCTCTGGCAACATCGGGAGTGAACCCGAGACCTGGTTAGCAAGCTCCCTTAAAGTGTGTGGAAGAGATATTACCTTGTATTTGTTGTGGTAGAAGTCTAGTAGTAGAAGGACTAGAGGTGGTTGTAGATAATGTAGATGAGGACGATGATAACAGAGACAGTTTACTCCCACCTGTTACACCAATCAAAGATGGCTGACTCACAATATTCACTTTTAATGGCTGCGATACTGAAAACATTGTAAAATTAATCATACCCTTAATTAATGTATTAAATACAGAACTTCTTTGCCAATCTGTGGTTATAGGGCGCTGAGAGGTTTAAAAGGCCATTTTAAAGCTAGCCCTTTAAGCACCACTCCGCCGCTCTCAAAAATCATTTTATACATTCAAAAATGGTAATCTTTGACCATCAAAAAATGAAATTCAGCCTTGTTCCAGTTGCTATAAATTGTAGACCTGGATAATCGCATCTTAAGAGGGAATTCCTTCTGACATCATATATAGACGCAATGATCCAGTGTGAACCTGCTGCTTAAGGCGGTCATGATTGTTTACTGCGGATGACGTGAACGGTGTGTACGACATCATAATTTATTCAAGAACTGATCTAGGTCGGGGAAACCCTGTTTGCTATAAATAGTTTTTTCTTTCCGCTTGTATCTCCATCATTACACAACAAACAGTTGGACTGTTATGTGTCCTCTGGGTTATTTTACACATGAAACAAGTGTGCAAAGTCTTAATAAGATTGGTGTTGAAAGTTAGTGTGTATCTTCGACTACTCAATACCCTTAATGTCTAAACTAACTGATGATAATGAAGCTAGAATAGAACATAGCTTTGTAAGACAATGAATATATGACACCCATCAGCCGTTTTAAAGGTCTCTTTCCAGTTCTCACTGTCTGGGGCAATGTGAATTTTAATCATCTTCCTCCTAGGTACTTCTTACCATACCAACATATTAGAACAATTCCATCTAGTTAAAAGAACCAGCGGCTGCCAGGCAGGATACGCCCACATTTTCAAGAGAACAAGCTAAAAAGAAAGTGATTTTTCCTACAATCAAGGGCCATAATTCAGGAAATTACAATTCGATATGCGCAATTTTCGAAAGGAACTGAGATCTTTGCGTTATAAACTTACATTTCAAGTTTCAACAAAATCGGATAAAAATTGTGACCTCTATAGGATCCACAACCTTGATATACCATATTTTTACGCTATTTGAGAACGAAGGGCGGCCATTTTGTCTGTCAGTTTTGGGCCGATTTTCAGGAAATTCAAACTCGGCCGTCCTTAGTGTGTAACAATTATATATTAATAAGTTTTTTTTGTCGTCCGATAACGGTGAATATCGAATGGAACCAAGATCGTAGGGTTATAAACCTATATTTCAAGTTTCATCAAAATCAGATAAAAATTATGACCTCTATAGGGTCCACATGCTAAAAACGTGATTTTTCGTACAATCAGGGACCATAATTCAGGAAGTTACGGTCCGATATGCGTGAATATCGAAAGGAACCGAGATCTTTCGGTTATAAACTTACATTTCACGTTTCAACAAAATCGGATAAAAATTGTGACCTCTATAGAGTCCACAACCTTGATATACCATATTTTTACGCTATTTGAGAACGAAGGGCGGCCATTTTGTCTGTCAGTTTTAGGCCGATTTTCACGAAATTCGAACTCAGCCGCCCTTAGGGTGTAACGGTGATATAATAATACGTTTTTTTAAATCGGATAAAAATTATGACCTCTATAGGGTCCACAAGCTAAAAACGTGATTTTTCGTACAATCAAGGGTCATAATTCAGGAAATTACGGTCCGATATGCGCGAATATCGAAAGGAACCGAGTTCTTTGGGTTATAAACTTATATTTCAAGTTTCAACAAAATCGGATAAAAATTGTGACCTCTATAGGGTCCACAAGCTAAAAACGTGATTTTTCGTACAAACAGGGGCCATAATCCATAAAGTTTCGATCCGATACATGCCAATATCGAAAGCAACCGAGATCTTTTGGGGATAAACCTATATTTAAAGTTTCGTCAAAATCGGATAAGAATTGTGACCTGTAGAGAGTCCACAAACAATTGTGGACATCCAGACATATGGACGTCCGGACGGACAGGGGCGACGACAATATACGTCCACATGAACATGTGGGCGTATAAAAAATCTGATCTAAGAATCACCCTAAAAAGTGTGTAAATGAAAATACTTACTTGGTGTGGGTCTAGCTAATGTTATTGGTGGTGTATCACTTCTAGAGGTAGGTGTAGCTAATCTTACAAATGTAAGAGGTGAAGCTGAACGTTGTTGATTTGTCACAACTAATGGTGAAGCACGACCGGGCTATAATTAATTTTGAAACAAGAGGATAAATTAGTTAAAAGTAGATACTGTAAAATATAAAATAAATGCCAAGACATAAACGTTAAGACAGGTTGCTGGACATGTCAAAACGAACGCTCAAGTTGTTGCATTTTTAAATAATGGGAGCATTTCAACTTAGCTCTTTTGTGTTGAAAATCAACACTCTGCATAGATTTCCAGTCAATTCAAAGATAACTTTAATGGCCAGCTTTTGCAAGATGGTTCAAAATGGATGAGGACATTTAACTCCAACGGTAATTACTGGAAATCGTCCAAAATAGATAAGCTTCGTCTTATAGACATAAACTCACAAGGCTGGACAGTTGGCCCTACTCCTTGTCATGGTCAAGCAGGGAATCAAAATCATACCACTTGACTAAATGACAGACCTTAAGATCTAAAGCATGTGCGTTAAACCATTCGGCCACCATTTATCTCTATAATAAGTGGTATATTATCTATTTACTAAGAGTTGATCATTTTATGATATCTCTATTAACACTTATGATGCACAGCTTACTTCCTAATTTTGAACTTACTGATACTCCCTAATTTTGAACTTACTTGTATTACTGCTGGAGAAGCACTTCTAAAATTCAGATTTTTTAATCGACCGGGTTTCAGCTTTGGCGTAGGATCTACATAATCATCTATTTCTTCTATGAGTTTACCCGGAGTCTGAAGATTTCGAACATGATGAGCAACAAAAGCAGGAAGATTTAATTCCATTTCAACCAAACTTGGGTATAGACAGCGGACATCAATATCCTGTAGAAATAGAAATAAATTATCAGATAGTTACAGACTACACAACTTCCCATAATTTCATCTTTTGAGAGATACTCTACCTTTGCAGAAATGAATACTCTTCATCCCACGAACTGCGAATATCAAGAGAAAAAGGGGATTTGGGAGTATAAAAATAAAGATCGTGCCAAGAGAACTTAAACATTTTCGATTTGTTCAATTATAATTATAATTCAAAAGTATAACATCAATCATTACAATATGTTTGAGAAACTACAAATAGCAAAGAATGTAAACTCACCTTAAAAGGATCATATTGTAGAGCTTTAAGTACCATTGATGCCGTAGTATATACAATACCCTCCATTTGAAAAGGTGAGACTATTGGCCTTGGATCAAACAGATTTGGATGATTACAAACCTTACGTAGCTGCATTAAAACATTTATTACACTCAGAAAATCTCCAGAATGTAATGTATCTCTCGTTCTGAAATTAAATTATAACAAACTGCTGAAAACATGGATTATAGATTGCAATTACTTCAACCCTTTTCAGGTCATATTCATTTCAGAAAAGTAAATTTATTACAAAAATACCGTGGATCACCTTACTATCAATATATACAATTATGTTGACCTCTTTCATAGGGCATTAATTCCAATAAGCATTAAATTCTTGTTTTTACAGAACTTACTTTGTTTGTCCCATAAATTCATCATAGAGGTAACGTTGTCTTTTAGATAATTTACACATCACAACATGCTCATATTTCTTTGGCATTTGTTTCTCTACATCATCTTTTAATCTTCGTAATAAAAATGGACGTAGTACCTAGAAAATATTTAACATTGTCTAATAATGTCTGTTTAGTATCTACAGGTAATTATATTGCTATAATATATTTTTACTTCTGAAAGTAGCTCTCAGTGAAAGATAAGGAGTTTACTTCTGACAGTAGCCGACATTGTTTAGAGAAAAAAAAAACAGCAGTTGCCAGGCAAGATATGCCCACATTTTGCAAGAGATGGATAGAGAACAAGCTAAAAAAATAAAACGCACTATTTATCGTACAATCAGGCCATAATCCAAGCAGGTTACAGTCAGTTATGCGCGAATGGAATATAAACACATGTTGTAAGTTTCATTAGAATAGGATAAAAATTGTGACCTCTAGATGGTCCTCAACCTTGATATTACATACTTTAACACTATCTGCGTACAGGGCCAGGTCATCAGTTTTGGTCCGATTTTCACGAAATTCGAAAGCAACCATCATTAGGGTTTAACGATGATATACTTAATCAATTTTGAAAATCGGATAAAAATTGTGACCTGTAAAGGATCGCGATTTTTTTCATATAATCAGGGGTCATAATCCAGGAAGTTACAGTCTGTTATGCGCGATTATCGAAAAGAACCAAGATCTTTGATATATAAACACGTTTTAAGTTTCATCAAAATTGAATAAACATCGTGAACTCTAGATGGGCCACAACCTTGTTATTATATACTTTTTAACACTATTTGCGTATATGAAGCTGCCATTTTGGTCCAATTTTCACGAAATTCGAACTCAACCACCATAATGGTGTAGCAGTGACATATTTAAACGATTTTTCAAATCGGAAAAAAATTACGATGTGATTTTTCATTCAATTTGGGGGCATAATCCAGTAAGTTACGGTCCGATATGTGCGCATATCGAAAAGAACTAAGATTGTTAGGTTATAAACATATATTTCAAGTTTCATCAAAATTGGAACAAAATTGTGACCTGTAGAGTGTCCACAAACAAATTGTGGAAGGACAGACAGGTGAAAACAAAATACATCCACATAAAAATGTGGGCATATAAAAAGCAGGTTAACCGCCACACAACACAACTTTCTTTTTTAACAACTATTAAAATTATCTTCCGTTTCTTACCTTATGTAATCGTTTAACAAGACTATCATTATAATCTTGACTACCTTCCACCATTCCAGTCAATGGATTAGCAAACCATTCCTTAAATTCTTTATGTGATTGAAAAACATGTGGCATAAGGAAATGCATTAAAGACCATAACTCCATCAAACTATTCTGGAGAGGTGTACCCGTAAGTAGAAGTCGTCGCTGACTTTGAAAATTTAATAACATTTGCCACCGCTGAGATTTGAAATTCTTGATATTTTGTGCCTGAAGAGGAAAATTCAGACTTATTATTTACAATTGTCATACCAGAACAAGCCAACAGTCAGGCTAATGTCCTCCGTCGAAATCCCCAAATAAATAGAAATACTGGTTTCATCAATCTTGTGAAAGGTGTCAAAAGGCAGAATATGTTACCTCCAAACCATATGATATCACTTGCAAGCAGACTTAAATTTTTACACAGAATAATATTTGGTAGTGAAAAGAAATATACAATGTGTTACCTCATCAAGTATCAAGTACTTCCATTTTTTCCGTCGGAAAGCTGCATGATCTTGGATAACCAGTTTATATGAAGTTATACAGACATGGAATGCATTTGTCTTTGTCCAGCCCTAAAATACAGGAATATATGTTAAGAAAAATCATCCAATCAACTAAATGTCATTAATCAAAGTTCTTTAAATATCTGAACAAAGCAAATTGAGAAAATCTGCAAGATGTTCATATACCTTGCCAAAGATACAATCTGATAAAACCTACAAGCACAATGGTGACAGACCAGTGATCCATATAGCAAAATTGTGGACCATTATGTCAACAATCTCCCACCATATGACAGTTTTGTTGGAGATGATGGAAGAACAAATAACTACTTGTACCTGTCTTTTTAATTTTCTTTCCTTCTGACTACCGTAATATGTGAGAATTTTGAAAGCAGGGCACCATTTTTTTAATTCTATTTCCCAATTTAACATGACACTAGTAGGAACAACAATAAGATGTGGGCCCCATACACCTGAAAAAATCCAAATACATCAATAAATGTCAATATCTGAAAATTGATTCCTTTAAACATAACATAAATCTAGATACTCACAAAAGCAATTTAAACATCTTTCCCTATATTCCGACACTCTCAGCTATCTCGGTCTACTAATACATTAAGTAACCTTGGTCAGGATGGAATTATAAATACCACAGGAACAATACCACCAAGGAGTTTTGCGTGGAAATCATTCTCATTAATGTGGGTGTATAATAAAAATGTTCATCAAAGGAAACTGACCTTTTTCACAGGCAAGATGAGCCAATACTGATATGGTCTGTATAGTTTTACCTAAACCCATTTCATCGGCTAATATACCATTTAATCGTTTAGAATACATGGTAGCTAACCAATCTAATCCAACATGTTGATACTCTCGTAACGTATGTTTTAATAAGAATGGTACGACTGTTTTAACCTGTAAATATAAATATCATACTTTATCGATAACATTTTAACAGAGCTGCATTCTAAAAATATAACTAGCAACAAAATGTAAATTATTTATGAAACTGTTCCGTTTATGATAGGCTATAAATAGAAATAACTGGTAACAAGGTGTAGATATTTTTACTTACAGAAAGGGCTATAAAATGGGAGAAAATTGAAAACATTGAGCCTAAATTTCAGAATCACGGTAGCCTCAAAATTAGATGGCCTCTAATTCAGTTTTGCAAGCTGTCAACTACTCTACACAGTCCTGTGATATTACTACATTGAATCAGTAGAATATTTTTACCTCTGTTGTTTCCAGAGTATAACCTTTTGGTTGTAAACTAAGAGCTTCAGCAGCTATATCTGTTATTTCTTTACCAGGACCAGTTTCAAGTTTTTCTTCTACTTTTACTTCAACCTGATACACAAAACATATATTGGTTACAACACAAAACATTATAAAAACAAAAATCATGACTAAAATATTTCTGATCATTTATTTAAAATGTACAAAAATAAAAATATCTCAAGGGGTTTTCTGTATTCCTTAACCCGTTAAGCGTGACGTTAATTGTGTAATTAATTTGACGAAGTAACAAAGAACTATGTTATAAGAATAGGTTGGGGAAAATACCTCCAAGGCGTTATATTACGCCCTACACACAGTGAGTGGCAGTTGTCCAGGACCTAATATAACATCCTACACATGCTGCGATCGTGGAGGAATTCCCAAGGGATTCCCCCAAGTGACGAACTATGTTCTAAGAATAGGTTGGGGAAAATACCTCCAAGGCGTTATATTACGCCCTACACACAGTGAGTGGCAGTTGTCCAGGATGTTATATAACGATCTACGCACTTAACGGGTTAAAGATATAAAGCATTAAAAACTGTGTTTACTACTCTTTGCTGATAAAAAAAACTCACTGTTGTGTGTATATGAAATACCTGTTTAGAAGTGTCTGTTTCTTCTTGTGGTTTTAACAAGAAATCAAGACCAACATCAATGTCTTGTTTTTCATCATCATCCTCATCGTCTTCTTCCTCCTCCTCCTCCTCCTCCTCCTCTTCTTCTTCTGATGATGATTCTTTAGCACTTTCTACATAAATAAATTTGTGAAAATACATAAAAAAAGGCTACTTCAATGACAAAATTTACTGGATCAATGCCCATCGTGTTGAAACATACCTGTTTATCTACAGTTTATTGAATAAATTTAGTTTCATGTTTTTAAGTATACTTCGATACAACCTATTAGATGAATAGTTGATCAAGTATACAGATTCTTTCAGTTTATCGACAGTCATCAATAAATCAGTCCGCCCGTCGAATATCTCATCATAAAGAATTGTTTCAAAAGAAATTTAACCAAATATTCAGTATGAAGATACACAAATCATTATAATACCACTTCCAAAGTCTGTGACAGACACCATATCAAATCTTTCAGTTTTTATTCCATATTGTTTGAAGTTGTGACACCGTCTTTACTATTGAATTATGGAGTAAATTGAGATATCCAGATTGACTTGTAATGTTAAATTCAGTTTAAATAATGTTTGCTAACCTTCGGATTCCTCATCTTCTGTACTTTCCTCTTCACTTTCTGGCATCTCAAAATCACTGTCATATGCTCCAGCATATTTCTTAACTAAATCTTCCATAGACATCTCACCTTATAAAATACAGGAACATAAATAATATAACATGATGAAACAAGCATATACCTCTACTGTTAATACATAATATTCTAATCATAAACACTGACCTTCAGCTTGTAGTTCATCTAATTCTTTTTGATTATCTTTTTCATGTTTTTCCTGTTCATCTATGGTATCTTCTAGATCTGCATCATCTTGATTAGCTTTGAATTCATCATCACTACCCTTCTCCTGTAAAACAGTACAAATGATGATGAAACAAGGAACTTTGCCACACACCAGTGTTTCTGCAGCTACTATACTTTGAAATCCATGTGTTACACCTACTCAATCTGATTAAAATACAGATCTATATTTCATTTGGATTTTTTATACTTTCAATGGCCTCTACTACATGAAGATCTGATTTGTAGTAGTGGAAGGTCGTCTAAGGGGTCATACAAGCAGCTTTTGACCCTACAACGTCAGAGATTTGATTAAGCAATCAGCGTTGATGGTTCTAGTGCGATACACACAGTCCCGTGCACCAAACGCCAAAAGCTAGGGGTGACAGACTGTTTCATTGGCTAATCCCCCACATCAACCAGAACGGAGGTTATATAACAAATCTTTCAGATCTTAGTGTAGTAAAGACAAGTAAAACAAAATTTTGAACTATAAAAATTGAAGCGAAATAGGATCTGTGTTTTAATCAGATTGTACAATGTACAGCTACCATACTTTGAAATCCATCTTTCAAAGACTGTTTCTAAAATAGACTATGTAGTTTTACAAACCTCTTCAGAACTAGAATCTGATTTTGGTAAAGCAGCAGGCTGATTTAAAACTTCATTTGGTAATGTTTTTAATAAATCTTCAATTGGTAATTCACTTTCTTTCTGTAATTCTTCTAATTCTTTTTTAGTTGATTCCTGCAAGTAAAGGAATTACAATTTACATGGGTTTGGTCATTCTGACAAAGTATTTTTCATTTTCTATAGTTACTTGTGAAAGGTGAGGTAATTTTGAATAGATAGCTGCATTGGCACTACACTAATTGTACCAAGTACTTAGATCAGGTGGCCAATCTGTGCCATTGCACCTCATGGTAATGATCTAACATAAAAAAGTGTCAGTATCTTTTAATTGTCCATAATTCCCCCCCCCCCCCCACACCCATATTATTTTACAAGGTGGTATCACTAAGTTTTTAAGTAGATCTGTTTTGGCAAAGAGTTCATGAGTTTTGATCTCTTCTGTTATTTTTTCTTAATTCAATCTTTTGATGACGTACAGACAATATTTGGTAGATGGAATGTGCATGGTTCGTCAGCCATGGCCTAGATCCTTGTCAGAACTTTGTGTTCGCCCATTAAGTGTTGAACCTTACAAGAGACATTCTATTCAGAATCCAATCCCATAACCGTATTCCACAATAGCTGAAAAGACTACCAACTTACATCATCAATACCCGATTCATTCTCTTCTTTCTCTATTGTTTCTTCATCATCAGATGCTGTTCCTACAGGTTCAAACTCAACTACAAAATACAATATAAATACATTAGTATTATATATATATCAAAGTAAATTGAGGGCATTGAAATAAAACCAGATTCTTAATTTGGAAAAGAACTATGACCACTCTTGGAAACTTTGTAGTAGAAACTAGCTCTACAGTATAAAGATAAAATGTAACCACTATGGGCACCTTATTTTAACCATTTTGAGCTTCCACCATATTTGTCTTTAGAAATGAAAATACTTTTATTCACAAAAATTTCAAATTTTCTGTTATTGGTTGCTTTACTTCAGCAATTGTCAATTGTTTTTTTCTTAAAATTTAATGGTATAAGCTTATACAAACTTCAAAGCAAGGTATTTTCGCCATTTTCGGAGATAAATTTGTGTCAGATTTCAAATTGACTTTGAATACAGGAATTAAACTCATATTTTGATCAATGAGTAAAATTTACTCTGAAAAATGGTGGACCCAATTGTGTTACAAATTGTAGTAAAAAACCCCAAAAAACACTCAATTTTGTCAAATTCAAAATCAGTGCAACACTGTTTATTCTGAATTTAATATCTACCGGTACTTACAATCGCCTTCACTAGATTGTGCTGGTGATGATATAGAACCATTAACAGATGAAGGCCCTACACTACTACCAGTATGTAAAGTTTCGGTTAACCATGAAGAATATTTCTCTGTTTGATCAACAATAAAATTAAGATGAACATCTAAAGCTTTTTTCTTTCTCTCCTCCATACGAGATTGTTGTTTATATTGCACCACTTTTTCTATATTCGACCAAAATTCTTTTACTATTTTTGCCATCTGTGTAGCAGTTCTTTTCAGCTTTTGTGCTTCTTCCTTTTCTGCTCTTACTTCTTTTTGTTCCAATTCTTGGTGATATTTTGCTACCATTCTGGCGATCTATAATTATACAATATAAAATTTTCCAAAAAACATGCTTATGTTTTCATACGAATTGGTGAAATTTCAACTTAACAAGTTTCCAGCAGACCTAATAAAATTCAAATTATTGAATAGAATGGGTTTATATTATTTTCCATTACTAACCACTAAGTGTTCTTTCTACATTGTGGAGATGGGTGGACTGTATTTTTCCGTCCAATCTGAAGAAGTAGGCACACCTTCAAATCTGTCAAGTGGGAAGTGGGAACCCAGACGTGAAATATTTGTTTCTTGTCAGCCCAAAATTAGTCTGGAACATTTTATACTCTAGCCTAATAAATACAGTTCTGTAACCATGACCCTCTAAGATACAAATACAGTTGCTATAATTTTATATAAAAGAAAAATATATCCATTCTTGACAAAAAAACTAAGCATGGAGAAGGTTTTCCCTTGATACTGACCTTCCTACAAGCTGCTTTTTTCCATTTTCTTTCCTGAACAAAATCTGTGGCCAGCCACTGCATTTCTTCTAATAAATAATCCCAATGAGCTTTATTACGCGGAGGTTCATGAACTTTAGGTAACCTTCGAGATGACCACATACCCTCTTTTCTCATCTCTGCAACTCTTTGCATTACCTGTGCTTCCTAAACAAAAAAGAAGCCCAAAAAACATGAAAACAATGAAATATGATTTTTATTAACTGGGAATTGATTCTCCTGTTAGTTTTGGTATTCTAATGTTATAAAATGGTCTATTGTAAAGATTACTTTATAGAAAGGAATGTATTCTTAAGAGATTATCAAAACTTTCCATTTTAAGTTTTAGACATCATTCAAGAACGTTAATTTAAGGCCAGTGCCACAAGACAATTACTATATAAAGTAACAACTTTTGGTATTTTGGCCTACATAAAACTCCATAAATAGAAATTCCATGCACAATAATTTCATATTTATCCAGAACTATTTTATTAATTACCTGTTTAGCTCGTTCAACAATAGCTTCTTGTGAACCTATAGAACTGTCATACACAGCCGATATGGATTGTTGACGAGTGTGCTGCCTTGGTGATAAGGGAGGAGATTTTTGAATTTTAACTGTTGTACCTGTACCAAGCCCACTAAAAATATAGGTCAGATTAAATACTACATACATATATTTTGTATATAACATTTCGCTTTTCATTCAACTTTCCCCAATAATAATAATGTGCATTTATAAAGCACCTAATCCATCCAAAGTGCATGCTCTAAGCATATATCAATATGAGGAAAATATAAATTTGATAATTCAGTAATTATTTATACAATATTCAATGTGGATTAAAACAATAATTGGTTGAAACTTACGGAGAAGATAAAGGAGTTTTTAGAGACTGTGTTGTCTTAATTGAGAGTGGTTGTGAGACATTTTTACTGAGGTGAATCTGTAATTGAGTTGAATTGGTTGTGGGTGTAGCTGAAGTTGTCGACAAGATAACAGAACCAGGTACAGGCAAGGATACATCTACAGTCGTCGTTAATTCCCCTACTGCCGTCGGCTGAACAGGTAAACCTGAAATGAAACATTTCCGTCAACATCCCATGTATTCTTAAATACACACATGTAAACAGAAAGTACACCTGCAATATAAGCTATTCTTTTCTTCAAAAGAAATAGGTACAAATTGCATATCTCTGAAAGCGGAAGCAAAATGCAGCATCTAATTGACAGAGGTAGGCACAGTTCGCCGTTCCTAAACTATCAAAGCTTTAAAAGTCGAGTATTACCTGAGGCTACACCTGGTGATCGACTACCTGAAGACTGTCCACTTTTAGACAACTTGCTATCGGAACCTAAATCAGGTTAAAAATAGGTTTTCAACAAATGTCTTTCCAACATAATCCAATAAAGATATAATAAAAATTCAACTATATCTTAATCTTAATACATTTCGTTTATAAAAAAAAAAAATACTTTTTCTACATTTACTTTACAATACATTAAAGGAACACAGAACTTTTTTAATTACGAAAAATTAATTTCAACTACCAAATATTTAATTACTATAGTACTGTTTTATTTACTAAAAAATTTATTATAGAAATCAGAACATGCAAGTAAGAGTTGTTAGTAGAAGCACAACTACAATCGCCATTCTACAACATTTTAGTAAAACGTTTGGAATGTAAAAATGTTAATGTACAAAATACCATCAAACCTAAGTCTACAAGAAGCCAACCCTTACCATCAAATAATTATACCAGACAAATTTTACACAAGACATACAATATTAAATTAATACAGTGTTACTTTTATTAGGGGACCATCATTCACATATGGTAAGGATTTACAGCCTATCAACTAGGGAACAAGGGGGCACACACACAACTACTTCTATTGGTCAGTCTCATAAGCCAACTAGATCTTAATTAAATTCACTGACAGCACAAACCAAATTAACTACCTTTTACAAACAATAAAGTGCAAAGTCACAACTATTAAAAAGAGGTGGTTTAAAAAAAATAATTTAAAATTAGGCAACTAAATTTACATTGACGACTTCTCAAGCTAACTGACCCTCTCAGCTACATGTACCATATATGGCGAAAAAGCATGTGACATGAATTGAGCGACACGTCTAGAAGGAAGCAACTGAGAACCTCTAATATTTGATATAAACTACACGACAATAAGGCCACTGATCATGCAACATCAAAAGGTTTGAATATGGAAAATTTTCCTGAATACCCTTTGCATATGCAGATAGTTGCTTGAGGAAGTCCTGAATGTTGGGGTTACGATGGTCCGAACTACTAGGGAGCGTGTTAGTGTTGAGGAAAGGGGCTTGCAATACTTTAATACCTTGTTGACTCAAGGCAGATACACAGGGTGGCAATGTCGTAGAAATGGCAACAGGTGTCGCCAATGGAACATTACTGCCTGCACTTGTTAGCACTTTCACCTGAAACAGAAATTTATTTATTGATAACTTATTACATATAATGTTCTGGCATGACAAGACTTAGGTCTAAAAACTTTACCATTGAAAGTTCAACATTTGTCAGCCATACTTGAAAATTATGTACAGTTCAAAATTTTATCTTTGGGGCAGGGAAAAGAATAAGTACTAGCCTACAATCCAATTATTTTTTCTATTTAGAAGGCGGAATTCACAAACAGTTGCATACCTTTTTTTAAATCTACCCCTAAGAAGTGGATCACAAAAATGACAAATATAAAAGCATAATTACTTCATCGTTGATTCTCTTTTCTTGTAGATGTTCCTCTTCTTCATCACTATCAAAATTACTAGATTTTAAAAACTGAACCAACTGAGGTGTTGGTCTTTTTTTCCAGGCATGAAAGTCCATCATATTACCAGAATTTTGTAAGAAAAATAACTCAGTTAAGTTCTCAATGCAACTTTCTTTAATTTCACTGAGAGCTTTATAATGTTGATCTAGAATTAGTCTCCTGCTGCGTCCTATATCGGGCGTCGCAGGTGGTTTCTCCTCTAGTTTCATTTTCTTTCTCGGTGGCTGACCTGATTGCGTTGTAATAACTCGGGAAGATGGGGAGGTCAGTGTTCCAATAGGATGAGCCATAAGTTGCCTGGTGTCTATCACGGTCCTATTGGATACAGGTGTACCCTGTGAACCAGGGCTAGTCTGACTAGACCGCCTCTGAGCTAACTGCTGTGCTTGCTGGTTTATGCTCATACTGAGTCGGTTTTGCTGAAGGTTGGACAGGGGTGGTTGCCCACCCCTCGTAGGGCTTTGACCATGGTGGTGGATGGTGCCCCCAGATGGGCTGACACTACTTGTAGACGACGTAATGTTTCTTTGTCGCTGTTCTACTTGTGGAGAGACAACGGTTCCAGAAACAACATGAACGGTTGCGGTTTGTAAAGGTTGTTGATGGAATGTCTGAGGACTGATTGTCGACACATTCACAATATCTGAAAAAAAGAAAAATTGAAGTAACACAATATGGAACAAACTGTAACAATGGGTTTGAGTTTCAAGTTTCTTGATTTAAGAGTTTTAACAATGACTGAAATATTCTATTTATGAAACATTAATCTTGATTCCATTCCTTCAGGCTTAAATTCACCAATTTTCATAGGAACCCACTATGATATTTTCCTTACTGCAATGTTTAGGAATCTTCTGAATCTGGATATAATTTCTCTTTCTTGCTGTCCAACAGAAATAACACTCCTCAATGACTAATAAATAAAAATTATTTTCTACTTACTAGAGGAAGATAATTGTTGTTGTAGTACATTGATGTCAGAAAGATTAGCAGCTTGACCTGTAGAGATTAAAGTTTGTACAGGGGCCACTAATCTTGTTACTGTGGGAGTGGAGGTCAGAACAGAAGTTGGAGGCTGAACGGTGGAATTTTGGCCAAGCTGTGGTTGTAAAGTAAAACTAGTTGTATTTCCTCCTATACTTTGAACCACACCTGAAGAAAAGAAATTCATTCCATTAACAGTCCTCATCAAGAACTCAAAATTATAATAAGAGTTTTTAGATGCATTTACCGGTAATTTGATGGCAATATCTTTCAAATAACATTTGAACAGCTACACTTAGCCCTAAAACTTTTAGGCTTTTACTAAATTTGTATTTGTTACTTTAGTGGCGTACAGATTCTGATATCTTATTCAAGCATTACAAACTAATTTCAAAACAAAAATTAAATTTAATTTACCAATGGTGTTTTGTGAATGTCCAGTTAGAGCTTGTAGTTGTTGCCCTGTAATTGCATATTGTTGCACTGTTCCTGCCTGGAGAACAGAGGCTTGAGGAATGACCGAGACCACCACACCTTCTCTTCCTGTCGGAGTTGTTTTCTGTTGGTCCAAGTCATTTTTCCCATTTTGATCACCCCTCTGCATGCTGCCCAAGCCTCCTACAATAAATGATCAAAGCCATGAGTAATTTATAGAATAAAGGATTGTAAATGAGCATTCATTTATATGGCATTGATGTGACTGTGATTCGAAAGCGTATTCATTTATGTATTTGATAAGTTATCGTAACAAGATATTTTTGTACATAGTTATGTTGGCAGAAATTTAAAGGCCAGTCTGTTTTCCTTTATATTCAATTGGAACAATGTAGCTCTAATCACTTTCTCAAACGCTTAAGAAAAACTTGGAAAAATGATTTGTTTTTAAGTAAATATCACTTCTTTGTGGCCGACGGTACAAAAACATCCCAGCCCAGATGAATATCATCTGCGGCATTGGATCAAATCCTTATTATTTACTATAGTTACAAATTGTTATTGAATCCTGGGCATGTGTGTCAATCAAAACAAAAGCACGTGTTGTCTGGTTACTTTTTTTTTTATTAATTTTATTTTAGAAATTATATCTTTGGTTTTCTTCATACATTTTGCAAGTCTTTAACGAAATATTAAATTTAATAAATTGTCTAATTTAATAAAATTATAATAAATACAACTTTGCTGTGAAATAAAAGATTAAAATTTAATAATGGTCGAGCGCCAAAATTTATTTCCAGTCGGCCCGAGACGGCCTAGATTGATCGGCGCCATTTTGGCTTCTTTCTCCGATATCTTACCAAGTGGTAATTTAGAAGTTTATGGTATTGTTACCATCCATCCTCGGTCATTAAACCCATTTCCAACCAGCTAAGCACTTTAGCTGAACATTGTGGTGAATAATATTGTATTTAGAAAAATATTTGTGATCAAGATTGGCAAATTTCACAATGCGTATATAACTTTCGATCCAATATGGGAGACCAAAGATATAACAGCGCATGCGTTCGCACGCCACGTATTTTTCCAATGTCGTGATCATCCAGTTGTCGCACATTCAATGGTCAAAATCACTTTTTAATCACGACTTCGACGAATCAACCGGATCACGTGATGTTCAAAATGACGACTAACAAAACACGTGTGAAAAATATTATTTCTGAAATCAAAGATAAATCAAAAAAGTGTAGTGAAAATAGGAAACATGCAAATTCTATCATCGATATTATTGCATATATAGAGGTAACATATACTCACATTTCAAAAATAGACGAATGGGAGTCACATATTCCTGGCAATTACAGATGTCACTCTCTCTAAATCAAAACAAAATTTTGAAATGTAAACAAAAACAAAACATTATTGGTCATTGGGGATTAGCAAGGACAATCAGGTTTTATGTAATGCCAAGTGCAAAGTGGGCAAAGAAAGTTCCTTGTGATTTTTCCGGCATGGTTTCACCTACGTCAGTGACAGCATACGTCTAATATGTAAAAGAGCCCTTGACAGTTGGAATTTGATATCAGTGTAGGCTGTCCGGGCAAAATTTCCCTCATTACACACTCATGCATGCAGTGGCAGCACCAGCCGCCGGTGGTTTGAGGGGCAAAGCTGGGGCAGAGTCCAAGCCTACCAAGGTTAAGGGAGCAAAGGCATGAGCTTCAACTAGGGGTATGGGGGGGGGGGGGTATCCACCAGAGATTTTTGAAAAACAGACTGCCGGCAATCCAGTCTGCCTGTATTTCAGGCACTGATCGTCGAGATAAATACATGTATGTAGATCGTGACCAGATATCGCCTGTCGTCCGACCACTAGTTTATCTGGTCAGGGTGGGAAGTGTCAAACGAATAGACTTGCGAACCGCGATGAAGCCCCATCATGAGCACTGAAGTAGCGAGCTCTTACAGAGGGTATGGGGGACCTCCCCCTGAAAGTTTTTGAAAAATTAAGAGCCGGAAATGCAGTCTTATTCAGACACCGATTGTCGAGCTAAATAGAGTTAATCAGACACCGCCTGTTGCCTGATCACTAGTTTATCAGACCAGAAAGGAAAGTGTCAAACAAACAGAGTGAATGAATCAAAGTGAATGAATATATTCGCTACAATATTTTGAGAAATAGACTGCCGGAAATGCAATCTAGCAGTATTTCAGACTAGAACTGACCAAATACTGTCTAGCCCCAAATCACTAGCTTATCCAAACAAAGTGGGATATGTGTCGAACGAACGGAGTGAATCAAAGTGAATGAATATTCTTGCCGTGTTGAAAACCCATATCCAAAAACTTTGAGGATCTAAAAAATCTCTTCTCAAGTGGTTTATATGTTATTGTTTATAATAGATTTACAGCAGGATGGGTTCAGTAAAAAATTACTCAGACTCTACAACATGCAAGTTTATGACTGAGTGGGAATGTGCGATTTAAACACCAAAACATATCACAAATATGTGTGTTGGGGGGGAAGGGGCAAACAGAGAGCAGGACCATATTTATGGGAGGACACCTTACCCCCCCCCCCCCCACCGCCACTGCGTGCATGGCATATACCTGTCTTCATTCATTAACCCCCATTAAACCCAATTTCATTTCATTTGTATCGCAGCAATGTCAATATGCATTGGTTCATCTGAATAAGTAATAGCATGCTAATATGCTGTAAAATAGAGATTTTATGTTGTTGTTTTTCCCTTTCGTAACAGTACAAAGAGAAACACAAGTTTTATATCATGAAAGCTGATTAGATTCAATTAGCTTTTCTTTTCATAATTATACGTCATACATGCACTAATCACTTGCTGGAACAGTTTTTAATGGAAGATTAAAATTTGGATTATTTATTACCCCACATGAAATGGTGACAGTGTAAAACTATATGGTTGTGTCACACATTTGCTAACATCATGGCTAGAGATCAATAAGTCTATTTTATTTTTGAGTGCAATGTTTTAAATTTACATAAAACCAAACTTAGACTGGTAAAAGACAAGCCTATACATGTAGCTAGGACTAACGACCATTTGCATTGGTCAATGAATAAATATATTATGAGGGTATGCATGCTTAATATTTTAATTTTTTTTTAACAACTTAGGCCACTTCTTATAATTCATAACTTTTTTTAACTTTTATATGAGATGATTTTGAATTAGCAATAAGAAAAACAAGCCATTAGAATAAGTTTCGGATTCAATAACCTATGTCTATGATTTCAGACTGAAGGAGATGATGTTATTCATGCCTGTATCCGAGGTCTTCACAAGATATTTACAAGATTTATATCAACAGAAGAAATGTATTTTGATAAACCACCATCAGAAGCTGATATGAAAGGTAATAGCTAATATATTGATATATTTATAGGTAAACTAGCATCATGCCGTATTCATTGCTTATAAAAATATTCAATTTAAAATAGTAACAATTATTAACCCTGTCTTAGATATGGTCTTTATGTATGCTGATGAAAAGATTCTAACTATTTATAATTTCCTTTTGTGGTGAGAAACCTGTGTAAGTCAGTGTAATAACCTATTGCTGGAGTAAAGTGCTTATAATAAATAGTATAAAGTTGATGTTGGGGTCCACTGACTAACAGATTTCACCTGTGTTATGAGACTTTATTCAAAACCTTGTACTGTACTGTATAGCAAAGCACACTAACAGTGACACTCAAATAATTCCCTGAAATGCACATGTTCAAATAGAAGTACTAATTGAATTATAAACAACGTATCTTCCAAATACAGGGACAAATTGATCTAAATCTATTGAACCCTTGCATTCATTAATCAAATATTTATATTTTAACTGCTTATTGACTGGTAAGAATAGTGTGCTAGCTAATGAAAACTTAGGATACAAATAACTGCAGTCAAAGTCGCACTTTGAAGACATATTTTGTTTAATGTGTTATTAAAGGAGACCTAATAAAATGCAACTTCATAATACTGGATTAAAGTTGCCAACTAAAAAACTAAAAAGCATTGTAACAAAGGCTTGTCTTAAGGGGGGAGGCTATCCGAAAAATTTTGTTCTGAAATGTTAAAGCTATTGAAGTGAAAATAGTACAAATAGTTAGAAAATGTAATAAACAAGGGAAAATTAAATTTTAAAAAAATTTGTTGCCAGGGTAACTCATTTTTGAGGAAAAAATTATGAAAAATGTAGGTATGTTATATCTCTGTAACCAATTAAGATATCTTCACCAAATTTGCAGGCTATATAAACTAATATCTACCACAGAATCAGACAGAAAGCAATTTGGATTATCATTAATATTTCAAAAGTTATCAAAATATTTCTCCAAAGACAAAATATTGTAGTGAGGCAAATGTTTTAAACATCATAATCCATGAAACTATAAAAATTATAGATAAAAACTCTCTGTCTAGTTTTAGGGTTATTAAAGAATAAGCAGTCGGAAAATGAGACATTTATCTTTATTATTGTCAGAGATATGGTGTACCTATGTTTTTCATACTTTTTCCAAAAAAATGTTTTACCCTGGCAACACCTTTTTTCCCTTTTTTTTTAATTTTAGTTTTCCCTTGTTTATTACATTTCCTAACTACTTGTGCCATTTTCAATTCAATAGCTTTAGAATTTCAGAAAACATTTTTTTGGGTTGCCTCACCCCTTAAGCAGTTGAAATGTGATAATGTGATTTTATTGTAGATTTAAAAGCAGAAGAAAAATATAAAGTATGGTTAAGAGAACAGTATGCTAGTACTATATTTCATCTGGTAGATTTATTACATCACAGTAACCCTAGCATTCAGGTAAAATTAATAAAATTAATTATTAAAACAAAATGTATGGATAACAAATAATGTATGCAGAATATGCTACCCATAGCTCTGAACTGATAACAAAAAAACACAACACAATTTATATGGAAAACAATCGCTGATTTGTACACATATAGCATGATGTTTTGACAAGTGTTCTCTCATCGTTATCAAGCACAAACCAGTGATTTATTTTGTATAAATTGTGTTGTTGTTTTTTTCATTGTACTCAGTCACGAAATGCCATGCAAAGCTTATCTGAACTGATTATTGAGAGGGGTAAAATAGTATAAGTTAATGAGCCAGCAATATTAACTCTTTTGTTTGCTGTACCGTACATGAAATTATGAAAATATTGTTGAAATTATTTAAAGATACTTTCCTGCATACAAACTGTGTGATTTAATGATATATTTGGACTAAAACATGTTCAAACTAATTAATCTATCAAAAATTAGCTTCAAATCCCTATCAAAACTTTGTATTCCTAACCTTGTCTCTTGAAGGGGAGCCTTTGCATTTTGCTTACTTTACCCAATGAGAGTTACTTCCCTTTGCCAACTTCCTTTGCAATTAACAATTTATGGAATTGGTCAATGAAAATAGCGCAATCATCAAAGGCAGATAACTGGAAAATGTGTCCCTGCCATAGAATAGAACAGGGGTTAATGGAGTGGAATGGAATGAGACCACTGGGGATACAGAGAATGAAGTAAAACAAATTAGTACGCACAAACATAAAATAAGGAAAAAGTGACAATTTATCCTGGACCAGTTTACTAGTACTGACACTCCTATGTAAACAAACCAATTTATACTTGTTTTATAATTTAGAAATAGTATAACTGGTGATATTATTATAGTGTTGCAACGAAACTAGACTGACCTTGAGTTTGTGATGACATCTTCCCAGTTTTGAAAGAAGGCTTGTATGAGTTTGAACAGTTTTGGTTCCTCTATCTGGCTCCAACAAATTACAAAACATGATAGATGTACTGATTTGTTAAGGGGATTGGGAGGCCGCGTGGTCTATAACTCACACACAGTGGATCATGGGGCCTAATATCTAACCATGTCATGGGTCGATCTCACACTTGTAGTTTTGTATGCGAGAAGGAGTAGGGATGATGGCTGTGGTTTTTTTTTTCTGGGAAGTCCAGTTTCCACCTTCTATAGACCCCTGTGCACAAACCAATTATTGAAATACAAATATATTATATGTTCGTTCTAGGTAATGTTGAGTGGACTTTGAACCCCATTTCTTCCTCCCTTTGTGTCCAATCTAAAAGGCCTACATTTAGTTGAATCAGGTTTTTTTAAATTTATTTTTCAGGATTTATCACTGACCACCATGATGAAATTTGTGGAAGCAGAAGGCCAAACACCAATACGTAAAATAACAGAACATCAAACTTTCCCTTCTCGACTCTTTCAGGTAATTTACACCTAGGGTACATAACTACATATATTGTCTTATTTTGGTTATTGACCGCGATGTATGCAAAATAATTTCTTGATTTAATAGCATTTTGATAATATAAGAAGGAGTAGTCCGTTCTGAGCAGAAGTAAAAAACTGACCTTGTCCATGATGCTAGACTTGAACAGAAGAAGGCTTAGTTACCACTGCACAAATGTACCCTATTCATATCCTCTTTGATTAATATAAATCATTTTGATGCAGCGTTATATCAATATTTTTCTACTTTCGTTTTACAGAAGGTATTTAATAAACTATTAGATGATAACACAGACATGTCTCGTCTTTGGACAAAGTTTCAAGAATATACTGAATTTGATGATGTACGATTTTACGTTTTAACATTTTTGCACTCAGATCTAAAACACAAGAAGAACCAAGTGAGTACAGTTCTAAAATTGTTAATAAATTATAATTTGTTTATTTATGGCAATATATTTTCTCAAAGTGCCTTACAGACCATTGCAAAATTTCAACACTTGCCTTCCAAAACGAATAACCTGCAGAACTGGGTCAGTGGTTTGAACAACACCACTAATAGAAAATGATAAGTTAAATGTTGGCTATTTAGTCTCACATCAAAATCCATCTGTATCAATATTTTATTATTCCATTGGCACGGCAGGTATATCGAGATATCTATCAGCGGGTTATTCGTTTGGAAACAAGAGTGGAAATTAAAGCCATTTGTAGGGTCATGAACTGTAGTCTTTTATGATAAAGTCTTGCTCTAGGCATTAGCCATTGCCTCTCTCTTATTTCATGAGAAATTGGTCTTGATTATCTCAAAATGAGCTAAGTAAAATGTTAACAAGACAATAACGATAATTTCTTTTCATTTCAAAACCATTCTCATAAATTCTGGAAATTTGTATATCTAATTGTTGTGTCTGTTTGTACTCTCATTGTTTATATGTGAAATTATCTTGCATTTTCAATTAAAGGAAAAAAATAAATTCTTTGTTCAATTATAATTAATCTGTTACAGGAAGTGAGTGATACATATGTCAAAAATGTTTTTAGTCTGCTAGAGAATCTCACCTTTAATTCGAAACCTAGGAAGATGTTACCAGGTGGAGAGCCACGCTGGTTGGCCAAATTACCAGGTTTGTTGACTGAATACATGACCATCAGAGCTTTATTAGAACACCTGTGTATTGACACCTGTTATATATCGTATCACATTTTATACTGAACAATTCTAAATGACACTTTATGATACAGAGAGATTTTTCCTTCTTGTTTATTATTAAAGATGCATTATGTAAGATGCAGATAAAGAGTTGGCAATCAGTCAAATTGCTTTATTCTGAGAAAAGATAAGAATATTTGAAGTTTTGACAAGAATATCATAGTCTCAATTGTCATTGCTACAATAATAAACAAAGTTTTGATTTTCCATTTTAACTGTAACCAATTAAAGGTTGTAGATTGTCTAATCCAGATAATATCCCAAGTCATCCGATAGTATAGAGAGTTGATTATCAGCTTGTCATGTGAATGAATGTATCTATACTAATATTTGTGACTGTCGTTTGTCTGTCTGTCCGGGGTTGGCGGCTACACTAGGTCTGCTCCGTGTCTGAAATTTGAGGTATAGGGGTAGCTTGGACCGGGGAGTAACATAGGCCAGGTGGCGTTAGTCTACCACTTCCGGTTTCGGGGTTATGACCCCCGAGCGAAGCCGGGCATTCTTCTAGTAAATAATAAATTTGAAGCCAAAATAAAGACCTGAAATATGCATATTTAGCTCTTACATAAAACATATTTAAATGCTATTAGGTGGTAGATAAACTTTAGTTATTTTTATAGATTCACCATCAGTATGGTCAGATACTATATCTCAATTCATACTGATCACTTGAGTCCCTTCCCCCATCCATTAGAAATTTCAGCAAATTTGCAAGTCTGAACATTTCAAGATTTGTCCTTGTAATATGACTATATAAAAAGTTTGTAAGCCCAACTACTGTAATTCTTTTTTTTTCATTTCAAGTACCTTCTTCATTAGCCTGGATGAAGCGGACATGTAGGACGTTATACCCCAATTCGTTTCGTTTTATTTCTGCATCAAACTTCTGTTGTAGAAATACACATCAACAAATGTTTAATATCATTTGAGTTGTCTTATCTGTTATTCCAGAAAATGAAGATGTTTTGAAATCAAGATCTGTAGATGAACAAAAGAAATTATTCTCCACCGTTTGGTTAAAATTCCTACGATTTAAAGTAAGTCTTTAATTATTGATGTTTGTAAGTTTGTGATATGTTTCATTGTTCTGGTAATAGTGCTAACATGTACCATATTTGAAGTTATAATTCTATACAAATGAGGGCGCTGACTACAACATATTCTGACCAAGCATGCCAGTTCTGTTACTTAGAATAAAACTGAAAAAGCCTTTATGAACAACTATTGTCACCAGGGCCAGATTTACCAACAGGCGTAGTAGCCCATTGGCCCAATGGTATCTGGGGGCCCAGTACCACTGAATCGAATTTGTCATGCAACATGTCAGTGTATAACCTTGTATTAAGTATTTATTCATATTTCTTTTAGGTCAGGAAGGTCCATTTGATGATAATGGTTTATTTTATATTTGTATATGTGTTACTTTCAGTTAAACACTAGTATGTATAAACGAGTACTAATGATGATGCATGATAAAGTCATCCCTAATATAACCAGTCCACTCTTTCTCTGTGATTTCTTAACAGATTCCTATAATATAGGTGAGTTGAAAACAATTATTTTTATTATGTGTGAGAGAGAGAATAGAGAAAACAAATGGGGGTTAACATCCATTTGACACAAATTATGTCATTTCGGGACTAACATATGCTTTAATTTTATTTCAATAATACACTTTCCCGTAGGAGTCTTTAGCTGTGGAAGGAAACCAGAGCCCCCTGAGAAAACCCACAAGGTTGGACAGACGACCCTTTTCCTCATCATGAAAAAGGAAGAAATCAAAACCATGCCACTTGACTCAATGATAGATCTTATGATCTAAAGTGCACACATTAGTTTATCTATGCTGTCAAATTGTAGTTTCAGCTTATTGTAATGAGAGGGGCACAGTGACTCAATGACAGTTACTCAGTGAATAAGACATTGGCTCGCTAACCTAGAGTTCCCATGGTTGATCCAGGTGTTAGCCGATAAAGTTCATCAGGATTTTCAAGCATGGTTCCCCCTTTTCAGTGTGTAGGACAGAGGGCCTGGCAGGGGACAACGTATAATGGTTTGGATAGGACGTAAAAACAAGATCCTGTGTACACGTTGGCGTGCAGGTAAAAGATCCCGTGTCAGTTGGAATTCGATATAAGAGTAGGTCTAGTTTCCCCAGGTCTTTGCTGCAGGATCGAGGGTTTGGCAAGGAACAATGATTAACAAATATTTCTTTATCTTACTTTGTGTATTTTAGGTGGTGCAATAAGTTTGTTGGCTTTAAACAGTATTTTCATACTAATAAATAACTACAACTTGTAAGTATCTCGTTTTTAATCTCTTTATTTAGAAAGTGAAGTATTACTATATGATTGATTAAAACTCACCAGAAAAGTCTTAATATCTCTTTGTAATAAAAGATAAAGATTTTTATAAATACATGGTTTAAGATGAGTTTGAACAGAATCCATGTGGAAATTCTCAAAAATGATAAAAATAATGGACCTAATCATTCTTGTTCTCAGTCGACTGTAAACAATTATTATACCCTGTATGATAAAATATGAATATTTCAGAGATTATCCAGATTTTTATAAGAAGTTGTATGCATTATTTGATCCCATCATTTTTCATGCTAAATACAGAGCTCGATTCTTTCATCTTGCAGATCTGTTTTTGTCATCAACGTAAGTAAAAATAGATTACAATTGAAACTTGTAGATTTGCAATACCAATAGCTCATTTTTCTTCATAAAAATAACAAAATTTGTTAATTAAATATTACCATTTAAAAATCCTTACAGACCTAGAGAATCCAAACATCTCAAAATATCATCTGACCTGTACAGATTTTCTAAAATGCCAAAATTTAACTTGTCACACATCAAATATTCAGAAAGATAAAATCGAGTTGTTAAAAAAAATAATGTAATTTTAAAGCTCAGTTCTTGTTAATAATTGTTGATCCTTCCTCCATCTTCTTTTGGGGGGGGGGATGGCTGAATGGTTAGCATGTGCACGTTGTATCATAAGGTCTGTCATTGAATCAACTGGCATGGTTTCGAATCCCCGGTTGTATGTAACAAGGAGTAGAGTCGTCTGTCCAACCTTGTGGGTTTTCTCCGGGTCCTCCAGTTTCTTCCCACTGCTAAAGACCCCTACGTGCAAGCAAAGTATTGAAATAAAATTGAGCTATATGTTAGTCCCAAAATGACCTAGTTTGTGTTGGGTGGACGTTAAACTCCATTTCTCTCTCCATCTTCTTTAGCTCAGTAGGTGCAGAAAAGTAAGATGTTAAACCCCATTTAATTTCGTTTGATCATTTCCTATAAGCTATTGGGATGATCGATTGTTAGTTCTGAATTGACAGAATTGCAGTCTAGTGACAAGGAGTTTAGTCCTGTCAACTGAGGTAGTGTGAGTAGAATCGTAACGTAATCAACCACAACGAACATGTTTCAGCTATTGAGGTATTTTCTTATTTAGTGCATGTGTTTTAGCCTAAAATACCATTTCACTCGATTGTCACAATTCGTGAGATTGAGAAAATTCAATTCCAGAACATTCAATTGAGTATATCCCATATATGAATTCATTAATTTTTACACATGCTCATTTTCTCATTTTAGACATTTGCCAGCCTACCTCGTTGCAGCATTTGCTAAGAAATTAGCCAGATTATGTTTAACTGGTCCAGCCAGTGGAATACGAATAGCTATCACCTTTATACTCAATCTGCTAAAAAGACATCCAAATTGTCAGGTTTTACTTGGGCGATTAGATGGTCCATCTGGTATGTAATAAATTATTTTATCTGTTAGCTTGACTTTTATGAATGGTAATAATGTTATTTGGGAAGGAATGAGATGTTCAATATTTAAAAAAAAAAACAGCTATGCATTCCAAATATCATACATTTATTGTCGCTCCTAAAAACTCACGCTCCAGGCAATGTATACTTCATCTCTCCAAAAAACATCTGGTCAGTGTGTCAAATTTTTAAAATTTTGTGACATCTGCAACAAATTACCCCAAGATAACTACTTTATTAGTGGTAGAACTGGTAAGACATTTTCCTGTCGCACTAGCTATAATTGTTTAATAGAAATATAGTCTACCTAATAAGTATTAACGTTCTCCCTTTGTAAAACAAAAATAGCTAGGAGAAAGCAAACATGCCTTTCCAAAAAGAATAAAGGAACACTATGCAGATATTAGACACAACAGTTCAAAACCGGTCGCAATACACTTCAATTTAAATAGACATACGAGTAGAAATCTCATGATTCAAATTTTAGAGCTTTTTAAGACTGACCCAGTTAATGGCAAGAACTTCATGGATTATGGCCCCTGATTGTACAAAAAATCATGTTTTTAGCCTGTGAACACTCTAGAGGATACAATTTTTATCTGATTTTGATGAAACTTGAAATATAGGTATATAATCCTACGATCTTGGTTCCATTCGATATTCACGCTTATCGGACGACAACTTCCTGGATTATGGCCCCTAATTTAGCGTGTGGTCCCCCCTAGAGGTCACAATTTTTATCTGATTTTAAAAAAACGTTTGAATATATCACCAATACATCAATATTATGGTTGAAAATTAGACCGAAACTCACAGATAAAATGGACGCTCCCTGTATGCAAATACTGTTAAAGTATGTAATATCAAGGTTGTGGACCATCTAGAGATCACAATTTTTATCCAATTTTGATGAAACTTAAAACATATGTTTATATCCTGAATTATGGCAATTTTACTTTGTGGACCCTCTAGAGATCACAGTTTTGATCTGATTTTGATGAAACTTAAAATATGTTTATATTCCAAAGATCTCAGTTCATTTGGATATTCGGACATATCAGACCATAACTTCCTGGATTATGCCCCCTGATTGTACAAAAAATCACATTATTAGCTTGTGGATGTCACAATTTTTATCAGATTTTAAAAAACGTTTAAATATATCATGTTCCACCAAAATGAAGGTTGAGTTCGAAACGAAACTGCCCGACAAAATGGATGCTCCATGTACGCAAATTGAGTAAAAGCATGTAATACGAAGGTGGTTGTTGACCCTCTAGATGTCACGATCTTTGTCCAATTTTGATAAAACTTAAAATGTATTTTTATATCTCAGTCCCTTTCGATACTCGCACATTTCAGACTAATACTTCTTGGATTATGGCCTCGATTGTACGAACAATCATGTGGTGTTTTTTTTTTAGCTTGTTCTCTATCCATCTCTTGCAAAATGTGGGCGTATCTTGCCTGGCAACTGCTGGTTCTGTTTTGGTGTTGTATTGCAGTATTCTCGAACCTGTATTTAACAAAATACTACATGAATTATTCTATATACCTGTCCTATTAAACTAATTAATAATACATGTGCATTACAAATTATTATTGGGGGTTTTCTTCAGAAATACCAAATGATCCGTATATATTTGAAGAAACTGATCCAGCTAAATGTAAAGCTATGGAGAGTTATTTGTGGGAAATTAAGGTAAATCTAAATTTTGGATGGTTGATATTGAAACCTTAATTTCTTGTGTATTTCAACTGAATTATATTATAATGTAAAACTAAATAAATCTTCTAAATTCACATTAACCCGTTAAGTGCGTAGGTCATTATATAACGTCCTGGACAACTGCTACTCATTGTGTGTGGGGCGTAATATAACGCCTTGGAGGTATTTCCCCCAACCTATTCTTAGAACATAGTTCATCACTTGGGGGAATCCCTTGGGAATTCCCCTACGATTGAGGCATGTATAGGACGTTATATTACTTCCGGGACAACTGCCACTCACTATGTGTATGGCGTAATATAACGCCTTAGAGGTATTTTTCCAAACCTATTTTAAGAACATAGTACATAGTTCTTCGTCACTTCGTCAAATTAATTACACAATAGGGAGTAGTTAACGTTTTAAAATATATTTCCAGTTTTATTCTTATGTATCCCTATAAATTATTATTAATACCTAAATCCAATATATATTTATTTTTTTCAGACACTTCAAACTCACTACTGTCCAGAAGTTGTTCTAGCAGCAAATAAAATAAATCACCAACTAGGTCAACAAGAAGAACTTTTGGGTGATGTTTTAGATCTCACAACAGATGAGGTACATATTTAACAACCTTATTTAGATTTTCAAGACTGGTCAAAAAATTATATGTTTGGAAAGTATTTGAATCAAAATGGTTTCAAATTTAAGAAATTTTGCAATGGATAGCTTAATGATACGATTTAGTGCCAAAGGGTCCCCGCCCTCTTCATTTACTTTAATCCTTAATGTAGACAAAGTCTCCCCTTCTCTTTATCACATATCTTGCTTTTAGTTATTTTATCTTTTTGGGGGGGGGGGGGCAATTTTTCCAAATTATGTGTTGGTTTTCAGTGTTTCACCCATTTGTCATACGTGTCGTGTAGCCACTATTTTCATTTGCTATTTTTTTTAAAACAAATTTTATAAAAACATATTTTTGTTTTCAGTTGATCGAGAAAGAATGTAAAAGAAGAAAGAAGGAAACAGCAATTAATTTTATACCTCCTACAGGATTATTTCAATCACAAAATGACAAATTTTCTTCATGTTGGACTCATATTGAATCTTAATTAAATTCCTTTTGTGTGTTTAATTTGATGTCTTTTTCTGTTCTCAACAGATAACAATGGCACAACATTGTTTACATTAGAATATCCAATATGCTTTCTAATTTGGGGGGTTGTCATTAAGTCAAAATCTATGGTTTCGATCCCATGCTTGTATGTGACAAGGTGTTTGGTTGCCTTCCTAACTATAATTTTTATTTCTAAAGACTCCTACGTACAACCAAATTACATTTATATGGAACTCTTTGAATTGACTGAAATGAAATGGTGTTTAACATCCTTGTTTTCTGCACCAACTGGGAATATAATATGACAGTGTACTATGAGGCAGTATGACCTACTGTTATTTTGAATTCCAAATGTCAAAAGTTCTTTTATGTACATGCCAATGTGTACACAGGCCCTTGGTTTTTTTTATCCCATCTGAACGATTAGATGCTGTTCCTTTCCAGGCACCACTGACAAGGGGAAACCACACTGAAAAATCCCAGCAAGCTTTCTCGGCCACCACCGGGAAGTAACCGCAGATCTTCTGGTTAGTGAGCCAGTGCCTTACTCAATTAGCCATCTTGCTCCCTTGGATTGACTGGAATTCAGTTAAATGTAAAGCAAAGATGTGGTAATGAGAACTACGTATGGTAAATCCATTAAATGTGATGCTTAAAAGATCTCTTTTGTGAATTCAAAGTACCCCACCCACATTATGGTGGTCTTTAAAATGTAGCCAAGCAAATGGTGACACAGGTTGAAAATTGTCTGAAGATTTTTTGGCATCTTATTTTCAATGCAACAATTCATAGCCTAAAAAGGCAGTACCAACCTACATAAAAAATGAAACAAGTAGACCTTGTCATCAGCATCTAATTCCTTGCACATTAAAAATTAAGTCAAATTTGTTTCCAAGGGTACACAAAAATTTGACAAATTTCCAATTAGAAAATGGCCCAACTACTTTAATAAGTTTCATAAAAATATCTTGAAAGATTTATGAGACACGTTCCGGAAACAAAAATGGCACGGAAGCAGCTTGGTCCAGTATCCCTCCCTTAACATTATTCAGTATGCAATAATAATAAATCTATTATACTATTTATTTACATCTTATAACAATCTTTATATTACATTTACATACAAAATTCTCAGTCACAATTATTGACATTTCTAAGTAACATTCACAGTTTCTCACAGTTTAAATATTAAGTCCAAAACACCTTAAATAGTTTGGTGCCTCACATGCATTTATTATGTGTAAAGAGCTGGTTGATGAAGACGAAGATCTTTATCTTTATTTTGAGTATGTTCTTTTAACATATCCATAACATGGTGATTATATTCATCAGGAGTTGGTTTAGCTCCTGAAACAATTAAAACAAGGCATGTAGCTTAGATTAAACCACAGTAGGTTTCATGACTTTTTATTGGCACTGAATAAGCTGAAAATCTAAAAGAGTTCTGATGCCCATACAAAATTCTAAACTTATCTACATAAAGTCGAAAATATTCACATTAAGACAGGACATTGCTCCTACCATTCCCATAATTAATAAATAACTTCAACTTGTATTTAGAGTATGGTATGAAAATCTATAGCTAGTTAAAGGTGTTAAAGTCAATATATTGAGCACGTAAAAGGACAGTTAAAGGCTTTTCACCTTAATTAAAAGTCACCATTTGACTTCAATCAACTTCAGTTAATTGAATCCATGAATAAGTGAGATTTTGTGGATATGGTTTAACCTCATGGCAACTTTGATTTAAATTAGATAAAACTGTATACATGTATATTAAAAGTGGGTGTATATTAAAAGTTAAAATGTACAATTTATAAGCTTACCTGTTACCCAGTAATATATTTCCCAGTCATTAGTAGGTTTATTGATTAATCTATCATACATAATTAATTGATCTTCATCTAATTTATCCAGATATTTAGAGGCAAAAGAACTGCAAAATAAATTTAGAGAATTAAAATCTTTTGCAGCTAAAGCATTTTCTGGACAAGCTTTTCCTTGAATACGGTCAAAAAATTTGACATCGTACCACTTCTTATTTATTTTATAAGTTCATATTTCAGTCTATCTGCATTTATTTCTGTGTATGTACATACCAAAGCTCGACTTTGACAATGGAAAACTAACTTAACAAATATATGCTACCTCAATAACAGACCATTTTCGGTCATCCCTCTCTTTCTGCTTTGATAAAGTAATCTTGCTCTCTTTAATTCTGTAGTTTCTCCTGACTTTTCTTGATAAACTGGAATTGGTGGTTCTGTGTCATCAGGAGTATAAATTCCACTGGATAATCTGGTAACTATGGGGACTGCCTTATATAACTGGTGTTTCACCTGGAAGGGTTCAGAAATTGTCAATAGGGCCTATATTCTTAAACAGGCACTGTCACTTTCATAATGGTATTGGCACAGTCTAGTCTTAGAAACAGCATAGGCTTGTACTGCACGAATGATGCAGTTGAATTACCAGATAAAAATTTGGCTCCTAGTTCTTGAAGAATCGAATAGTTCCTGCTAAAGCGTGGCTATGTTGAGTTTTTATGCGTATGGCTCACAGGTCCCATTTTACAAGGCACGTAAATTTACATACACGTTCAACAGGGTTGTATAAAATAATGTTCCATTTTCGTGCATAACTTATGATGGGTACTTTGTGAAACCTGAGCCGTGTGTTACAATAAGAGATTATCCTAGTACAGCCAAAACAAATTAATTTTTAGCTCATCATGGTCTAAATAAATAAACTTACAAATTTTGAACCAAAAGATTTTGAGAAAAGCAGACAAGTACTAGTACGGTAGGACTTTTTGTTTTAAAATTATTATTTTTTCAAAAAAAATGAGAGCAAAGTTTATATTAGGTTTTTCCCGAAGAAAATAAATACAAACTGGTCTGGCCGAAATAAAAGTCCACAAGAACCATAGAATTACGATGCATGCCATTGATGGTAATGATAGCACTGATGATAAATTCCAAAAGAAAACAGATTTCTTCAATAAAAAATGAAATGTAGATTTGATTAGATCCAATGTATCGATTTATTTACTTTAAAGGAGCTAAATCGCTAATACTTTTTACCTAGAAATTGACCCAAATGGGTCGCAACGAATATAATAATGTAATCGGATTGTATATTACCTGATTTACATTCAATTGTTTCCGTTTTGACTCTAATTTCAAATCAGTTATTTCCAGTGAAATACGGCATGAGTCTCAACCATGACAATTTATAGCGTCTGGTTATTCAATTCTTTTGTGCATGCTCTCCAGATAAGATATACGGTCATCGTTTGACATAAGTTGTTGCATATGTCTAGCCTCGTTCTTTCTGGTCACTTGTTGCAAGTGACGCTGAAACGCACTATGTTTATTTTGTCTTGAATTGACAAATAATTCATGTTTTTAATGTGTAAGATTTTGATGATATTGAGTTAGAGACTTAGCTACTTTAAGATACCTTTACAATCTACATTAAATTTTAAATTCATGATTCATATTGTTATTGTAAATAAATAACCATACATATCAACATAAATTATAGACTTATCCTGGCCTCATAAATAAACAGAATTTGTTCACCAGATTATTAATTTTTATATTAAAATATAAAAATAAGAGTAAAGAATAGAATATGGCATCCTGTAATATGTGTGTAAATCTACTTACTAACGAAAATTTTACTGGATTTGATGAATTTAAAACACGAAAGAAAACATTTGCCATGGTTAGATATGCCTATTGGAAATCAGATTTTGTTGTATAACTTTTCTGCAAGATTTGTCTCCCTTTTATTATCTTTGATTTGAAGGTCGAAACGGTATGAATAATGGAACGATTTATGGTATCATTGTATTTTTATAGATCTGTAAGGAACTGTCGATTACATGTTGACAATTTAGCGTGTATTACCTACAATTAATCACCAGAAACACCCAGTTTAATTACAGTCGGTGTTTTATTACCGACAAAATTACGACATTATACATTGAGTTACCTCCCTTTAACATTTTTTATCGCTCAGTCCCATTCCTTCGCATAAGACAATAAACATGAACACGATTGTTTGTAACGATGCTAGATGCTGCATTGGAAAGAAATATAGAATAATTGTGACAGGAATTCATTCATACGAAAATAATGACGATCTGGTATAGATTTAATGTGCTGTTTTAACCAAATTATGTAAACCGTTTATGACGTTATTTATTTGTGACGCTTATCGTTTGTTAATTGATTAGTCGGATTGATAGCGGTAAGTCGTAATTTTCACTTAATAATTATTAATTATTGATTGAGCCTTGTGTTAAATAGCCTTTAACAGCATTACACAGAAGTACGATGACCCAGGAGGCTCATTCGAAATTTAAAATAAGAATGTGTTAAACTCGGACCAATTTCCAAATAGGATATTATCGTCGATTCTCTGCAAGCAATTCGACCACTGCCTTTTGCTTTTATAAATATTATGTAGATGGTCAAGGGGTATCTTTAGTTTAAAAGATTGCGCTTTAAAGATACATTCTCACGAAAGTATTTATCAAGTGGTTATTTCCAATACATTACAAGTATGGCAAATTTGGTATATATGGAAAGTATAAACGCCCTATCTTACTAGACAAATACTGGATTACCCGAAAAACACCCATGGGGCAAGCACTGGGCAAAAATGTCAGGGTATCACTGCTGATCAATGTGGTTCATTAGGTGAATGTCTTGACTATTAACATTTCCCACTAAAGCTAAGCAGAGCATAAGCAGTTTCATTGGTCGATGCTTGGGACACGATAACCTTGATTCTATCTGATAGAGTGTGACGAAACTCGCGTACAATTGATAATCATCGATACAATTGAAAAAGATAGTGTGCAATTAATTAATATGTGTCATCTATTTATTTCGGGATTTCGGTGGGGGACATCAGCCTCACTGTTGGCTTGTATAATCTACTATTGTAAACGTACTATAACAAACTCTAATCGTACAAGGTAACAGAACACAAATACGACTAAGGAATCTACAGGAATACATCTTCAAAGAGATCATCAAATCCCTATTTGTCACCTGTTATAATTCGCTTTGAAAAAAATTGCAAAATCAAGATGTCATTTTTCCAAGTTCAAAATCTGAACGCCAAAGTTGAACAAAGGCAGCTGCCCCCCACCCCCAACACTATGGAATAGAAGTACTGCGTACCGTATTACTGGCCGACGTTTCGACTAGGCTTTTCTAGTCATTATCAAGCAAGGATAAAATATAATATATAACGAGACAATACTTGGTTAATGCTGACCAAGCAGAGATACCCATTGAAACAATTTAAATTTAGTGCAATTAATAAACGCGGAAAATGCAATTCATGATACATCGGTGGCCCGGACAAGCCTTCGTAGTTTTATTGGTAATGTGGAAAATATTTGGTCTGGATGTTAGCTGCTATAGCCCTGAACACTCAGGCAGCGTGGAAGAAAAGATGGCGGACTCGAGACAATTTGTGAACCCAGAACAACCCGGCTATGTTGGATTTGCTAATCTTCCTAATCAAGTTCACAGAAAATCGGTGAAGAAAGGGTTCGAGTTCACATTAATGGTTGTTGGTGAATCAGGTTTAGGCAAATCTACCCTAGTCAACAGCTTGTTTTTAACCGATCTTTATCCAGAAAGGCACATTCCAACAGCCTCTGATAAGATCAAGCAGACCGTGAAGATTGATGCCTCAACTGTAGAGATTGAAGAACGGGGTGTAAAACTTAGATTAACAGTTGTAGATACTCCAGGCTTTGGGGATCCTTTAAACTCTGAAGATTGTTTTAAACCCATAATTCAGTATATTGATGATCAATTTGAGAGGTATTTGAATGATGAGAGTGGCCTCAACAGAAGACATATCGTTGATAACCGAGTTCACTGTTGTTTTTATTTCATTAATCCATCTGGTCATGGCATGAAACCCCTTGACATCGCCTTCATGCGAGCAGTACATCATAAAGTCAATATCGTACCCGTCATAGCCAAAGCTGATACACTCACCAAACAGGAAGTTTTTAGTCTGAAGAGGAAGATATTGGATCAAATTGACGAATATGGCATCAATATTTACACTCTTCCTGATTGTGATTCTGATGAAGATGAAGACTATAAGGAACAATGCACACAGTTAAAAGGAGCAGTACCATTTGCTGTTATTGGTGCTAATACTGTCATCGAGGTGAAGGGTCGTAAAGTGAGAGGTCGAATGTATCCTTGGGGTGTCGTGGAAGTTGAGAATCCAGATCATTGCGATTTTATCAAACTTAGAACAATGTTGATCACGCACATGCAAGACCTTCAAGAAGTCACCCAAGAAATTCATTATGAAAATTACAGAGCTGAAAAATTGGCAACAGGTGGACCCATGAAGAAACCAAGTCGCCCTCGAAGACCAGACAGCCAAGATACGGATAAAGAAAGGGAGCTTCGAGATAAAGATGCCGAGATCCAAAGAATGCAACAGATGTTGGCTAAAATGCAGCAAGAGATGTCAGTGAAAAAGGCTGCTCAAAATGGTGACGGTAAATCTCACGATGTGCAAGTTTAATGCAGTATGGTGCTCATATTGTGTAGTGGTTATTTGACTTGATTAATGAGTAAACATAGTTTTCTGACACAGTGGACCATTAGTGAAAATGCCTTGAATTTATGTCATAGCATGAACCAATCAACCGTTTTTGTGTTAAAAAACTAAAAATTGATGTGGTTTTTTTCATTTACAGACATTCAATTAATTATTAATTTTGAATTAACTAAATAATGGCTAAGAGTAAGATAAAAGGATGTGTAGCTTTCATAAACATACTTTTCAATTTTAGCTTTATAAACATAGCCAAATGTAAATATTTTATTGTTGCCAACAACAAAATATTTACATAGGTCAATCTTGTCAAAGGAAGTTTTTTTTTAATAAAACAGGAAAAATCTCTATAAAATAATCATCTCTCAGTCTATATTTTATAAATCTGCAATCAGATTTTCTGTGAGGATCTGTAATAGGTTAGGTTTTTTGATTTTGTATATATATATTTAATTGTTTTTTTGTTTAACAACCCATCTACAATATCATTTTTCACTGCCCGTTTAATACAGCTTCATGATTAATCATTACATTATTATTTAATTTGAAATACTCAAATATAAAGTGCTCAGCATCCATCTTGCATTTACAACCCAAGAAAATTTTTTTTAATTTAGTTCTGGGATTATAGTAGATTATTTATTGGTTGTTTTTTTCTTCCTATGTATTGTCTTTTTCAACATTTGTATATTAAACTTGTCATGTAAAAAAAATACCCCAAATATTTAAATCAGAATCACATAACTGTGTGATTTGGTTTTAATCGAATAGGGCCTATTCAGCTTTTAAGTTCCCTAATAATAGTACAAGTAAACTTTTAAAATGGTGCCAATATCAAGTCCTGCATTAGCATTACCCTAATAAATGCCTTTTTGTATACTATATTGATAAACTAATGTCCAAGTGTATTATTTTCTAATTTACAAGTACTTGTTTTAGTACAGTTAGTATAGTGTCCCGTAGTGTAAAAGTTGAAACGTGTAAAAATTTGTACATTATTTTTCCTATCTTTTTTACTCATAAATTTATTGCGTCTTAGTGCTGAGTCTTTTGCTTAGTGATTATAGGTTGAGTTCTTTATACTTATTGCATGTGTTACTGTACGTTAGGTTAGTGATCAATTGTAGTAACAATTATTTACGCATGAAATAAAATTATCTTATGAATCGTTATAGATTTTTATATAATCAATATTTTGTTCAGGCTATCTGAATGGGATTGGGGAACCTATGTAAAAAAAACCCTGCTTATTATTTTGTTCCATCTTGGTCGTATTCCAGTAGTGTGCAGTTACTCGGTATTGCTATCAGGTTACATTTAGTAATAGCAATAGTACAGTTATTACAAGATACTAACTTTTCCCTATAGTTGATTTATTGGTACATACAAGCCAGAACCCAATCTGACTAGTTGTTCAGATGGGATGCAAATGCGAGGTCTACTCATATGTATACACATTGGCATTTACATAAAAACCCTTGAAAGTTGAAATTCAATCGGGTGGGAACACCACTGTCCACAGTCCATGCAATCTTCTATTTCCTGGTATTTTGCAAGTGACCATTGAAAAAAAAAAAAAAAAATTGTATGTTAGTTTCAAACTGATCAAAATATTGTGCCAACAATAAACAATTCTATTCCTTTCTTCTTTAAACAACATGCCATTGCCTCGTTTTAGGTATACAACTTAGAAAAGATTGATGGGGTTGGAGACCACATATTAAATGGCTAATTTAGTTATTAATCAAATCCAATCCCTGGTAATGAAAAGCTTGATAAAGCCTTTAGGGTAATCGGTTGATGAGTCACTTAAGATGACCTACATGTTTTCATAAATAATATAACTTTGAGTAATTGGTTATTAATAACCAATATATTCTCAAATTGTATAAAAAAAAAATTGATATCAAGTTCGGGGAAACTGGACTATTAAAGTTTCATACAAGCAATAACCCAGTTGAAAACAATTTGGAAAACAAACATAATTTTGGGTCCTTTAATAATGTAATTTATACATTAATATACTATAATAATATATCATTTTTACAATAAATATTATATAAGAAAATATATACAAAATATCACAGTCCTCAGGATAAAATTTATTAGTACATATACATATCCCATTCAAGGTTCTAAACAAACTGAATATACAGTACATGATAATATTTAAATGAATTCATAAGTAATGAAAATATGTTCGTAAAAACAATGAAACTTCTTTAAAATTACTTTATGTAATATTTAGTGTTGAAATAAAATCAGTCTGGGGAATGTTTCAGAAGATGATTTAACCATTTAAAAAAATATACATGTATTTCTAACCATGGTTCACGAACACTTAATTTATTTAAAGCACCATTAGGTGTAATCCATAGAACTGTGTCTTATATTACTTATAATTTTTATAAAACAATCAATGCCATGCAGGTCTCTAAAGAATGGTTTTAGATGTACCGGTACCTGAAAATATGTCACACACTACTGAACCCGTACTCCAACATTTTTAGCTTTGTGTATTAAAAGTATCAATAAAAACATTTAAAAATGAAATATGTGCCAGACATAATGACAGGCACCAGAGGGATTGTGCCTGACAGCCTATATTTATGCCTATTTCTAGACTTGCCATTCAAAGAATATGAAATTAACCCTGTTAGTTATCTCAGTAGTATAATTGTTGTTCATTGATCAGATACAGCATCGGTGTACATTGAGAATCCTAGTATTTGTTTAGAGAACATGTCTGCTGTAATTTGATGAGGTAAATTCTGATCTATTAATTCACCAGCTTCAACAGGATCTATATTATGTAATTCACTGCTTCCACCTTCTAAATTATGTCCCAACAATGTACTTAAATATTCTGCTAATTCATACTCGGTCATGTGTTCACCTGTAAAATAAATAGGAGAATATTTCAGATAATTAAGTGAAGTTTTCATTGAAAATAATGCTGATTTGATAAGGATTCTCAGAGATAAAAAAAACCTAACAATCTCATCGAAAATAATACTGATAAGGATTTCTTAGATATATAATATTGAGAATCTGAATGTCGCATTCAGAACTTGTGATGATGATAATTTGAGTCTAAAATGAAATTGTTGATTACATTGCATTTTGTAAGTTATATTGTATTGTGCGATGATATCATGTCTTCAAAAGAGAGAGAGAGAGAAATGGGGTTTAACGTCCACTCGACACAAACTAGGTCATTTCGGGATCAACAAATGGTTTAATTTTATTTCAATAATTCGCTTGCGCATAGGGGTCTTTAGCAGTGGGAGGAAACCGGAGGACCAGGAGAAAACCCACGAGGTTGGACAGACGACCCTACTCCTTGTCACGTACAACCGAAGATTTGAAACCACGCCAGTTGACTCAATGACAGGCTTTATGATACAGCACGCACGTGCTAACCATTCGGCCATCCAACCCCCCGCCTTCAAAAGGCATTTAGTGAAAGTATTATAATTTACATGTATATAATATAGACATCTTTATGAATAACATTCACTAAGTTTATTAACTGCAATGATTAACTTTCAATGAGGGTACTCTCAACATTATCAAGCAAGAGATGATGGTCTTAGTTACAGGCTTCAATCAAAATGAAAACAAACTAACATTAAGGAAATATTACCCAAATTGTATCATACAGTGCTACAAAGAAATCTCAATGGCAGCACATTGAAGAAAAACCTATTGTAAATAACAATTTTAAATAGGCAAGTTCTTTAACCAGAAGTATCCTTTAAATGAAATTGAATTAAGTGGGGTTTAACATTTCTGCTCAGACTGGGCAAATGAAGATAGGGTATCCTTTAAAAGTTCCAATCAATTATACTCAAACTATATTTGTGTACCTACCTTTACTCTGTAATATATCTAAAAGTTCTCCTCTTTCAACTGCACAACCTTCACTAGTAGGTATACCAAGTATATCAAATGCTTCTAATACTTTATCTGGTGACAAACCAAATGCTGGACGATGATTTACATATACTATTAAAATAAAATATAAAATATTTGATAAAATGGCATATAACAGAACCACTTTTATTTCAAAGCAGAACCTTCCAAAAATCTAAAAACTAAAAGAATTTTTATCTCATATTATAGCCTCTGTCCATCATTCCTCTAACTCTTAACAGCTGTCGATAGCCATCTGCATTTTTCAGACAATATCTAATTATCCACAGCTTTTAATCCACGCTAAAATGTACTCAAATTGATTATTTAAAATTTAAATAAGAAATCAATATATCAATAGATTATAGGTGGTGTTAATCAGATTGGTATATATGGATATAACTACTTAATATTTAACTGTACTTCTTGATGTCCTTTAAAGAATTGAAACATCAATATTGATTGAAATGGACCAATATTGAATTCTAATTTGTTTTTAATTTCTTATATTATGGAAAATATTCAGTTAGAGGTTTAGCTCTTTTAAAGCTACTTACCTGCGAACCAATTGAGTGATTTAATGATATATTTGGACTAAAAACATATTCAAACTCATTAATCTATCACAAATTCACTTCAAATCCCTCTCAAAACTTTGTTTTTGTGGGGAGATACCACAAGTTATAAATAAACTGTTCTTAGATGCCATGTCTGTCAGCTTAATTCATTGTTGAAGGGTCCATTTTTCAGAATGTATTTTTCATTACTTACTGTTCATTTATCATACATATTGAGTCCTAAGTAAATTCTTAATTATTTTTTGTCAACTTCCTTTTCTGCCCAGAGTCTTTTTAATATTGACACACCTCGATCAATGTTCCCCAAACCACCTAACCATTTGATCAAGAAATAACAACCGCTCCCTCAGTCAAGCTAGCACACAATAAGCTGGCAGACAACAGTCGTGTTGCCAGTTAGTGATACCCTGACATTTTGGCCATGGGTATTTTTCCGGTAATCCAGTATCTTTAAGTTTTACTTACATTTGATAAATTCTCCTAAATCTATTTCTTCAACATATTGACCTGTTTCTACATATTCACTAAATTTCACTTCATTCATCATATCTTCAATCTAGAAAATAAATTCAATAAATATTCATATTTTAATTTAAAATATTTCCTTTACTCATACAAAAACACAACAAAGGAGATACATCGGGTTTCATGTGTTAGATACATCAGGTGTTCTAGAAAGGTTCGTTTAGTCTGTTGCTGCTATATATAGCTAAATGGGGAGACAGTTTGCGATATCACTACAGGGAAAGCAGACACAAAATGCAATAGGTGGCCTAAATTGAACATATTTTATCTAAGAATACACCATTTATTATTATGAACTTGAACAAAAAATTCAAAATCTGTACCTCTTGTTCCGATGGGTAAAAACCTAAAGCTCTCATAACAAATGGCACTTCTGACAGCTGTATTTTAGTTGATACTTTTCTTATTTCTTGTGAATCAACACCTTGACTGAAATAAAATATAAATTTAAAAATATTGATATATTAAAAAATACTGATATAGTCTAATTTTTGAAGATACTCCAGCTAATATCTCCATTTCAAAAAGTATTCTTGAACAAACATTTCTGAGAGTATTGCCTGCTCCAACAACTTTTTTTACCATGCACATAATTATTTAACAGGCCAATTCTGCAAATACATTTCTGCAAACGTATAATTCAAATAGGTAGACATGGAATAAATTCTGTAAAACTAAATTTTCATTGAATTCGTAGGCCTAAATAAAACATTGCATTAAATTTCAATCAAATACGTCAAAGTTTAACGTAAAAAGTACAAAAGAGAACACAGGGGTCATGGAGAAGGGTTTTGCAAGTTTGGTCCTAATCCCAAAACGGTCCACCAAAGTGATGTGTTCTTGGGACTGGATTGAGTACAGTTCGCTTGAAATTATGGCAGTAAAAATTGATAATTGAGTGTGACCTGGTTATGTCAGTACATGCATTCAGTTAAGGCCTTATCCATAACAGCTTAAATTCTATAAAGAGTACTATATATACCTGTAATTGCACCAAGAACTGTTTTGACACAGAAAGAGCAAGAAATGTAAAACTCATTGAATTTTACCCGATATGGTATGTTTTATCAAGGTTGTTATAATTGTGTTAAAATTAAAGTAACTTACTTTCTAATCTGACCATAATAGAAATAATCTTCTAGTTCCGCAAATAATTCACCATCTCTACCACCATCTAACAAACCATAGAAAGGTAGTAAATCTTCGCCACCTAATCGAGATTGGGCTTCTAAAGCACTGGAAAAAAGTTTAAATTTGTTTAATTCATATAGGGAAAATTATTTTATTAACATCGTAACTAGCAGTTCCAAAACATTTATTATCAAAAACATCAGTTCCATCTTAAAATATCAGTACCATAGACAGATCTCAAAAACATCACTGCCAGTACCACAACTAAATGACATCATAGACAGATCTCAAAACATTACTACCAGAACTAAATGACATCATAAACAGATCTCAAAAAATCACTACACAATTAAATGACATCATAGACAGATCTCAAAACATCACTACACAACTAAATGATATAGAGAGATCTCAAAACATCACTACACAACTAAATGATATAGACAGATCTCAAAACATCACTACACAACTAAATGATATAGACAGATCTCAAAACATTACTACAGTACCACAACTAAATGACTTATATCGCAACTGGATGACATGATAGATACATATCTCAATAAGATGGTGGCACCATAGATACATATCACAACTAGATGGTGACCATAGATACATATCACAACTAGATGGTAACATCATAGATACATATCACAACTAGATGACATCATAAATACATATCACAACTAGATGGTGGCACCATAGATACATATCACAACTAGATGACATCATAGACACATATCACAACTAGATGACATCATAAATACATATCACAACTAGATGACATCATAAATACATATCACAACTAGATGACATCATAAATACATATCACAACTAGATGGTCACATCATAGATACATATCACAACTAGATGACATCATAGATACATATCACAACTAGATGACATCATAAATACATATCACAACTAGATGGTGGCACCATAGATACATATCACAACTAGATGACATCATAGACACACATCACAACTAGATGGTGGCACCATAGATACATATCACAACTAGATGGTCACATCATAGATACATATCACAACTAGATGACATCATAGATACATATCACAACTAGATGACATCATAGACACATATCACAACTAGATGACATCATAGACACATATCACAACTAGATGACATCATAAATACATATCACAACTAGATGACATCATAAATACATATCACAACTAGATGACATCATAAATACACATCACAACTAGATGGTCACATCATAGATACATATCACAACTAGATGACATCATAGATACATATCACAACTAGATGACATCATAAATACATATCACAACTAGATGGTAGCACCATAGATACATATCACAACTAGATGACATCATAGACACACATCACAACTAGATGGTGGCACCATAGATACATATCACAACTAGATGGTCACATCATAGATACATATCACAACTAGATGGTCACATCATAGATACATATCACAACTAGATGACATCATAGACACATATCACAACTAGATGGTGGCACCATAGATACATATCACAACTAGATGACATCATGGACACATATCACAACTAGATGACATCATGGACACATATCACAACTAGATGGTGGCCCCATAGATACATATCACAACTAGATGGTCACATCATAGATACATATCACAACTAGATGACATCATAGATACATATCACAACTAGATAGTGGCACCATAGATACATATCACTAGATGGTAACATCATACATACATATCACAAGATGGTAACATCATACATACATATTACAACTAGATGGTAACATAATACATACATATGACAACTAGATGGTAACATCATAGATACATATCACAACTAGATGGTGGCACCATAGATACATATGACAACTAGATGGTGACATCACAGATACATATCACAACTAGATGGTGAAATCTTAAACAGATATCACAATAAGATGGTAACATCATAGATACATATCACAACCAGATGGTAACCAATTAGTTTAAATTTAATGGGTAATTTCAATTAATTACAATTGCTAAAAAAAAGGGGTCATCAATTTAATAGTCATATATTAGAACTAGATGGATTCCCTGGATGAGATTCTTATTGAACCTGTATCTTTATGGGTTTTTTTTTTTACTATAACATAGCCATGTGGAGGGATGAAATAAAGCAGATTAGCTAGTATTAACCTGTTTTAACATGTAGATATACAACTAATATAAACATACTTGATATTAACTTCCCACATATGAACAGCCGAATCTGATCCACCTGCTGTAAACAGATATCTTCCATCATAACTACATACTAAGTTTGAAACCTAAATATAAATAAAATATAAATATTTAATAACTAACTTATGAAATATAGTAGAATATAAGTTAAAGGGGAAATTCTACATTATATCTCTCTCTCTATATATAAAACTACATCTTATATTCCAGTGAATAAAACTGGTTATTTGTATGTGAAAGGCTATTAGAAGCAACTGTCTTGATATGTTTTCAAACAAATACCAAATTGGTGCAGAAAAGCGGGATATTAAATCCCCATTTCATTCATTTTTGGCAATCATTTCCACACAGTTCATGTCCGACAAGGTAAATCTAGACGAGTTCTTTACATTTTGTCCTTTGACTAGCATGCTTAATCACATTTTATTTATTAGGGAACCATTGAAAATTGAAATGATAAAGTTATTGTAATAATTTAAAGCAAATGAAAATAAAAAGCTTTACAAGGCACTATTTATTATGGTATGCCAATCAAGAAAATTATCCAATTTTACTATTTCCATCTTTCAATTGCAGGATTTTGTGTAATTCTAGGAGCAAATTTTTTGAAGCACCTGTTCAAAGTTGGATCCGAGTATTAAGAAATATGTTACACAAAACAAATATTTCTATGTATTCACAACAGCACTATATGTAACTAAACTAGCTCACAGTATAAGTTCTATAAAAGCTATTTTTCAGTTTTAACCTATTTAACTAGATGAAAATGCAATAAATAACTTACACCATTAGGATGTGCTATTAAAGCCATTGAATTATGAGGATTACCATCAAGTGGTAAAATATGTAGACCAACTTTATCTTCTGTATGGTAAGCTAAATATCTTTTCTCCATACCATCTAATGTTTGTTCTTTTGTTGGTAAAATAGACACTCTAGAAAAAGAAAAAAATATATTTTCATAAATTTGTTTCAATAATTTAAAATTTGGTTATTTATCCAGGCCCTTATTTATGAAAACCCGAATTGATTGTAACATAAAAAAAATCATCACTTGGTTACCATTAGTTACCCAATAGTAAGCTGCAATTCTTTACAAAAAATATGATTTTAACTTGCTTTCGATTTTTAAAGACATAAGCTAGAAGGGAAAGCTCAAGACACTAAAAGTTCATTTTTTAACGGTTTAACCATGCCAATGTATGAATTCACTTAAAGCTTCTAATTGTCATTTGAATGATTTTGAATCCTGTGCAAACTAAACTACAACATGGAAGTTGAACATCTAAAATGGATGTCAGACCAAAGATGATTTAATTCCATTCAGTATTTACAAAGATATAATGAATTGAAAATATCACAACATTTAATATCCTCTTCAGACAATATAAAAAAAAACCAGCGTCATTTAATCAACATTGGGTCAAATCTTTTGATGGGCCTCTTTTCAATCCAATTAAATCAAAGCCAGGAGAGTATCTACCGATTTGAAGATTTATTAATAAGAATAAAAAAAATAATAATTACTTTAAAACTGGAGAACCATACGTTGGTCCTAATAATGTTCTGCGACACATCTTTGTTGTTGCATTAAATAATTTAAATTTGTACTGAAACATGAAAAAAAAGTACATTTTAAATTTATATATCCAAGTAAATAGTTTCAATAAATATATTTTAAATTTTATATTTATAAATCCCATTAAAAGAAAGCATTATCTTCTTTTGCACAAGCATGATATTTATTTATAGAAAACCTGATTTTTTTACGAAGTTCAGATGGCTAACATACAGGAATCAAGATGACAAGTTAATGAAAGAACAGAATAGAAAACTGAATATATATAATTAGCTATGATAGGTTTAGTGGCAAGTGTCATGCCAAAAGGCAGGATGATCTATCTCTTTCTGAACACCCGATACAATTTATTTATTGGGAAAGTATATAAGAGCTTACCTGATCATTAGCTGTTATAAGGAAATGTTCTTTAGTTATGGGTGGATACCATGCCATACATTTAGGTATACCACTTTGTTCTATTCTATCTGAACTAGCTATAACGAGATTATCACGAACTGATGCTACTAAATCATACTCAACCTAAAATAAATAATTTGATAAATAAATAATAGATTAGATTTTCACCCTTAAGTTAACTTTAACAAAATGTTGGGCATAATTCAATTTGTATGAAATGTGCATTCAAAATACCAATAAACCACAGAAAAGATAAAATTCTGTACTTGGCAGAATGACAGACAGCAGAGGAAGTGTGTCTGAAGCAGTTTGATTGTTACCCTACCCTATTGATATGTACAAATCACATGAAGGAAAAAGACTACCATGTTTTTCCCGATGGGTGGAAGTTTATATAGTTATGGATTTTGATGTGGTTACACTAAATTATATGACAGCCCACAGCAAACAGAATGCCATTTTTCAAACATTAACTCATTACCCATGTAAAGGGATTGCCTATTTACAAATAAATAATCACATTATAACAGCACCTTATTCTAATTTTTCTAATCAAAAATCTTATCTGGTCTTATATATATATACTACTATTTTTTGAGATATACATTAATATAACTTACCAAAAATCTGTCTTCACCTAATGTCATAAGGCGGGGAAGGTTAGAATCCAGGTGAATACCAAATAAAACATCATTAATAGGTTTATAATGAGCTCTATATCTTCCTAAATAATCAAAAGGATCTTCTGCACTGTTTTGTTTTTTATAAACTGTTAAAGAATGTTCTGCATCCTGTCAAAATAATAAATAAAGACATCAATACAAATTCATAAATAGTTTATTTTAAATAATATATTATACTTTTTAAAAAAAACAACAATAATTAACTAAGTAGGAAAAATCAAGACCTACTTAAAGGGGCATTAGGTAAGATTAGATAAAGGGCTGACAGTTCTCACTATAATAGTTAGAAAATAGATAATGAAAAGAGAATAATATGCTGAAAATTTCAGTCAAATTGCTTCACTCTTAACAGAGATATTAGCAATTCAATTTTAGGCTAGCCTTGATGGCCATTACTTCTGTTAGTATGATAATAAACAAAGTCTTGATTATCCATTTTTAGATTAAATTATCCAGCACAAAACTTATTCAAATCCACTAAATATTGCAGGCTAACGATGGCATCAAGAGTTGATTATGGTCTTGATAAGTTAATTAATGTCTAATTAATAATTTAGATAACATTTAAGGCCTAAAGGAAGACCTGCAATAGGCAGATATAGCTCTTGCATAATACATGTTTAAAGTAAGGTATTTTCAACACGTGTTCCTTACTCTCCTTGAAATCACTAACATACTTGTATATTAAAAATTTAAAATCTAAAAGTCTACATTTCAACAATGACTTGAAAGATTTTTCCTAAATTTGCATGTATTTTTATTTTTTATTTAAACTCACCAATATAAATGTAAATTAACATCAAATCAAAACTTATATTTTTTACTAACTGGTAAAGACATCAATTATGCCTCTTTAGATAACATTACATGACAGGACAGAATATATAGATAACACTACATGGTAGGACAGTAGGGGTCTACAGTGATAACACTACATGGTAGGACAGTAGGGGTCTACAGAGATAACACTACATGGTAGGACAGAATACAGAGATAACACTACATGTCAGGGCAGAATACAGAGATAACCGTAGGTTACATGACAGGACAGAATACAGAGATAATACTACATGGTAGAACAGAATAGAGATAACACTACATGGTAGGACAGAATACAGAGATAAAATTAAATGGCAGGATCAAATAGAGATAACACTACATAGCAGGTAGAATGCAGAAATAACAAATCAACTTACAGCTGCTGCTAAATAAACTGAATTATGGGAAAAAACTAAATGTGTTATGGCATCTCTTGAATAACGGAATGGTTCAGACATTTCATCATTTAATGTTATAGCATCCAAGATTCTAACTGTACCATTTGTAAATCCAACAGCTGAAAAAAATACAATTTTCGTTATTGAAATAAAAACAAAAATATCTGCTAAAATAATTTCTGTAAGACTATTTCATCATTTTTCCTGGGATAAGAGTCTACCCAGGAGCCATGGCTTCTGAAGACCAATTCCAAAAGACTGCTGAATTGATACCAGCTATTTATGTTAGATGTTTATAACAGTTTTTAAATGAGAGTTTTTGTAAAAGTCGGTCCCAGTGAAACATTGATACGACTTGATCATAACTATTGACGGGTGACCAATCAACAAACCTAAATATTCTCCTTTGGGATCAAAACTGCTACATCTGATGTGTAAACCTCTTTCAAATGTTCTTGATACCATCACAGTCCTGTAGAAAATAACATTAAACAAATCAAAAACATTTATATAGCTTTAAGTACCTGGACCAGTGGAAGTATAAACAAATAAACTGACTGAATTTGCAAAAAAAATTTGAATAAATTAATTTAAAGTTCTAGACTTGCAATTTGTTGCAATCAAAACACCATTTGACAATGATTTGCCTTGTTTTTCTTTAAAGTTTGCATTATTTCAACCAACCTTTTTTCATAATTCCAGATTTGTATCAGCCCTGAATAACTTCCAATAACAAGATAAGGCCTGAAAAGAAAATTTATTTAAAATATGAATATGAGAAAGTATCTATTGAACTCAACGGAAAATAACTCAATATTTGTACAAGAAGGTTTTTGACTGATCTGAATTACTTTATTAACATTCAACAATTTGCAATTTAGAGTGATAATTATTCATCTTGGAGTTCATCCTCATACGTTTTTGTGAAGAATAAAAAAAACGGATTCCAATTTTATCAGCAATAAATTTTGCAAAAGATAAATTTAAAACACGTCCTTATTTTGATGTAATCAGCTAAATCTCACAAACCCTTTAGGATTAAAGAAACTGAATTATTCAAAATTTGACAAAGGTGTATACCTTCATAGAATTATCTGGAACAATATAAAAAAAAGTGAAAATACTTACATTTTTGGATGAGTTGATAATGCATGAATAGCTGCATCATGTTCTCTGTGAATAACCTGGAAAAATATATTAAATTACATGTTTAAATCACATACAGTTTTAGATTTACCAGCAAACACAGAGAAATCTTACTTTTTAACCCATTAGCATGTAAATAATGATTACCCCAGTAAGCTGAAAAATTGAGAGAAAAGTAGCTCAGTTTCAAAATTGAACTAGTTCTCTGAGGTTTGATGCACTAAAGCCAGGAGCAGTAGTAGTTAAGGCGGTCCAAATGCTAAAGGGTTAAACCTTTATTGTTCTTTTTTAAAGATATATTCCCTCAAGCATAAAGTTTCAGTTAAGGTATATCTGAAGGATTCAGTTTGATATTACCTGAACTTTGGTTCCATCTGCTGTCACATTACCAAATATGGCAATGTTGGTTCCCACAACAAAATCTCTGATGACAAAGTTTTTGGCTGAAATGGTGGCGTCTCCAGGATATTTACTACCTTCTGGAGCACTAACAGAAGAAAAAGAATTCTCAAATTGAAAAATTAGATCTAGCTCCAATGAAATACATCTTTAAGTTAGTTTCAAGTCTGAATATTACAAATTTTTAAATAAAGAATGATAACTTGGCAGATTGGTTTACAGAATCTGCTGCATTATATTATACAATTATTGTTATTACAAATTACGCCATTTAAAAAATAAATCATGAACCTAGTTTTAAAAAATTGTGAAATTTTTTTTTAAATTTTTAAAAAAATATTTTTCACTTACATTGGAGCAAATTCTGGAATGTGTGAAAAAGAAACTGATGTTATTGGACCAAGGTGAAAATCTTGATACCTGGAAGACAGAAGAGAACAATCAAAGTATTGCTTGGGTCTAGAATAATATAAAATCCCACAATAAGGCCTTACCAATTTAATTTTTAGTTTTTAATCTTTGAGGGTATTGATCAATAAATAAAACTCTCAATTCCTGTGTGCAATGGTTTGTTAAAATTTCAAAACATACATATTTGGAACTAAAAGCTTTGGAGAAGAGCAACTAAATATTTTTGTTTTTTATATTATTTTTTTTTGCCTGAAGACCTTGGATGCCACATTTTTGATAGGTATTCCTGAAGAATAGAAAATCAAATTGGTATGGCCTAAACTGCTGGATAATAAAGTTGTGACAATCAAGGGATCTAATTTAAACTGTAAGGCTACTACTGTTAATAATTATTGTACTAACCAATAAATAAGTTTGAGCGTCTGATCAAAGAATTTAACATGTCCGGCCATATCTCCTACTACAATATACCTGGAAGAATAACAGCATAAACATTTAAGAGGATGGTAATTAAGTATTGATTTCCAGTTGAAATAAAGATTTAAGTGTCTATGAACACGGCTAATGAATAAAATTCTATCACCTGCACAAGTTTTAACCAGAAGATATCACACATTAATGAACATACTACTGTACATACTCCTATAGTTTCAATCATTGCATTTTATGTACTTCTACTAAATGCAAAAATTCACAATTTGAACCAAAACTAACTGATTGTTACATGTTTCTTTACTGATACAATCTCATTTATTTGCTTTTTGATAAAATTCAGGATTAAATGTTGATTCACTGAAAATCAGGAGAGTATTGAATTCAGTATAATATTGTGATTTTACTATAAAATTTTAAGATTTTTTGTGAACCTACTTGTCTGTTGTAGTAAGAACATTGATTCCTCGATCCTGTAATTTTATTATCTTTAAAGCTTTTTTATCAGCAGATTGTTCTGTACTCACAACTGTAACAGACAATAAATATTATTAGGTGATTATAACATCAACGATGACAAAGAAGAAATCTTTAAATAGGCCTATAGCTAATCAGAGAGAGAGAGAGAGAGAGAGAGAGAGAGGATGGACAGCCGACCTTAATCCTTTTACAAGCGGGGAATTGAAACCATGCCACTTGACTCAATGACAGACCCTATGAATATGATATTAATCTAACGTGAACATGTTAAACCATTCAGCCACCCAACCCCACTAGATGGAACTAATGACCACAAGCATACCTTGTATGGTGTTTCATTTATAGTTCATACCATAGACAATCAAAAGTACTTTTATTTAAAAATATCTGTGTCCAAAAGTTATTCAAATCTTCCATCTTTTAATGTTTTAGACACTAAAATACATTTCAAACTCTGACAGCGTTCTAGAAAAGTTGAATGGATGTACTGATTGGGACTTTTACCTTTTGTTAATGGTTTATTGTTATCCCATACAACCAGATTACCAATAGACGTTCCTGTTAATGCCCGGGAACTATTACTTTGAAATATAGACTGACTGTAATTTCCAACTTGTTTATTAAAATCTTGATCAGAGAGGGGTGGGGCAAAATATTCTAAATGTCTTTCATCCTGGAAAAATAGATAATTCATCAAATTTAATTCATTTCAAATCAAATAAATTTAATATAATATTTCATTAGATATTTTTGCATTAATGAGTTTGGTATTACTGGAAGTGGTAGTATAGTTTAGATAGTAAAAATAGATCTTCAAATTTTAAATAAGAGAGAGACAGAGGGAAATGGGTTTTAACGACACAAACTAGGTCATTTTGGGACAAAACAGATATTTCAATTTTATTTTAATAATTCGCTTGTGTATACTGGTCTGTGGGAGGACCGAGAGAAAACTCACAACATTGCACAGGCAACCCTAATCATTGTCACATACAAACTGTGAATCAAAGCCAAGCCACTTGACCCCCCCCCCCCCCATTTTACTCAGTAGTCTTATTCATGAAAACGCAGTAAATGATCAAATAAATAGTAAATACTAACCCAATGGCAGAATATAACTTGTGATGAGCTATTAGTAACCAGATAATGGAAATCTTCTGGATTAAAATAAATAAAATTCTGTACTCCATAATCTGGACTTAACTGAGCCGTACAGATTGGTGATTCACCATCAATGGTCCAATCCCATATGGACAATATCTGTAGGAAATAAATAAAACAAAATATACCTGATAATTAATAATTTTCCAAAGAAAATAGTTAGCTAGAAATAAGTCTATATTTATTATACCGTCCACATTTTTTAAATTCTAAATTTATTTGGAATCATTGCATCACTATAATTTATTCTTTTGACAATATGAAAAAGTATTCTTTTGTTGCAAGCATATTCAAAATAAAATTGATAATATCAGTAAAAAACAATTTTAGAAAACCAGTGTATATTCCCAAAAGATGATATCTTTAATTAATGGATCTCCAAACATATTTATAAAGATATAAATGAATACCTGGCTTCTGGCACTGCTCAATGTTGCTAGGTACCTAGCGTCAGGAGTAAGAGCTACAGCAACAACCCCTCCATCAGGATTCAGATCAAACAATGTTTGGATTGGTGTGCTGTAAGAAAATAAAGAAATGATCATAATTCAATAACTTAGATACATTATGGAAGATTAGATAAAGGGCTGGTAGTTCTCACTATAATATTAAAAAACTAGATAATGTAAAGGGAATTTGCTGAAAATTTCAGTCAAATTGATCCACCCTGAACCAAGTATTTAGCGATTGAATTCTGGGCCTAGCCTCGATCATCATTACCAAAGTCGGTACGATAAAAAACATAGTCTCGATTATCCATTTTTTGATTTAATCAGAAGCAGCAGACCAGGTTCTAATCCAGTAAATATCGCAGATTATCCATTTTTTGATTTAATCAGAAGCAGCAGACCAGGTTCTATTCCAGTAAATATCGCAGGCTAGCGATTCCATCGAGAGTTGATTATGGTCTGGATAAGTTAATTAATGTCTAATTAATAATTTAGATAACATTTCAGGCCTAAAGAAAGGCCTGCAATTGGCAGATTTAGCTTAGCTCTTGCATAATGCATGTTTAAATCATTTGATAGTGTGCCTAAGATTGGTGTTGGTGATACAATTTTCATGGTTAATAAACAAGAAATCATATTTACAACCAATGTATACTAGTAATAATTGGAGAGTTAACAGAAATGAAATGAAATGGGGTTTAAAGTTTAAGGTCCTACTGTTGAGAGTTGACAGTGTGGTGCCTTGGATTGATAAAAAAAAAAGAAGCTGTCTGTTTTACTAGCTACCTGTCTGAGTCCAAAATCACCTGTTGGCAACAAGTAGACATTTGTACATTTCAACCGTGTGTATCTGGTGTCAACTGTCTAAGTTCAGTGTGACAGGAGTGATTTACATAAAATCACATGCCCTAAGTATAACTTTGTCTTAATATTTGCTTGAAATATTTAAAAGCTTCAAAATCGAGGAAAAGGGAATTACTTCTTTAGCACTGCACTGGCCTTGATCTGAATATCTGATAATAAAAACAGATCCTGTCATTTTCAGTCTTCCAAATAAATTGCTAAGATTGAAAGCATAATTTTTCAAAATTTAAATTATGAAAATTTTAAAATAACTTCTTACCCTGTAGTGGTGTCCCATACAATTACCATAGCATCTTCACCTTTATCACCAGTTACTAACCATTTCTTATCTTCGCTTACACAACTACATGTTATAGCATTTGTCTGAAAATTAAAAACAAAATAATTTTTTATATATTAATAAAAACAAAATTAATTTCAGAACACTTTCAAATTCTTAAATTATTATTATTTCAATTGATGATAATAATTAAATATACAGAGAAGTGGGAGAATGTCCTTAAGGAAAATACAATTCATTGTTGTTGGATATTAATATTATGGCAACCTAATTGAAGAGCACTAACCAGAGAACACCATCTCTTAATGTCTGTGTCGTTAGTCATGTCCACAGGTTTGTATTAAGGGTTTGGTTTTGTGTGTAGTGCAGTCCTCCTGCACATACTATTACAGAAGATTCCTGAGACGAGTGGTTTGACATGTTTTAAAAAATAATAAGCATCTAGACTTTACCAAGCACAATATGCATCACAATCTGCAGCGATCAATTTTCAGGGTTAACTTGAAAGTAAGTACACCATTAAAAATTCACTGAAAACAATTCATCATAAGACTACAGAACTTACATGTCCTTGTAAAATGTGTTGTTTATTATTTTGAAAATCATATAAAACACCAACATGTGCACATGGATACAATATCATTTTACGATCTTTGTCTGTTAAATTTAAAACAGGAACATCTCGATTCAAACCAAACGACCAGATAATATTCTGAAAAGACAAAAATATTTATACATGTATTTGGTAAAGAGAAAAGTTGATTTTTCAACAATATTCCACTCAAACACAATTTTTCATTCAAGTTTAACTGCAGAATGCTTCTTTAGACAATACTATGACTGCCTTGATGAGCTAACGTAATAATTCTCAAAAACTCTCCAGTCATGAAACAAGGGCAAGTTATTTTGGCAGAATCTCTGCTTTTAATCTGTTTATTTTAAAAGAAAATAAATCATGGAGAAACATACTAATGCAGAATTTGACATTGTTCCTTCCATTGAGGTTTCAGTTCCATCTTGATCAGGTGAAAGGAGTCGAGATACTGATGGTAACATGTTCTGATTGACAGGCGGTGCAACAGGAATTTGAGGTGAAGTTGTTTCACGTGTTTCTAATTCTCCCTCAGTTGCTTCAGCACTAACAACTGGATTTTCTTCTATCCCTGGCACAACTCCATCTTGTGTTTTCTCTTTCTCTGGTTCAACTTCATCTTGTGTTTTCTCTTCTCCTGGTTCAACTTCATCCTGTGTTTTTTCTTTCTCTAGTTCAACCTCGCCTTCTGTTTTCTCTTTCTCTGATTCATCTTCATCTTGTGTTTTCTCTTCTCCTGGTTCAACTTCATCCTGTGTTTTTTCTTTCTCTAGTTCAACCTCGCCTTCTGTTTTCTCTTTCTCTAGTTCAATTTCATTTTCCTTATTTTCTTCATTTGCTGTCTGATCTGAAAATGAAAATAATTTTTGCTAAGTGGTGAAAACTATCAAGATTTGACTGGCTCTGAAAGTACTTTTAAGTAATAAGCTTAAAGGATGTATAGGTGAATATAAAGGCCTGAATTGGGTTGATATGATGTGTTTCGTGGGACAAGTCTTGAAAAGATTAAGCAGTAGTAGTAGTCAGCTTTTTACCAATTTACTAATCAGCTGAATTATGAATACCCAAAACTCAAAATCGGATAGATTGTATTCAGTATTACCACCCCAATAATTTCAATATTGATACCTTGTTGTTCATCATCTTGCTCTTTTGGTTCATCCACTTGTTCAGGTTGTTCTTCAGTCAAGGCCTCAACCGGAGCTTCTGTTTCTTCTTGATCACCTTGTCCTGCATTTTCTGCTGGAGGTTCAACTGACTGTTCATTAGCAGCCTCTCCATTCTCCACATCCTGATCAGCATTTTGATTCTGAATTACATTCACAGATTCAGACAAGTTCGAACCACTATTTTCAAAAGGATCACCCCTTTCCTCTGGTTCACTGCTAGTGGTGCCGTCATTTTCTTGCTTTACAGATTCATCAGGTTTAACATCCGCATCATTTTCAACTGCTTCCGTTTCGCCACTGTTTACATTTTGTTCTGCCATTGGCTGTGCATTTTCTGTCAATGAATTCTCTTGGTCCTGCTCAGCTGATACTTGATTCGCATTTTCCATAGGTGGATCACCAGCCTCGGGTATCTTTGGTGATTCGGGTTTATCAGACATTTCAAATTTTCAAGCAATAATTCGTCAAAAAAAGATTTAAAATGAGGGAAATCAACTTCTCCGATAATCAGTCCATTTCGACTTGACGCCGTTGCTATGCAACTATGTTATTGTCTACTTTTTTATGTTAGTCGTAAATCAACACTTTTTACTTCCGTTTTGTATGCTTTTCATGAATCTATCCAGAAGTATTTCAAATATTATTAATATCGCTTTCAATTGATTGACAAGTAATTAAATTATGGCTTGATTGTCTTATGATATTACTAAATCAAAATAACCTTCTCAAATTTAACGACACTGCACTCATTTACAGCAAACATGGCGGCTTCCATGAATTATTTTTTGTAAACGAAAAGACAGAACACTTTCACAAAAAGAAATGTTGAATAATGTCTGTTTGAGTGAAGTGCTCTCTCAGATTCCACACCCCTTTACTATTATATATACCGCCCTATCCGTTTCGTGTTTTCTTTACATTTTGTTAAAGTATTTTGAGATTGGCGGAGATGTATTATTATGGAAAATTCGCGATAAAAACATTCTGTTGATAATTGCACATCCAGACGACGAATGTATGTTCTTTGGGCCGTCTTTATTGAACTTACTTGAAGAAAATAAAATATCTATCCTGTGTATGACATCAGGTGTTTATATTCTCGCTCTTCTCATTTATTTTCCGCCCAGGCCAATATTCCGTCCATTGAGGCTTACCCAATATAAATATTCGGTAAATGTGATCACCATGAGAACTATTGCATATTATAAAGTCCATGTGAGTCCTTACACCGCACCTATATCAGGTCTCTCATCTTCTTCCTCATATCATGAGGGGTACGTGATCAAATACTTGTTTTCCTTCTATAATGTGCCTCATCTTTTCCAACGTTTGCAGAAATAAGCTGATGATTACAATGTAAAAAGATTAAAGATTTATCTAAATTTCCCTGTTTGCATAATTTGACTATTTTTTTAAACAGATCTAGTTGGAAGATTGCGAATAATTTCTATTTTTGAAATGTCAGTCTGGCAGTATAATGCGAACTTCAGTGGCTTTTTATGTGTTTTTCATTGAACACAAAACATTCATTTGGTAGCCTATGCTAAGTGTTTGGGAAATAGAAAAACAGTGAGTTCTAAAAATATCATTTCATATAATTTTCAATGAGTTACATATAAGGAGTTATCTGTATGTCAAACGTTATGTGACACAATAACTGTTTCTTATTGAGGTAGAATGATCGAACTTGCCATATGTCGTGTTCATTAGCTAAGTGCCTTGGTCATGTTCACTGATAAGCATTTTCTGCTCGGACTCAGCGGAGATAGCAATTTTATTGTTCAATGCTATGGGGGGGGGGGGTTGGATGGCTGAATGGTAAGTGTGCGCGCGCTGTATCATAAAGTCTGTCATTGAGTCGACTGGTGTGGTTTCGAATCTCCGGTTGTATGTGACAAGGAGTAGGGTCGCCTGTCCAACCTTGTGGGTTTTCTCCGGGTCTTCCGGTTTCCTCCCACTGCTAAAGACCCCTATGCGCAAGCGAATTATTGAAATAAAATTGAACCATATGTTAGTCCCGAAATGACCTAGTTTGTGTCGAGTGGACGTTAAACCCCATTTCTCTCTATCTCTCAATGCTTTGGGTCTGATAACTTTGATTCTAATAATATGGGACTGATGATACTTGGTGCATAGTTACACTACATCAATACCATGACTGAGCTAAGGCGAGTGATAAGTAATTTGATTGTTTTAAACATTGGAGCAGATCAATTTTGATTCTAATTGAGGGAGAGTGGTGAAACTTGATGCATAGTTCCATTCATCAGTACCTTGTCTAACTGAGTGAGAGTTTCAATAAATCAATACCTGAATTTACTTTAAAACATAACTAGATTTATCATTATCTTTTCAGGCAATTTCTATGACATTGGTAAAGTCAGAAAAACAGAATTATTAGCAAGTGCATCTGTTTTAGGTATTTCTACAAATGATGTGGTTATCATTGACAAGAAGTAAGCTCATTATGTTCATCTCTATAAACATGTAGATTATGGTACTAAACTTGCAAATTTCCAAAAGGATGATTATAATTCAGAACTTATAAGTAGCAAGAACTTTAGTCTAAATATTGTAAAGTAAACATATCATTTCTCATCAGTTATACTGCTAAACACAAGCCCCCATTACTTGATGTCTCTTTAATTTAGGGCACTACCTGATAATCCCAGTATCCAGTGGGATAATGATTTGGTTTGTAAAGAAATACTAGATGTATGTACTAAAATAGTTCCAGATATGGTAAGAGAGTTTTAAATTAATTTTTAGTGTTTAATATGGAAAAATGCGGATGTTGTGTCATCAAGGGTTAAATCTAACCCGTTAAAATGTTATTGATTAACCGGTTGGCAATCAACTTTTGTCGAGTGATCATATATCAATTTTTTCGTTGATTCCTTTATCAAGTAAAAAATGTGTGGGGACCAACTGATATCATATAGAAATTTGACAAGCATATTGATAACTCTTTATCACTTATGCAATTGTGGTATGTCCCCTCTCCATTATCTCAGTTGGTGCAGAACAGTGGGACATTAAACCCCATTTCTTTTCGTTATGGTCGTGAAATTCGATTGCATTGCATGGAGTTATTTTTCCGTTCACAATTTGACTTTCAAAGCTTAGTATAAAATTGAAAGAGATTTTTTAAAACTAGTTCTGTGGAATGTCTTGAGAGAATGATTCTAAAGTTAGCACTGCCAACCTTGCTGCTGGTGAACGTTCAGGGTTTCTGTATACCGGTATATTTATTTTTCAGATAATAACATTTGATGATTATGGTGTTAGTGGTCATCAGAATCATATATCTTTATTTCATGCTATCAGGTATGTATCAAATATATTTAAACACAATGATTGAAGTATAAAGGTGAAATGACATTTCTTGTGAACACTCTACAGACTACATTTATCATCTGATTGTTTTGAAGTTGATATATGTTGTTTACGTTACTGAAATAAAGATGCCTATTGAAATATCAATAATTTCTGTTAATTTCTTTTGGAGTTCTGGCCCTTGTTTCACTTTATTGCACCTTGTGAGTGCTCTAACAACAAAAATTATTATCCGATCTGTATGAAATTTATGTGCATCCTTTAAATTAGTGAAACGACGAAGCCTATTGAATTTCAGCAATTTCTAGAGTTATGACCCTTGTTTCACTTTGTCGAATCCTGTGAACACTTTAACAACAAAAGTTATCATCCGATCTGTATTATATTTATATGCATTATTTAGATTAGTGAAATAAAGAAGTATGTTGACTTTCAACAATTTCCATTTATGACGTCTAGGGTTATGGCCCTTGTTTCACTTTATTGAACCTTGTGAACGTTTGAACAACAAAATTTATCATCTGATCTGTATGAAATTATATACATCATTTAAATTAGTGAAACATAGATCCTACTGAATTTCAGCAATTTCCATTACCGGGTAATTACGTCGAAAGTTATGGTCCTTGTTTCAGTTTATTGAACCTTGTGAATGCTAGAATGACAAAAGTTGGCTGCTGATCTGTATGGAATTTATATTCATCATTTAAATTAGTGAAACAAAGAATCCTATTGAATTTCAGCAATTTCATTAATTTCTTCTGGAGTTATGACCCTTGTTTCACATTGTTGCACTTTGTGAACAATTATCATCCGATCTGTATGAAATTCTTACACAAAATGCAAATTAGTAAAACAAAGAAATCTATTAAATTTCAGCAATTACTAATAATTACTTCTAGACTTATCAACCTTGTTTAACTTTGTTGAACCTTGTGAACGCTCGATTGACGAAAGTTATCATCTGTTCTGTATGAAATTTATATGCGTCATTTGAATTAGTGAAACATAGAAGCCTGTTGAATTCCAGCAATTTCCAATAATTACTTCTCGAGTTCTGGGCCTTGTTTTACTCTGTTGAACAATATGAATGCTTGAATGACAAGTCATCGTCTGATCTGTATGAAATTTTTATGCATTATTTAAATTAGTAAAAGACTAAATATGCAACAACTCTCGTTGATCGCTCAGACGATTTAGCTGCTTTTGGTGTATGTTTTGTTGCCTGGCAACCAGTCTTCTCAATATGTTTTAATGACTGTTAACAGTCAATCTTTTAAATAGTTTTGTTTTCATTTGATATCACTATTATTATTCATTTTGTGTGGATTTTACATGTATACGGATCGAAAGTAATTTATTGCCAGGAATTTAAAAGCTCTATACAACATTGATTATTTTTAAAACCATTTATTTATTTACAGAACAATTCTTAAAGACAGGGTCTGGAAAAATAGTGAGTTTTTATATTAATATTTCTGATATTTCTGAATAATCAAGGACAACAGCAGTTAAAATTAAATTTAGTTCATTACTCATCAGATAAATCTGCAGTCCCTTACTTAGATGGTTTACTTTGCAATGAAATAAAGTACATGTATATGTGGAATCAAGAATTTTGAGTAGGTCGGGAACAAAAAAGGGGGAGCACACCTGAGTACCCCTCTTCTGGATCCATGCTTGTATTATGCTATGTCTCTGTATCGTCCCCTTTAAATTATGTTTCTTTGATATAAAATGTGTTTATTTAATTTCAGAATTACCAACCATACCAGTTGTTTATAGTTTAGATAGTATATCAGTATGGAGAAAATATATATCTGTATTAGATCTACTAGTAACATTATTAAAACACAGAAAACTATATCTCTCTTCATTAAAGCAGGCTTTATTAACACAGGTATTTTCAACTTTAATACCATATTCTCCAGGGGCTTGTTCAGGAATCAGAAGAGCAGGGCGTGTTTGTGTGTGTGTTGGGGTGGGTGGGAGGGCTTCGAAGGTGGAGAAAACTTCAAGTTCTAGAGGATCACCCAAACATTATATAAAATCAGAATTCGGAGAGTGGGGCCAAAAACGGCAGCAATGCTCCACACATTTGTTTGTTCATCATTATTTCATTGAATGTAGGAGAAAAAAGTATGCTCTGCAGGGATCATTCCTGATCTCTGGAATGTTGTCTGTTCTCTCATGTACAAGACAGACAGGAATACTATCATTTTGCCCAGAGAAAATATTAAGGGCATTTTTCGTTCTTGTTTGACCCAGGGATCTCATACTATTTATGCTTGTAAGTCCTGATTGACTGGCTGTAAAATTTACATACTCTAAAATTAGGTCTTTCTAAGATTTTAACACAATAAATCCTGTTAAATTTATACTTTTTTTCAGTAAAAATACCTGAACATTTTATATATACTGGTAAAACTTTTAAAAGTGAGAGCCCGAAATTGGCACTGTGGTAGCTGAACTCCCTTAGTATATCCCTCTTTACAACACTGTTGATTTGGACAGCTAACTTCAGATGTATTTATCATAAAGTAAAATTAATGTAAATTTAATGCCCTTTTCCCTGGCTCCTGTGATGGGGGATTGGGTAATTGAATGGTCTAAGGTGTGTGCTTTAGATCATAAGGTGTAGTTTCGATTCTCCTCTTGTATGTGACAAGGTGTGGGGTTTCCAGCCTCATGCATTTTCTCTGGGTCTTCTGGATTTTTCCCACTGCCAAAGACTCGTACACACAAGCGAATTATTGAAAGAAAATTAAACCATTCAGTCCTGAAATGTGTTGAGTGGACTGTAAATTCGATTTCTCTCTCTCTCCCTCACCCCACCCCTGATAAAGTGGCTTATGAACAGATAAAAACACAAAGACTCAAGCTGCCAGATTGAGAATCAAACATGCCAGCTGGTAGTCACAGATTCAGCTCAGTCTGTGTCGTTTTATCAGAAGTATTAAACAGACTGTTTTAAATGTAACATTTTTTCTGTTTCAGAAAGCCATGTTTGCCCATAGAAGTCAACTGATGTGGTTTAGAAGATTGTATATTATATTTTCTAGATATATGTTTATAAATACTTTTACACAAATAAAACCAGATTAACACCTTATGATTCATTTCATTCCAATACTCTTTCCCCAACATCCTTTCAGTCATGACTCATGAGTGGCCTTTTTATGGTAGCTGGCAGTTCAATTGTATGAATAATCCACATTAATGATTGTTGAGTATTTTGAGTTTACCCTTCTTCATGCTGGTGATTCAGCCATATGAACAAACACCAATGAAGTTGCAAATATTTTTCTTGTGTCGGTTATTGTTGGTCCGTATTGTGTGTCGTTACTCAGGAAATGTGTTATACAAAAATAATAATACATTACATACCACATATTTTCTTACTGCATGGACATTGTCAATGCCAGTAGGGGGGATAGGGGACTTGAGCCCCCCCTTGTGCAAATAGCATGATTGTGCGATGCCTAGAGTTGGATTGGACCACAAGCCCCTCCATATCGAAATTATGGCTACAGCGCAGGATTTGGACATTCAGTTACAGTGCATCATAGAAAGGGGACACCGGTTTAAGCAAGGACATAATTATTTATACATTCTTGGTTCAATTGGAAATAGCAACACATAGTAGGGAGGGAAACCATCATTACCCCATATTCCTAAGTTCATTTCTTATTTACAAGAGGAAACAATTTTGTCTAATGAAAAACTTGAAAAACACAGTACACCTTTTAAAATATTGAAATCCTCTTAAAAAGAGTTTGCTCCCTTAGTTGGCATATCAATTTATATAATAATTTATATTATTAAAAGAAAAAAATGGCCACAAAACATGGATTACAAAATTCAGTTTGGTTACAAACCAATGATCAATATTTATTACATTCTTTATTTACGGATACAGGCACTACTTATCCAACATAAGAAAAAGGTTCTCTCAAATAAACCTTAAAAAAAATCACCTACAGGTTGGTCGACATTCAAAGCATTGTGCAAAAACTTATGAAACAGACACTAAATAATCGCAAGTGGTTACCTTTTAACTGGTTATATGTAGATTGGGAAGTGAATATCGATACAAATTTTGACAAAAAAAGATTTGGGCACAGGAGAAATTGTGTTTTATAATTGAGGTTATAGACAAATAAAATTATGGTGACAATACTTAGGGAGATTATTTACTATTATTATTAGCCTATAAAATCCTAGATCAGAAAAAAATCTTAATTTTTGGACTGGCTAGTCATTCCCAGACTAAAAGAGATGAATTTCATGTTTATTTATGGAGGAGGTTTACTTTTTGTGGTTAAAGGTAAATCAGTATCTATATATTTGTTATCCGAGAAACAAATTACCAGTACCCAAATAAAGTCTTACACAATTAGGAATATTGTATGTGATCTAATAATCCTGTGATTCTCAAAACTGGATCCACAATGAATTTTTTTTGCATTTTTGGCATTTCAATATAGTGTTATTAAAGACATAGGGTCCAAAGACAGATCCATATAGAAAGTCAAAGCAGTAAAAATAAACAAAAAAGTGGTAGAAACTGAGTTCATCTGTCATTTATATTAGCCATAAGATCTTAAGAGGACATTTTAGATTTTGGCTTCAATTGAAGATAAAATAACCTCAAAAAAACAACAACAAAATATAAAAAACAACTACAAACTTCAGTAGGTTAAAACTTCAGCTAGAGTCCAATATAAAATTCAATTCTAAATATTATATAACCAAACTTCTCAAAACCTAATTATGCGAGTAGATATATAATTAATCTATTTCGCTTTGAAAATATAACCAAAGGAAACTTAGCTAAAGAAAGTTTGAAATAATCTAATGTGATGGTGGTTAATATACATGTACTTCTTCGTATATTTTTTTGTTATCCATTAAACTATACGAAGAATTAGACAATATTCACAGGCATATCGCATCAAATTCGAAAAGGGATTTATATTGTAACCACGAATCGCCGTTTTTTCATGAACCAAGCGTGTACGTTTAGTTGTTGGATTTTTTTTTTTTAATAAATATTTATACAAATGTAAGACATTTTAAACGTCAAAACCTCTATTTTTTATATATATAACACACATACAGAAAACGACAGCCAAGCGTGCGCTCACTGTTCGCACGATCTTATCAACAACTGATATTTCCTGACCCCGTAACCTTTCAACTTTGTGCCAGTTGACCGACATGGCGACAGAAGAAGACGAGATCAGTGTTCTAGTAAGTAAAATTGCTGTTGACGAGCTTATAAAAGTAGCAATGACTACGTTACTTTGTAGTATTTTGACTAAGTGTGTGGTGTATGTATAGAATGGTTTACATATTAATCAAGTTCAGCTTGTAAGCGTAATGCAAAGCTTTGCTAGCCATATTATTATAAAGTTACGATACAAGTTCCCCTTTTCCTTTTCACTCTGACTGAGTCTCAGTGCACAGTCACTGTATCTGTTATATTATTATAACTGTTATAATATAATCCATCTGTATATTATGTTTATGTCTTGTTGAAGTTATTTATTTCATACATTTACTGCTGTAAAATTGAATAGATGATACATCTTCTTTTACCTTCCATTGAATGGCTTATTTTCATGCCTGATTATATTGGCTGCATAATACATTACTAAAACTACTAGTGACAAGATTGTTTTATTATTTTAAAGGAGTTTGTCCCATATTTCACAAGGTATATATATTGATGAAAGTAGCTTTAAAAGTTTAAGTATCAGCACACAATTAAATGTCAGCATGTGAAGAAATAGTCCAAATGGCTTGTCTGAATATTTCGGTTGAAAAAAATATTGAACCATTCTGAATCAGTGATCAGTAGATTTGACAAGCATGGTTACCTAACTCATTTATGGAATTTGGCTGTTCAGTTGTATGAGTGACATTATGATTGTTGTGATCACTGACCACTATAACTCAGCCAAGTATATAAATAAGGCCCTTAAGTGGAATTTGGGAACCTTATCTAAAACAACATGGAAACTGAATGTTTGTATTTCATCAAACGTACGAACGAAGCGTTTTATATGATCAAGGATGTCATTGCAGCAGTTTTGGAATTGTGAAATCATGTTAAACATCGAAGTCTGTCCATCAATGCGCATTTTTCCAAAGCCTGAGGATTACCAAGTGTATGCAACCAGTTCATTGTTCAAGTGAGGGAGTGGGTGGTCTACGTATCTAATACATGTGCTTTAGATCATAAGGTCTGTAATTGAATCAATTGTTGTGGTTTCTATCCCACACTTGTACATGACAAGGAGTCGAGTCGCCTGTCTAACCTCCTGGGTTTTCTCCATGTCCTCCAGTTTCCTTCCACTGCTAAAGACACAAGAAAAGAATTGAAATAAAATTAAACTATATGTTAGTCCCGAAATGACCAAGTTGTGTCAATTGGACGTTCAACCCCATTTCTTTCTCTCTGTCTGGTTAAGAAAGTACCACAGAGATTGAATTCAGATAGTTAAAAGGGACTAGGATATATATTTCACTTGGATGTAGATTTCAATTTATTTTTTTCAGTAAGCTTACATTTTTTTTAGTGGTTTTCAGCAAGATTTACAAATTATTGTGATAAATATTCGGACAGTCAAATTTCTCACCTTTACGAAAGCTTCTAATTAAACATGCATTATGCAAGAGCAAAATCTGCTTATTACAAGTCTTTTTTTAGGCCTGAAATGTTATCTAAATTATCAATTAGACATTAATTAACTTATCCAGACCATAATAACCTCTCGATGTCAAGGCTAGCCTTCGATGTAGGCTGGATTAGATTCCTATATGCCGCTAATGGCCAAAGATAATTAAATCAGAAAAAGTGGATAATCGAGACTATGCTGTTTATATTAATGATTCTAGTAATGATAACCGAGACTATGCAAAAATTTCACCGGCTTCTTTCTCGGCTCATAGTGGATCAATTTGACTGAAATTTTCAGCAAATTACCTTTACACTATCTAGTTTTTAACTATTATAGCGAGAACTGCCATCTCGTTATCTTATCTCCCATAATGTATCTTTAAGTAAACATTGTACATTAATAATGAATTAATATACCGATAGCATATTTAAAAGTGTTAGGACCAGTCTAAGTCTAAGCTTTTATTATGTAGTCTCTTATATTTAAAATGAATTTTAATGATTAAAGATAATTTTATCCTATAGAAACAGTCATGAAATGAAATGGGGTTTAATTTAACATCATACTTTTTTGTTCCAACTAGGCTAGTGAAGATAAGCATTTACCATACCAGTATAGTGTGCTATGAGGGAAATTTTGCCTGGACATTGGCGTTAGCGTAAAAATATGGTATATCAAGGTTGTGGACCCTATTGAGGTCATAATTTTTATCCGATGTTTTTGAAACTTGAAATGTAAGTTTATAACCCAAAGATCATGGTTCCTCTCGATATTCGCGCATATCGGACTGTAACTTCCTGAATTATGGCCCCTGATTGTACGAAAAATCGTGTTTTTAGCTTGTGGACCCTATAGAGGTCATAATTTTTATCCGATTTAAAAAAACGTATTATTATAACACCGTTACACCCTGAGAACGGTTAAGTTCGAATTTCATGAGAATCGGCCCAAAACTGACAGACAAAATGGCCGCCCTTCGTTCTCAAATAGCTTAAAAATATGGTATATCAAGATTGTGAACCCTATAGAGGTCACAATTTTAATCCTATTTTGATGAAACTTGAAATGTAAGTTTATAACCCAAAGATCTCGGTTCCTGTCGATACTCGCGCATATCGGATCAAAACTTCCTGAATTATGGCCCCTGATTGTACGAAAAATCGCAATTTTAGCTTGTGGACCCTATAGAGGTCATAATTTTTATCCGATTTAAAAAAACGTATTATTATATCACCGTTAGACCTTAAGGACGACCAAGTTCGAATTTCGTGAAAATCGGTCCAAAACTGACAGACAAAATGGCCGCCCTTCGTTCTCAAATAGTGTAAAAATATGGTATATCAAGGTTGTGGAACCTATAGAGGTCACAATTGTTATCCGATTTTGTTGAAACTTGAAATGTAAGTTTATAACCCAAAGATCTCGGTTCCTTTCGATATTCGCGCATATCGGACCGTAACTTCCTGAATTATGGCCTCTGATTGTACGAAAAATCAATTTCTTGTTAGCTTGTTCTCTATTCATCTCTCGAAAATGTGGGTGTATCCTGCCTGGCAGCCGCTGGTTTGTTCAATCAGAACCATTTAGCATACAAATACATAATAAAAACGCAGAAACAGAATATGTAATTTCAAAATAGAAATACAAAATACATAATATTGTTATTATTGCAATGAAAATTGTAAAAATAGGTTACTTATTTACGTATGAAGACATAGCATTGATTAAGAACAATTCTGGGGATGGGTCAAATGGGATGTTGAAAATCAGGAGATGAGAATGAAGTGGGGTTTAAGTTCTACTTTTCTGCACAGACTGGGCTAATGAAGACACTCAAGAGACAAGAGCATATATGATTGCTGGAATGCTTGTCGACAACTCAAATGTTTTTGTAACTAAAACAAGAAGGTACGAGTAATACCGAGACAGTATCAAACTTTTCTCAAAATTTACTTTGTTGAATTACTGTTTTCCAGCACCAAGAATTAAAATGGTTACTTAGAGAAGAAGTCCATCATGTATTTGAAGATATTAGGCATACATTACAGGTTTGTATTTCATAGTTATTGATAATACTCATTATTATTGTATGTTGGTAGCCAAGTTGATATGTAGCAATGACTTCAGATCATTGGATTGCCTCTGGTGTGGATGTCGGCTCAATCAGCCAGAAAAATGATTTAGCTGAGAAAATGTCAAATATCGAGACAGTGTCATACACCATGAGAATTTGGTTCAGTTCCTTGTGCATTGGACCAAGGCCATCATAACAACATTATAGGCCTCCGGGCAAAGCAGTGCACTTGGGCCCGTACCTACACAACCACTCACAGGGAAAAAATTAAATGGTTGATAAATTAAAAATATATTGATTGAATTGGTACTTCCAACAAAACCAGTGTTGAAGTATTAAAAAACAGGCTGTACAGCAAAGATTATTCAACACAAACATTTGAACAAGTATAGATTAGCATGGGGCCCTATGCTTGTGGGGTAACCGGGCAACTGCCAATTGTTCCCATGTAGCCCTGCATGGGACTCAAATGAGGCCCTATATGGGAATGTCTGCATGTCCTGCTTGTGAACCTTTTGTAACTTGGAAAAGAAGGTTTTCTTTAGGCAAATACACTAATATTATAAACTAATATTATAAACTTTGTGTTAAATTTTGCCCAGACAGCGGCTCTATGGCCTACTCTGATTTCGAATTCCAATTGTCTAAGGTCCTTGAACTTGCATGCCAATGTGCACATGAGACCTCAAATTTTTGTTCCATCTGAACAACTAGATGCTATCCTTACCAGTCCTGCACTTCGACAAAAACTAGGTCATTTCAGAACTAACATATGGTTCAATTTTATTTCAATGTTCTGATTGCCTATGGGCCTATAGCAGTAGGGGACAACCAGAGGACCCCAGAAGGACGAATGAATCCTGTATCAATATCTCTCCCTAACTTCGTTTGCCACAGAATATCAGTCTCATAATTAGGTGATTAGTAATATTTAATAGATATTCCCAATGATATTAGATTTGATATTATCTATCTGTCTGTCTGTAAATAATATACTCCCGTGTCCTATATTGATTACTGGTAACAAATGGAAAAAGTTTGGTGGGGTTTTTTGTCATTATTTAAATCCACAACATGTGTGATTTTATTATAATTTATTTTATGATTAAAATCCACACCAAATGTTGTTGTAGAATAGAAATGTGATTGTGAACAAACTGGTAATTAACTTTGAACAGAAGTTATGTAGATAGATTCACCATTTCTAGATCGTTGTTATATATGCCACTTAACAACTAGAATCAAAGTACATGTATTGTCTCTAGTCATTTAGATGCAGCAATACTATATACAGGAAAACACCAGAAAACGCAGGAAAACACTGGAAAACAACCGGAAAACACCATTTTATACTGAATACTGGAAAAACACTAAATACCGGAAAACACACTAAATACCGGAAACTACCCTACATAGGTAACCTGGAGACTGGCACCCTAAATAGGTAACCGGGAGCCTGGTCCTCTGTGTGCCTGGGTTAGGGTTAGGTTCCGGTTTATAGTATAGCCCTTCTCCGGGTTACCTATTTAGGGTGATTTCCGGTATTTAGTGTGTTTTCCGGTATTTAGTGTTTTTCCGGTGTTTTCCGGTTTTCAGTATAACATGGTGTTTTTCGGTTGTTTTCCGGTGTTTTTCGGTGTGTTCCGGTGTTTTCCGGTATATAGTATAGCCCTTTTAGTTTAGATGGGACGGAAAAAAAACAAGTAGTATACTTTGGAATGCATGTTGAAGGACTCTTGGCAGTTGGCAAAAACATAACTGTCTGGACCAATTTCTTTGTGTTGATCTTAAAATTAACGTAGTATTGTGTGAATTCCGAGGTATAATTACCTTTCGTATCAACTTGTTTCATTAAATGGTCATTTCAGTAGGCCTACTAACATATGGTTAAATTTTATTTAAAAATTTCAATCCATGTAAGGGTCTTTAACAGTGGGAGCAAGCCAGACGAACTGGAGAAAGCCCACAAGGATGGACAGACGACAAGTGGGAAATCACGTGTTAGACCATACCGCTAGTCAACCGACTAAATAGATAGTAGTGATAGACTGTTAGTAAAACAAAAAAAGCACCTTATAACTTACAATTTTAAATAGATGTATTGAAATAAATTTGATATCGGCAACCCAGATCTTGAGTTAGAAAATGTTTTTTGAGAATGGTCTGCTTTATTGAAATATTGCAATGCTGACTTGTCATTAACATGTTCATGAGAAACAAAAAAAAGACAGAGTAGTACTTCAAATGTATCAACATTCAACCTGAAAACAGTATTCTAAAATATAATTGTTCTTTAAATCTGTCCAATCAATGCTGAGCTATAGTAGTTTAAAGAGCTTCATTCTCCTTTGTGGAGTATTATTAATGCAGCATTCATGACATTAATCTAGTTTATTTGGTCTAATAGGATTTTTCCTAACCAAAATGCTTCCATTGAAATATTTTGCATGAACATCAAGGGATTATTTAAGCTACATTTTCTTGGTGATAATCTTTTCAGTTGATAAATGAATAGTAGGCTACTTTTTAACCAAATGACAATTTTTATACGCTTCTGTCTTTTTGGTTAAAAGGGGGAAGAGGCTAAGGAACTTGAGACATGCTCTCCTTAGGCCCGAAAAAGGTTGTGGTTTGAGCCCTGTTCCCCTCCCTTAAATTGCTTGTAATAAAGCCAAGATTTCCTCATACTCCTGGCAGTGTTTCGTTTGATTAGAGCTGATCCCACTTAACACTGCTGTAAAAGAAACAAATTTATGTTCCAAATTATAACTGGTCAATAGTCCGATTAACAACCAATAGCTAACTGCGTAACAATATCATTACACTTTAAACAGAGTTCCAAATTGGACCAAATATGTTTACTTAACGTTACATCATGACTCACGATTTTATTATGCCCAATTAACCAGTGCATAGCAGAATATTGCAGAAAAGCTAATTGCGTGACAAACGAGGCTATCAACACGGATACAATGTAAACAATACTGTATGGAGACGAACAATACTTTCACCGTTTTTAATACCTTAAATCACTGTTCAAAGTTTTAGGAAAGACCCCATATTAAACGAAGGGCTGTCATGTTGCTGTACTTGGGATAGATTTGATTGAACGAGAAGAATAGATACACTCCCTCAAAAGCTCAAGTATCAGAAGCCAATCCAGCAATAGCCAGAGAGGGATTTCTCGGGCCAATGAGACAAACAATCAAATTTTTGCATTTCGGTATTTCATTATTTGAATCAATTTTACCCTTTCTTATACAATATCCAATTATAAATAAAAAAATAGATATTGGTACCCAATGAACTATAAGATTGAACTAATAAATAAAAGCCCAAATTTAAAAAATCTACCCAAAGCCCCCCTCCCCTCCCTGCACCCTCCCCACCCCAACAAAGCCAAATCACTCCTCTGATGCTTGGTCATTCCAACACCTGAACAATCCACCCCCCTCCAATGGCCAATTACTGACTCCGCCACTGGTCATACAAATTAAACTGATGAATTGTAGTTGGCAGTATTCCAGTAAATCCTGTTGACTGCGATTAATTTTCTTAATTAAAACTGTCATTACATGAAAATTATAATCTCATTTGAAACTAGGATTATTTGTAATCTAATACAAGTTGATTTTATTAAAGTAGCTAATTCTTTAACTCAATATCATCCAAAGTCTTCGACATTGAAAACACAAATTATTTGTCAATTTAAATCAACATTGATGTTGTGGTCTTACCAGGAAAAGATCGGCTTCTTATATCCAATTTTTAAGACAAAATAAACATTTTACCATTGGTACACGAATCGGATGCCATAATGCATTTCAGCGTCATTTATAACAATGGACTCAAAGAACTAGGCTAGACATTTTCTTATAGTCGTGTCAAACGATGACACCATATTCTTATCTGGCGAGCATGCGCAATAAATACTGTCGGTGTAGACTAGAATACCCAGACACTAGAGCTTGCCATTCGATTGAGACTGGGGGGTTGGGTGGCCGAATGGTTAGCACGCTCGCGCTGTATCATAAGGCCTGCCATTGAGTCAACTGGCGTGGTTTTGAATCCCCTGTTGTACGTGACAAGGAGTAGGGTTGCCTGTCCAACCTCGTGGGTTTTCTCCAGGTCGTCCGGTTTCCTCCCACTGCTAAAGACCCCTACGCGCAAGCAAATTATTGAAATAAAATTAAACCATATGTTAGTCCCGAAATGACCTAGTTTTTGTCGAGTGGACGTTAAACCCCATTTCTCTCTCTCTCTCTCTCTCTCTCTCTCTCGATTGAAACTTCTGGCGTATTTTGCCAAACATAAATGATTTGAAATTAGAGTAAAACCAGAAACAATTGAATGTAAATAAATCAGTTAATGTACATTCATATTACATTATTATATGCATTGCGACCCATTTGTGTCAATTTCTGGGTCCCAAATATTAGCGATTTAGCTCCTTTAAAATACATTAAATATTCATGTGAATAATATTACAATAATACTCATATTATAAATGGTTATACATCACATTCTTTTCATGCAATTGAAGGTAGTCATGCAGATTTAAATATTAGATTACACTAACTAACATTTAATTTCCTGTAACACTGTCAGTATTTCATTGTATTGAACAGTATTGGTTTACGAAACATACCCAACAAATTGGCTCCAAAAATATGCTGTGCTCTAAATAAATATTGGCAAACAAATAGACAACTATTTGCAGGTAATAGAAAATCATTGACAAAAAATCTTTGGTCCTAAATTAATACAAAAAACTTTCCCTTGGGGGGAACCAATTTAATTTTAGTTCTTCGGGTGTGTTGATAAATAGATAGCCCACTCAAGTCTCATGAACAATGTTTCGTTTCAAATTTCAAGACTAAAAGATTTGGAACTGAAAGATTTTGAGAAGAGCTGCTAAGTACTTTTTGCTTTTGTTTCCAAAGAGATTGAAAGCAAAGTTTTAATAAGTGTTCCCGATGAACAGAAATTCAAATTGGTTTGGCCTGGAGGCAATTGAAATATAGGAGCGAAATCTTTTGAAGAGATCTCTGAATAATGAATACAAGTGTACAATGAGTCACAGAAAGCATGCAACATGGAATAGGAAATCGATCTGATTTGATTGAGTATTTGAAAACTGGACAGAAGTTGATAATGACCTGCGTGTAGCTGATAGGAGATAACCCATTGTTTGGTGGTTTGGTGGTAAAACTCATGTTGAACATAGAACTATTACAATGTAAGGCCACACCAATTTGATTTTCTACTCTTCGGGAACACCTGTTAAAAATTTTCATCTTATTTCTTCAGGAAAAAGACTAATTTAAAAATCAAAATTACTTGGTTGTCCTGTTCAAAAGCTTTTAGTTCCAATTTTAAACTAAACATCTTTCGCGGGATTCGAGTCGCTATATATTTATCAAGACCCTGAAGAAATGAAAAAAAAATGGGCTTTAACATCCTACTTTTCTGTACTGTCTGGGCTAATGAAGACGGGAAGACTCCAGCTAACTGAAATTTAAATTCGTTTGGCCTAGTTGCTGGATCATTCGGGTTAAACACCTTGTTTCATTCGCTTCCTATAAAAGACTTGAAATGTAAACAATATTAGTTGTATCTTGTCTATTGATTTTCCATCATGTTAGAGCTATTTTTGAACTGGAGTTGAATGTCGTTTCTTTTATATGGTGTGTGTATTATATAGACTGGGTAAAAGTGAACTTCAGTGAACGATATTAACCTCATTTTTTTCGGTTAGTGTTGGATAAAACATCGTGATTGATCTATATGTCCTACATGGTTATTGACATTCTGACAAATAAAAAAATTGAAGCCTTTCAGCTTATCACAGATGATTACATAAAGAGGAAATGAAATGGGGTTTAACATCCTACTTTTCACACCAACTGGATGAAAATAGATATTAGTTTCTTCCAAACATCATCTTATAAATTTCACCATATTCTGATAGTGTTTAAACATGAATTATGCAATAGCTAAATCTGCTCATTGCAGGCCTTTCTTTAGCCCTGAAATGTTATGTAATTTATTAATTAGACATTAATTAACTTACCAAGACCACAATCAACTCTTGATGCCATCAGATAGCTGCGATATAAGTAGATTTAAATATGCAGTTTTACCATAAAAATGGATAATCAAGAAATTGTTTATTTTCATAATGACAATCGAGGCTAAACTATAATTGTATCGCTGATATCTAGACTCAGAGTGAAGTAATTTGACTGAAATTTTCAGTATATTCTCTTTTACATTATCTATTTTTTATACGCCCACATTAAAATATGGTCGTATATTGTGGTCACTCCTGTCCGTCTGTCCGTCCATCCGTCCATCCGTCCGGCGCTCTAGAGGCTAAAGTTAATAACCGATTGACTTTAAATTTATACACAGTGGTTAAGGTCATGAGACGAAGAAGTCTATTGATTTTCACCGATTTCCGATAATTACTGCCAGAGTTTTGGCCCTTGATCACTTTAAAAAATCTTGTGGACGTTCTAGAGGCTAAAGTTAATATCTGATTGACTTTAAATTTATACACATCAGACAAAGAAGCCTATTGATTTGCAACGATTTCTGTTAATTACTGCCAGAGTTATAGCCCTTGATCACTTTGAAAAATCTTGTGGATGCTTTAGAGACCATAGTTATCATCTGATTGATTTGATATTTATACCACGTGTTTAGGCCTATATATAATTATTTCTATTGACTTTAAATTGATACACAGAGTGTAAGGTCTTGAGACGAACAAATACATTGATTTTCAATGATTTTTGACAACTTCAGCAGCTAAATCCATGATATTCTAAACATTAGCATCTGCCAAACCAATTCTAATGATTTTCTGATAATTACTTAATGAGTTGTTACTCTTAATCAGATTTTAGTGCAACCTATCTTTAACTATTATAGCAAGAAATGTATTTATCTAAATCTTACATAATGCTGCCTTAATTAAAAAATTCTCTAGACAATGTACTTTGGATTTAAATAATTCCTTGGGGGCAGGGGGAGTTATCTAATGAGTGAGGTTTAGATGATAAGGTCTGTTACAGAGTCAAATGTCGTGGTTTCAATCACAGAACCCATACTCGCAAGCAATTGATTGAAATAGAAATGTGCCATGTCAGTCCAGAAATTACCTAATGGTTGTTGAATGTGTGTTAAACTCAAGTCTTATATATAATTGGTAAAGGATTCCTTGTTAGTTTGAATTCATAGAAGAATGGAGGAATCAGTGTTGTTCAGGCTAAATTCCTTGTCGCATTTCACATGAAATGTAGAGAATAAAACTTACAATTATGTGTTCAGCTATTATCTATTATATTTCCCGTATTTTATCAAATATTATTCATAACCATTTTAGCTCTAACTAATCGGGATCAATTTGTTTATAAAACTATTAGAAATTAAGTGATTTCAATCAGATATTATTAGTGTTTGTTTATTAATTGAATTTGGTATAACTAATGAAATATTATTGATTTTTTGTAGGAATGTAGTGAAAGATTTCCTATACAGACAGGTGCAGGTAGGTTATTATCATTATACCTCCATTGATTTTATGATAGAAAAAAATAGATTAATGAAATTGACATTTCCTGGAATCTTGTATGCTCACAGATTTTGTTATATCAAAATACCAACTTTACAATACCAGCTTTAGATAATGTCTGAGTTTGGATAAATCGGATTTAGAAAAAGGCCTATCAATAAAATTTTGCAGACAGCAAAAATAGGCAGGCTTATTAAAATTGGGAACACCATCTATGAAATTTCAATTCCACATATCTTTGTAAATACTGAATGGAATTGAACCATTTTTGGACTGATATACCTTTTGGAGATTGATCTTTCACAATATTGTAATTTGCAAGTCGTTTCTATCATGCTAAATGACACATCAATGCTTTAATTAGACATATTTAATTTAACATATAATATCTTTTGCACAGAGGTTGGATTTACACTCCAACCTCGTGGGTTTTCTCCGGGTCCTCCGGTTTTCTCCCACTGCTAAAGACCTCTATGCGCAAGCGAATTATTGAAATAAAATTAAACCATATGTTAGTCCCGAAATGACCTAGTTTGTGTCGAGTGGACGTTAAACCCCATTTATCTCTCTCTTTCTGGATTTACACTGTATATTTGGTCATCATTTTTTAAATTGTTGATTTTGTGTTACTGACAGAAGACCAGTTCCATTACTATTGCAAATCATTGCTAAGGAATATTTCACTTGACTTAAATCAGCAGGTCATGTCAATAAGTAACATATTTGAAAATATCAATCACTATGGAAGATTCCACTGAAGATCGGTTTTCTGATTTCCGGGTCCAGTCTGTAAAAATAGAAGAAACATGTACGATGAGCTGTATGTATTGTGTAGCATCTTGATATTATTAGCAAACTGATGAAATAACTCATCTTTTGTTTTCTTTTCAGTTCATGATAGTGAAATAAAACAGCAACGAATGATTTTATCCAGTCCGAAGTGAGACTTCTATTAATTATTAATAAACCTTTATTTATACAATTGATTGGTAACCAAAGATTTCCTGGTTGTTCATCTGAAATGTTTTAAGGGAGCATTCATAAGAAAATAAATGAAATTAATTAGATTCATAAAATTCAAGCACCGATCAACTTAAAGGAAGATATATGACGTGTGTCCAGAGCAGAACATATAATTTTCTCCTACATTCTTCGAAATAATGTGCAAAGCATTGTAACCATTTTGGCCTCATTCTACTCTGAATCCTATACAGCTAAATGAGCAGAAATATTGTCTTAAAATTTCTGATTTTATAAAATACTTGGGTAATTCCCTTAACCTTATGCCAGACTTGACATTGTCTCTACCCGGCACTGATCAAATTCCTTAACACACCTAGGGGGGTTGGATGGCCGAGTGGTTAGCTCGTGCACCCGCTGTATCACACGGTCTGTCATTGAGTCAACTGGCGGGGTTTCGATTCCACGGGTGTACTTGACAAGGAGTAAGGTCGCCTGTCCAACCTCGTGGGTTTTCTCCGGGTCCTCCAGTTTCCTCCCACTGCTAAAGACCCCTACGCGCAAGCGAATTATTGAAATAAAAAATTGAACCATGTGTTACTCCCGATACGGACCTAGTTTGTGTCGAGTGGACGTTAAACCTCATTTCTCTCTCTCTCTTAACACACCTCTGGATATTTTTCACTGAGAAGCTTAAGTCCGTTTGACAGGCCTAGAATGTAATAGTATCAATATTGACATTAACCCACTAAACCACCATTTACATCTTTATGACAGTAGGACGTTAAACCCCATTTCATTTCATTTCATTTACATCTTTATGATTATTTGTAGTTAATATTTATTAAGATAGTTGACATTTTCTGCATCAACCAGGATATTAAAGACGGCATATGTCATGCAGTATGCTATGAGGGCAATTTTGCATGAACAGTGATGCTATGTCCTACTCTTATTTCATAATCCAACAATCAAGGGTTCTTGTATGTGCATGGATTTTTGTCCCATCTGAACAACAAGATATTTTTTCTTGCCAGGCCCTTCATCCTACACCACTGTCACAGTGATGACATTCATTAATTAGCTATATGATAATTACTTTCAATATTTTTTTAAACTCCATACAAACTGTTGGTTTTAATATTTCATTAAGTTTGACTCTACTTAAAGAAAACCAGTATCTGTGGTCCTTCTGAAGAGGTCTTCAATATTTTATAGTTGAGATATATATGGCATTTCAGCATATTTGCGTTCATTCTACTCCAGTAAAACTTGATTCTCAACTCTGACTTGACATCTCATTAAAGTTTGACTTCAGTTGAAATACGACTCCCATTAGGTATACATGTATAATATATTAGAAAGAGATCTTGGAGTATACTGAAGTACCAACATTGAGTGAAGTAATACTATAGAGCAAAAACAATGAGATGAACTTTCCTTGATTGGTTTTGAAAGTCGGCAATTCTTTAGTCTAATAGAATTATCTAATTTAAATTTAACAAGAGTTTTGCTTTATATTTCTAGACATAATTTGACAAGAAACTAGAGAAATCTTGATATTGTTAAAAGAATTTGTGAAGCATAATAAATAGGCAGTATATTTGTACAAATAAAGCACATAGAAAACTGGTCAGGGCAAGTGACATTGGCAAACAAATGTACATCTTGTCTGTTGTGAATTACATAAAAATACGGGGATGATTTATTCTTATCTTGCATAGGAGATGTTTGATTTAATCTAAAATTTGAATTTTGAATATATCTTTTATCTTATTATGGGACATGGAAGTAAAGTGGGCTGAGTGGAGACAGTCAACTAGAATGTCTCGGGGTTTGTAACAAGGCATTAATCTACATGAGTGGCATGGGGCTGGCAAGGAACGTGTTCCTAGTCATTAAGATGGGCCCAAAAGAAAAGTGCAACCCCATGTACACATTAGTGTGGTCCTTAAAGAACCCTTGGCAGTTGGTTATCGAGGAAGAGTGGGTGGAAATGCCGCTGTCTACGCAGAATTGTACACATAACCATAGAAATAAAAGCTACCATTTATGTTTGCAAAAAATATTTTGTTCACAAGACAATAAATTAAACCCCATTCCATTTGATGAATCAGTTATAAATTTATATTTATTAATACAGTGGTTCCTCACAGATGAAATGTATGGTGACGTTACGTGGTGATAGTATATGTGAAGCTGTAAGTAATATCATTATTAACCTTCTAAGGCCGAACTGATCTGATTTTTAGTTCGTTTGGAATCATGAATTGTTGAATTTAAAATCTGTTAAATATGCAGCAAAATTTTAATAGGTGTTCCCAAATAAATAAAATTCAAATCGATATCAATCTTGTAAATATATCATATATCATCATCAATCTTCTTAGAATTATGATTATAATACACCAAATTCAAACCTCGCCCACCACAAGTGAATTTGGCAGTGTTTTTGCACCTTGCAGACACTTCAAAATACAACTTGAGGTGAAGAAGCTGGGTATTGCACAGATGACAAAGCTGGTGATCGCCATATGCAACCTTTGTTGATCATAGAAATCTGATTAAAACACAGATCCTAATTTGTTTCATTTTTTTATAGTTCAAAATTTTGCTTTGCTTGTCTTTACTACACTAGGATCTGGAAGAGTTGTTATAGAATGGCGTTCTGGTTGAACGGTCTGTTACGGCAAGCTCTTGTTGTGCGATGCACGGAACTATGGGAAAACCACTAGAAACACTGATTGATTAATCAATGTCTGATGTCATAGGGACAAAAGCCACTCGTACAACCGCTGCGGCCACCTTCCAGTACAACCGGTCAGATCTTCATGTAGTGTAGGCCATCGAAAGTATAAAAAAAAAAACGAAACGAAATATAGATCTGTATTTTAATCAGATTGTTGATCATAGCTATCTTTAATAAATAAAAATTCACAATTTAACTGAGAAAAGCCTAATAGCTCCTTGACAGGAGAGTTGGGAACTGTTTAACAATGTTTTTTAAAAGTTCAAATAATGGTACAGGCAATGTGCAAAGCCTACATTATTTATACTAGTTGAAATATTGGACACCTTTGACATATTTCATTGAAAATGCACGTACTGGATAGTGTCTTTATGTTTCTTGTATGCATTTTCGCTTGTAAGTTAGTTCCCTGTCCTTTGGTAATTTGCCTAGAACAGTGCTGCTAATTAGATTACCTTTATGTCAGAATCTTAAACTATGAGACATATCTTGATTTTTTTTTACCAGGATGTAAATTTTAAACATAAACATGTCAAAGATCAGCATCATATATTTAAAACAAGTTTTAATCCTGACAGACAGTGGAAATTACAACAAGTAAGATATTTTATTAGCTTTCTACTTTCATTTATTATCTCTGAAGTTTATATCCTGATTTTGAAACCTAACAGGACCTCGAAGAATCATTTAGGCTCTATTTGTCATGGCTGACAAAGATAGTGTGCTTTATTGTTTGATTGTTTGTAGCACTGTGAAGATTATGTTGCCATGGTAAATAAAAATAACCATGTGTTGATATTAAAATGACCTGTGTATTACGATATCATAATGACTGGACTGATGATTTGGTTTAAAAACGTGAAGTTGTCATCAGTTTGATTAAATTTTATACTCTGATTTTTTTTTTATATTTTCATATTTGTCTGCATTTAAAATTTAATGTCCACACAACAGATCGAGTCAATGTTGAGAGAAACTTGATTTTGTGTTCAGTATGAGACAGTTTAAGCCAAAAATAAAAATAAAATTAATTTATAAACAGACCTTAAAGGGCTAATCCCGATAATTTTTTGGAGAATAAAACTGTTTAATTTTGTTTTAAAATCCCTTAAAATCCTCTACCTAAGGGGCGAGCAACTAACTCAATATTTGTGATGAGTTTTCAGATAACTTAAACCCGGCAGTCTCCATCTGGAAATGGAGACCGGTGTCCCAAGCTGTATTATTCGGTGTCTAGATAAAACCAGACATTTTTTGTATAAAAATAATGTGTAGGTGACATTTACCTTTCATTATCAAGTACAGCATTTGGGTCATTCAATGTATAGACCTCTCAATGAACAGGAATCGATTATCAGGTCTCCCAACGAAAAAATTGACCCGAAATCTTAAAAAGGTTACGTGTCCGGATAAGCAGTTTTGACTGTCACGTCCAAACGACTCAATATCTTGAGCTGAAATTTTGAGATACGGTCAATTCACCATTCCTCTATATTTTGGCGTTTAAATTTCATACATACTCAGACTTTTATTTTTGAGACTCTGTTCAAATAAGGGACAGTCCCTTTAACTTAATCAACTAATATTTTGAAAATTAAAATTTTAATTAATCATTAAGAGCTTTCCCACTACTAATCAAAATAACCCATCAGATCAACTCAAATCAAAACTTTATTTTTAACTTTTAAGTTATTCCATTCTTTGACTCAAATCAATTTTTATGCTGGATTATTTCTACACTTTATGTTCTAATTTTAGATACAAGATGCAGGTAACCATTTATGTAATGCTTTATTTATACTGAGTAAAAGAGATGCCACATACGAATTTAAATCGGCCCAAGAAGTTTTATTAGTAAGTTTGATTACTTATTGATTATGATTATAATGTCAGACATCTATCCTTGCAGAAAAATTTAAAAAAGCCTTAAGTATTTAATGCAGGAGTGTCAGATAACGAGGCTTTCAGAAAAATGACCTTAAGTCTCTACAATTATTTTACTTGAAGAAGGACATTTACATGTTATACCAACACATTATGTTTTAAAAACCACAGAGTAATACAAGTACATGATTATTATTTTACAATGGTCTGCCCCCCCCCCTCCCCCATGGATACAATTAATTTACACCCCAACAACCCCACACCACTCCAGTAATACGTTTTTGGGATCAATGAATATAGTTATGTATAAATATATATATATCAAGTAAATTTAATTATAGTCTTCTATTGTGCTCTATATTCTTGCAACCTAGTGGCCTATAAAATCATTTATCATCAATACATCAATCATGATTGTTGATAATAGGATTATAGGAAGACCTTTTTTGTGAGAACTTGATACCACATAAAGGTATTTATAAGAGATAAATGGATTAACCCCCATCTAAAAAAATATAAATCTTCCGAAATGATTTTTAAATCATCTGATTCCCTACCAGATGGACAGTGTTCTTATTTGAATTTTTTTATAACTTCCTCTATCAAGATTTTATAGCTAGCATGGAAAACTTTGCTGCTAGTTAGTTGGGATGATGTAGCTGATGAAATTGGATGTTATATTCGGGTCCAAATGTCATAAATCACCATTGACACCCCAATTTTTCAAAATAATCTTGAAGGATTTATCATAATTCTTACTTAGTATTATATTTTAGTCGGTGGTTGAATATTTGTTGGCTGGCAACCCTATATTTGAAGTGTAAACAGTGTTTTAACATAATTCTTACTGTCTTGTTTTAGTTGTTAGATGAATTAATGGCTTGTTTAATGAAATGTAGAACAAGTTTAGCCATGCCTAAAAGAAAAACTTTACAAGATCTAATTACTAATAAAAATATGGTAAGTTTATAAGGATAAGTATGATATGTGTATGTTGTACTTGCTTTTTACTGTATATAGATTAATTATTTAATAGCTTCCTAGCAAATAGAATTCAGTGAGACATCAAATTTCGACAATACCTGAAAATTTATATTTCCAAAGATATGGACAAGCTTTTTCAAACATCAAGCCGCTGAAGAAAACTATAATCAGCTTCTTAATATCATTGGTGTAGGTTATAAGACTATTATCTTTATATTTAACCTTTATTCTGACATGTTTCTCGTTAAAGATACCTTCCTGCGTTCAAACTGGGTGATTTGATAATATATTTGTACTAAAAACATGTTCAAACTAATTAATCTATCAAAAATTTTCTTCAAATTCATCTCAAAACATTGTATTCGCAAGGAAATACCACAAACTATAAAAAAATCTATTAAGAGAAGTCATGTTTTATGTCACATGACTTGGCTGTCGCTGTAACTAGCAATGTTTTCTTTAATCGCTGTCCATTTATCATGAATATCGAAGCCTAACTAAATTCTCGGAGTATCTCTGTCCACGTCTTTTTCCATGGTTTTTATCTCAGAAACTGTTGTACGTTTAAGTCTCTCACTTTTTCCACCTCCGCTCATCATCAAGTTTATCAATATATACATCAAGCACTCCCTAACACCAAGAGGTCAGACAATCTACACATGTAACCTTTGACCTCACTCGAGCAGACTGCCCTTAATTTTCAGGTTGCCAATTAGTGACACCCTCTCATTTTTGTCCTGTTCTCTGTGTTTTTCAAGGAATCCAGTATTTTTTTAGTAAGATTGGGGGTATCTACTTTCCATATATACTAAAATTACCATACTTTTATTGGAAATAACCACCAGATAAATACTTTTGTGGGACCGTATCTTTAAGGTACATAAAATAATGCAGATTTATTTTCATATATTTATATTGTACCTAACTAACGCTTGAAAACTAAATGATAGCTAACTATATTTTCTCCACAGTTAGTGCATCTCTTGTGTTCAGAATGATATTTATATATACAGACAATGACATTTTTTGTGTGTCGGTCTTCTATAAATTATTCTGAATAAATTATTGATCTGAGAATGTACAGTCTGAAATACAGATGTAAAATTCATTTGTTTATTTATATTTACTTTTAATGGCCTCTACGTCTACACCATATAGATCTGACTGGTTTACAAGGGAGGTAACACCAGATTGAACATGGACTGATATATAGACTATTATGGTGAAAGTTTTATGGCCTTAGTGAGTTATGTGGCAGAACACTAATTGTCCCCCGCCTTTCGAAGAAAGCAGGGGACTATTAAAATGGGTTCGTCCGTCTGTCTGTCTGTCTGTCTGTCTTTCCGTCCGTCCGTCCGTCCGTCCGTCTGTCTGTCTGTCTGTCTGTCTGTCTGTCTGTCTGTCCGTCCGTCTGTCTGTCCGTCACACTTTTTGGGACACAATAACTCTCTTCCTAATTGAGCTAGAATGTTCAAACTTGGTGTATGTGTTGATTAGGTCAATGCCTTGATGGAGTTCGAAGATGAGCATTTTCCGCTTAGGGTAAGCAGAGATAAGCAATTTGATTGGTTGATGCTTTGGGACACGATAACTTTTAATTGAGCTAGAATGTTCAAACTTGGTGTATGTGTTTATTAGGTCAATGCCTTGATGGAGTTCGAAGATGAGCATTTTCCGCTTAGGGTAAGCAGAGATAAGCAATTTGATTGGTTGATACTTTGGGGCACGATAACTCTCTTCCTAATTGAGCTAGAATGTTCAAACTTGGTGTATGTGTTGATTAGGTCAATGCCTTGCTGGAGTTCGAAGATGAGCATTTTCCGCTTAGGGTAAGCAGAGATAAGCAATTTGATTGGTTGATGCTTTGGGACACGATAACTTTAGTTCTAATTAAGTGAGATTGATGAAACTTGGTGTATAGTTTCATTACAGTAATACCTTGACTAAGTTTGATAATGAGCATTTTCTGCTCAGGGTAAGCAGAGCGATACGCAATTTGATTGGTCGAGACTTTGGAAAACAATAACTCTCCTACTTTGATTGTTAGACTATAAGTAAAGATATACTGTTTGATTGTTCAATACTTTGTAAAAGATAATTTGTGATAAATTTATATGTGTCCTCTAATTATTTTCCTATTTCGGCGGGGGACATCAGCCTCACTGTTGGCTTGTTTGTCATTAATATGTTTTTTTTTCTGTTATTAGCAAATATTTTATCCGGTTCTGCCCAATGATGTAGCCTTGTCTTTTTATGTCCATGCCTCCAAGTTAATATTAGCTATGTATCATCTACATACTAATAATCAACAGAAGGTGGAAATAACAGCTAGATTTCAGGTAATTATTAATTTTATATACACATCTTATTCTCCTATTGTTCTAGTCATTTCTTTTAGTTAAATTACACTTAAACATACATTATGCAAGAGCTAAATCTGTCTATTGTTTAGGCCTGAAATGTTATCTAAATTATTAATTAGACATTAATTAACCTATCCAGACCATAATCAACTCTAGATGGCATCGCTAGCCTGCGATCTTTAGTGGATTGTGAGCCGATTTACTGTATAACAGTCCTTCACGATTTAACAATTAAATGGATAATCAAGATTATGCTGTTTATCGTACTGACCTTAGTAATGATGATCAAGGCTAGGCGAAAATTCAATCACTTTGTTCTCGATTCATAGTGGATCAATTTGAATTAAATTTTCAGCAAATTGCCTTTATATTATCTAGTTTTTTAACTATTATAGTGAGAACTGCCAACTCGTTATCGAATCTCCCATAATGTATCTTTAAGACTAGAGATATGCCTTATAAAGATCAAAGGTATTATTTTGTTTTTATCACAGACCCAGAATACACTTTTCTTAAATATGTCTTTAGACTTTAAATTAGATTGGAATCATGTCATTTTTTTACAAATAAATCATGGAATCCTGAAACATGCCAATCAGAGTTATATCTCTTGATGCAGTATATCACAAGGCTGAAGATCTTTCTCGTCTGCTCATTGAACTGAAGAAGCAGGAGAAATGAGATAATTGTTGTTTTCTAATACAATTTACCTTCCTTAATGCAAGAAGTCAATTAAATCCTGTTTGATTAGCAAGAAGTCTTCTTTTAACTGGACACAGCGAACTGGCTAATATTATGCACTGTTTTCATTTAGGCCTATATTATACAAAGAAATTTATTCAAAGATGTCTTGCTGCATGCAAACTGGGTGATTTGTGATATATTTGGACTAAAATCATATTCAAACTAATTAAGAGGTGACAATTTGGAGTTTCAAGAAAATGTGACTCAAGCTGCTATGAAATTAATGTTATTTGAGATAGCATGCAATTTTTCTTCTACTTTACCTATAGAGACTAGCAGCTTTGTTGAATATGGAGAAAGTTAATTAAAAGTAGCAATATTTTATCTGTTGTGTCTTCTTGTATTCTAACAGGTTGAATCTGTAGTCCAGTGGTTAAACGAAGCAATAGTATTCTTTACCTTGGCCTTACAACAGTGTCAACAGTTGAAAGATAAGGTAAATATTGAATTTTGTCAAAAATGCTTGTTTTCTTAGGTGTGACTAAATTTAGAGAGTAAATATGGATACATATGGATTGATGCTAACATAGAACTCTTAGAAAACCCACAAAGGGGGGGGGGGGGAGTGGGTGCAAATCATATTTAAAGTTATGTACAATAGAGTTGTATTGTAAAATGTTTGATTAGCGTGTGTTTTATGATATGGAACAACGGTTGCAGAGAAATATACAATGGTAGACAGAAGTAAATCTTTTCTGTTGTGGGTTACTTGATGTAACTTTCTTGAATTGAATCAAGGCAATGGTATATGGCCTACATGCACAAATTGAATAAGAAAATATATCCACCAATCATCACATTTGAAGATCATGGTGCTGTTCTACCCAGAGCACATCAGTTGTTGGGATTGACAAAACTCGATTCTGTGTCACTCTATTGAAATTACGAATGTTCTTGTCAGCCAATTAAGCCGTCTCTAGATTTTCATATCTTTGGGTATCACTGATCATTATTATGGAAACCTATTAATTTATCAGATGAAATCAAGAACTCCATTTACCTCACTTCCTAATTTCCACATACACTTGTGGACATCTATAATTGTGAAGTCAGTTGCATTTTGACATCATATTTATGGCTACAGTACATCGCATTCCTGACAATTTCCTCCTGGTCTAGAACCCAACTCATCTAGAAAATATCTATTCATATATCCATGGCAATATTTAGTAAAGAAGAACAAATTTATTTCAGATTATTGCCTTGTGTCAGTATGATGGTATGTGCTAGAGTTCTCCCCCTTTATTGTGATAACCATTCCAGTGAAATAGACAGCTCAACAATTGAGAGAAGATTTTTGTCACATTGTAAAATATGTAAAATATTTTAATTAGGAGTTACAATCAAAAACGGTTTTAGGTGGTAATTTATTTAGTACCTCCTGCAACAAGGTCTTGACACATTTTATAGCTTTTCAAGATTTATTACCAAGTCTGCTTGAAGGTTTCAACACTGCTTTCTTAGTGAGCCAAGGAAGACTTACACCAGTTGGCTGCTGCAAAGAATTAATTGCAAGTATTGAATGAATGAGGATAGTGTTTGTTTTAGATGTTTGTTTTGTAATTCTCTTGTTCTTAAAGTTTGCTTTTTGTCAAGAACTTAGATTCGTATTCAATTGTTCCCCACCAGGACCGTCTTTCAAAGAAAGCAAGAGACTGTTAAAATGGATTTGCCTGTCTGCTCATCTGTTCGTGGGACACAATAACTCTGCATTTAATTTAATTAGAGTGTTCCAACTTGGTGTACATGTTTTGATTAGGTGCTTTGATGACTATTTTCTTCCCAGGCTATGCAGACAAGCAATTTGATTTGTCATTACTTTGGAACATGATAACTCCGATTCTAATTGAGTGAAAGTGATGAAACTTTGTGTATAATTTCATTACATCAATACCTTGATAATGAGCATTTTTCCCAGGTTAAGCAGAGTGATCGGTGATGACCTATTTCATTGGTCGATGTTTTGTAACTCTGATTCTAATTGAGTGAAAGTGATTGAACTTTTTGTATAGTTTCATTACATTAATAGCTTGACTATGTTCGATAATAAGTATATTCTGCTTAGGGTAAGGATAATGATGCTTGATAATTTGATTGCTTGATGAGTAAGTAATTATGACTGTCATCTATTTATTTTGGAATTGGGGTCGTGACATCAGCATTCAGCCTCGCTGTTGGCTTGTTATTTATGTTCTAGTAACAAATCAAAAGTAGAGAATTGTATAATTTAGGCCATGAAAAAAAAAATATTCTGGTTCTGCATCACTTAAATATAAAAACAATCCCATTAATTGTTGCACGTTCATTTTACCCCTGGTAATAGGAACTAACTCAATGTGATAGATGTAGAACCCTGAAATGTGATGTTTGTGATACGTCAATTTAACAAAATAAAAACACAAAAATAAAAACGTCCCTCTCACATCAGATTTTTGCAAATGATTATCTGAGAACCAGAATTTTTTTTTTGCATGGCCTTATTATTCAGTTATTATATACTAACTTATGTCTTGTAAAATGTAATGATGTTAAATCTATGAAATGATTGTCTCAGGAAAGATTCATATTTATTTAAATATTGATTCAGTGTAAAGTAATGAATTCCAGTTTAATCATTTGTAAAATGAGTTATAAATTCTAACTTGAGAGATTTAGATTTATTGACAGATTAATTGCTCAGTAATCTACATCAAACCAATCTAGAATGCAATATCCTCCATCCTAAAAGTTATTCTAATGCAAAATTATGGATTCTGGTGGTTTCATACAATCTAATGTGATTATTTAAACTTAGGTTAATGGTATATTAAAACTATGTACATCTAACTAAAGCTTAGATATGGGAATTTTAAAGAGGGAGATGAAAAAGAAGAATATTTGATGAAACTGAATGGACATCTATTCAAAGCTTCTGTGATTAGCAAATGGATATTTGATGATGAATAATTAAACTTGGCAATAGTTTGTGCTTTATAGTATTTCTTTTATTGTTTCCTTTAATTGTGATTGATTAAATTATCAATTAGTGAGGCTTTTATAATTAAAACTTAAAATAATAATATGGAACCGCCTGCTTTTTTTTTTTTTTTAGAAATTTAGAACTAATTTAAAGTTTAAGCAAAACATAACGATGTTAATTTGTTATGTTAACATAAACATATAATGTTTTTAATCTCTTTACATCTACATTATTGTCCCCCCCCCCCCAAAGTATTTGTTTATATACACAAAATTATTTATTATTATGAAATGGAATTAATATTCAAAGATGCATTATATAAGATTGAGATAAAGAGCTGGTTATTCTTGTTTTAGTATTTTAAAAATAGATAATGAAAAATGAATATGTTGAAAATTTCAGTCAAATTACTTTATTCTGAGCAAAGTTAGGAGTGTTTGAAGTTTTGAGTTAATAATCTCAGTTGTCAAGTACCATTTCTACGATAATAAACAAAGTCTCAATTATCCATTTTAACGTAGCATTATTAAATGGCTTGGCTTATCTAATGCATTTAATATCTAGACCATCCGGTTGTCAGAAAGTTGATTATAGGATGGTCATGTGAATAAATGTCTAATAATAATTTATATAACATTTGAAGCCAGAAAAAAGACCTGCAATAGGCATATTTAGCTCTTACTTAATGCATCTTTAAAATAAATTGTAAAATTATTATTAATATTATATTCATTTATATTTCTACACGAAAATATATGATGGGCAATTTATGCCCACATATTATTCTTAATAACTTATAAATAATTATTTCTATCATAAAATATTTCTTTGTATTAAGAGTTTAATATTAAAGTTTGCTTATCTGCAGTCTTTTATTAATTGTGGCCTTATGGTCAAAAGGGTAGCGGTCAACATGGCTGGGTAGCTTGGACTAACTTTAGTCTTTAATTGACGATTTTCTTCTAACATTTTGACTCTTTTATTAACTTGACGATATTTAACTTTATTGTTATTTAGAACCAAAATACATCATTACATGTTCTAATTTTCCTTTCTACTTAAAATTGTTCAACTTCCAATGGCTATAATAAGTTGAATAATTATCACACAATTCCTTTTTATCTTCCCTGTATTTAATATATTAAATGAGTCAATGAGTTAACCTTTTTATTGCTGTGTGATTAATTTCGCTGCACAACATCACCACAACTGATCACCTGACTGTATTTACAGTCACTGAATTTTACCTAAGGATGGTAACTCTAAATTGTTTAAGCGGCATTTAGTAACTGAATGAGAATAACACGTGACCCAATTCTATGGAATACAAGTTACTTAAAAGATTCATTTCTGGCGACATTTCGACAAGGGTTCTCTTGTCTTTGCTTGATAAAAATGACAGATCCCTCGTTGAAACGTCGCCATTTATAAATCTTCTAAGTAACTTGTATTCCAAAGAATTCTGTCATGTGCTGGTAACTCTAGTCTTGTGACATATTTGCCTGTTATTTGACAATATGTTTGAACAAAAAAAATATGGAAGAAATGTGAATGTAACTTGTGTTAAGTCAAATGGGGACATTTTAACAGATTTAACATAATTTGTTAACAACAAATATACATACCGGTAGAATTGTAACACAATAATAAAGAAAGACAATTGGACAGTTGTCATAAACTTTTGATAAATATGTTGCAAGAGCCAAGAACTTAGCTGTTGTAGTTAGTCAGCGTTAACATTGACATTATGTAACAATATGAGGTCACTGAGAATAAAGTTAATATATTATGAATTACAACATGGTAACTTTTACATGTATTAAGAAGAGTAGGTCCACAATGACGTGCATGAAGTCAAGAAATATTGTAAATAGTAAAATACCTGTATATATTTTTAAGAAAGGAAATTTTCATTTGACAGATTCAGATTTACATTAGAGGTTAATATTTTAATAACTCTGATGTTTATAGAACGCTGACATCATGGAGAAATAGACGAACTAACCTAGGTGCTTTGTACAATATTGAATGGTTAAAGGAGAACTTTGTAATTAAAGATTTTGTTAAAGATGCTGAGTATCTGTACAATGCCTGTATAGATTTACATGGGGTGTAAGCAAGTTATGATTGTTGCTGTAACGGTCACATCATTTTAGTTTTGTTTATATATGAAGAGCTTTTTGCCAAAATGTGATAATCATCTTGCTAGATTATTGGTAAACAGGGGATTTTTCTTTGAAAATACCAGAATGATAAAAGAGCAAATGTAGAATACTAAAGGTAGAATGATAAAATAAAATGCTAAAATACTAAAAGCAGCATGCTAAAATAGTAAAAGCAGAATATGATCAAATACTAAAGGAAGAATGATAATAATAATTAATTTATATAGCGCTCTCGGGTACTTTACATAAGTACAACTAATATAAAATCACAACACATTAATCCATAAAAAAAGACATAAACAAAAAACATTATTTAGTACACATGGTAAAAGTCTGACACAAACACAGCTAGAACATTATTCAATCAGTTGTATATTTAAAAAGTTCAGTTTCAAGATACTTTTTAAAACCTTTAATAGAATTTGCACTTTTGGTTTCGTTTGATATTGAATTCCATAACTTTGGAGGACCGAGTTGGTTTTTGAAAAAGGCTGAAAATACTAAAGGCTGATTGTTAAAATATCAAAGATAGAATAATAAAATACCAAATGCAGAATTATAAAAGAACAATTGTAGAATGATAAAATACTAAAGTTGAAATGATAAAATACCAAAGATAGAATGATAAAAGTATACATTATATCTGTTATTTTAAAATATTGATGCAGTAGGTGTATGGAATATGATGATGGACGGATATAATCATGTTTCAACATATTTCGGAAAGAGCTCTTCATTTAATGACATTAATTTTTATTGTTTGTTTATACATTTATTAATATTTAATACATGTAGCTGTGTTATTTTTATAACTATGTAAATTATTATGTAATTATATTTTATCTTAGTTAAAGGACCAATGTTATAAAATATAGTCTCATCTTTATCATGATATGTATATTATAAATCTTTATAAATGAATTTGATTCATAAGTTTACTATTAAAGAATAAATACAATTGGTGAAAAATAACAATGTTTTTTTGTGTAAACTGTAATATAAGCAAATCAGCAAGTTAATTTGTCTTTATATTAAATTTGATAAGGTATTGTCTGTAATATTATTTTACTTCATGTCTTCATCCAGAAAAACATACGCCCACAGTAGCAAAGTTGTTCAGGACTGCAACTTGACAAAGTTGGCTGGAAACCACAGAATTGTTCTAGATGGAGTTGAACTATTCTTTTGTAGGTAATAGAAGCACTAAAACTGATTAATGGCAGCAATGGAGTAATTATCAGAAATAGTTAAATTTTAGTAAACTTCTAGTTCTTCCTAGTGAAAACATAAACAAAACAGAGCCTCAGATGTTTGAGTTATCATTAATGCTAAAAATCAATAGAAACATTGTGTTTAAATTTTAAATCAATCTGATAACCTTATGGTCCATAAGATTTTTTAAAGCAATCAAGGGCAATAACTTCTTCGTCTCATGAATGTAATCAATGTATGTATATATTTCGAATTAATCTTTAGGGAGCTTTCAAGATGGTTGAAGATGATTAAGGACAATACTATTCAGAATCACTGAAAACTATTCAGATGTTCAATTTAGCCTCTAGAGCATCCACAAGCAGATGTGGACGTATGGACCGATGGGAGGAAAACGATATATTACTACAATTCAAAGTGGTTGAATAATAAAGGGTTATCACTTTCAAAATCATATTTTAAATAACTTTAATAACAGAAAACACTGAACTACTTAAAGTAAGGTACATAACATGAGGGTTCGTTAAACTCTGACAATCACTGAAATTTATGAGAAGATCTCCAAAATGCTAATGCATCTTTAATTACATGCTTAAGTCCTTGATCATCATTTGCATTTTTCGAACACCATCTAATTCTGAATAGCTTATTCCACACTAAAATGTACTTAAATGGATAATTAACATTTAATTAAGGTAACAAAATTAAAATATCAACTTTAGACAATCACCTGGTTTAGATTCAATCAGATTAAAATTATTTAAAATGAGCTCCATCAAAAGATTTTAGCAAAGATTACCGGTTTTGTATAAATGGTTCTACTACTGATGTTATCCTCCATACTTCGTCGCTACAATATTACAGCTAAGATTATAGGTGGTGCTGGCTTGTATTCACCATTATTCCACATGTAGCATCTGTTCACAAATTTGAAATTCACCATATCTTTGTATATACTGAACAGATTTGAACCATTTTTGGACTGATATTACCTTTAGAGATTAAAATTTCCCATGTGGTAGTTTGCAAGGAATTAATAATCCCCCAAATGACCTTTAGCCTATTCACTTGAAATGTACTGTAGATTCAGTTGTGTGTCAAACAGGTAAGGATAAATCAATTTGATTCTCTGTTCTTCGTGAAAATCAAATTGGTGTGGCCTAATCTAAATTTTATCCTTGAAGGAATATTATTTTTTGAACAATACATAAAAACAGTTGCAGAAAGATAGTACTTTTCCATACCCCATAACTTATGATATATCTATCAAATGGAAACATTTTATGAAAAAATCATAACAAACTGCATCTTGAAGGAGTTGTCTCCCATGACGCATTATTTTGGATGCAACCCCATCATCCAATTATTATAAACAAAAATATTAAAATTTATTTTGATACATTACAAAAGATATGTGCAAATATCAAAATCTTGCCACTTATTAGTCACTCAATAACATCCACCTTATATCCACTAGATCTATAATTTTATAATAAAAATTCTTAACCCATTCTACCATTCAATCATAAGGCCAAACCAATTTAATTTAAGTACTTTGGGGGTCTTGATTAATAAATAACCCATTCAATTCATGTGTGTGATGCCTTGTTAAGTTTCAATACTTAAATATTTGGAAAAAAAGATTTTGATAAAAGCAATAAATACTATTTCGTTGGTGAAATGTCAAAAGGGTTTATCTAAGAATTTCTAAAGATTAAGAAACAGAATCTTTTGCATTTCAAAATTTCCACAAATCAAGATACAACATTTGGACACACACATGATACCCAGGACAGTTGTAATTGGTGTAGAGATACACAGCTTAGACAGAAATGTGCATATTAATTGGGAGATTTTAAAAATGCTAAAAAGTGTATTCCCAGAATACCCTTTTGACACTTCACCAACGATTTGTTTCTAAATTAGTTTTTTTTCTTGAAGAAATTGGAGGCAGCTTTTTTAATAGATGTTCCTGTACAACATAAATTCAAATTGGTGTGTCCTTATCTACACATGTATTCTATAAATATCACAATATCAGCTTGATCTGGACTTGTGTAATACTGTTTCTAATTCTTTGGTAATCATGTCTTTATAAGTTTTTATTGAGTTTTTCATGTGAAAAGTAAATCTCTGTGGCCTTTTTAATACTTTTGATGTCCGTCTTTTAAAGCGGCCATTTCTGTTTCTCATCATACATTTGACATCACTGTCAGTAACTGGAAGATTGAGAAACTTTAAGAGCTGCTGGATTTCAAACAAAGGATTTGTTTCTAAACTTTCGAAATTGATGATATGTACAGGTCCTTTAAATTGAAACCAGTCAGTGTAAAGTCTGGGCCATAATGCTGCATTGTCGTAGACAAAGTGGTGCCAATCTGAAAATAGATGGAAACAGTATTATCAAACTATTTTAACCCTTTAGCAAATAGACCGTCCTAACTAGGTATCCTTAGACCGCCCCATCACGTACACAGCAGAGCTGTGGTGGCCCCACAAATTAGTAATTAGTCCTATAATACGGAAAGCTTTTCACATATGAGACTGTCTAAGGAACAGTCATTTCGGTCTGTTCAGGGATGAATCGGTATAATATATCACCTTTCTCTAATTTTCTTCAATTAACTGGTGTAGTCAATATTAACATGTACCAAGTGCTAAAGGGTTAACTGGAGTTTTGTATCGGCACTGACTTACTCTTGATAGATTGTATTAGTTTATTTTTCATTCCATCTTTTTTATAAATTCAAGAATGCGACCACGCGAAAAGATGTTATTTGATTAAATAAAATTGTTGTAGAATTGAAAAGAGAAGTGCAGTAACAGCTCTACCTTATACAAATAAACATCATATGCTAGTTTAAACCCGTTATTTGCAAAATAAAATTAGAAACAATGTAAAAATCCAATAACCTACATTTAGAATAATCTACTTCTTTAGCATGACCCAGATGCCCAGCTCGTTGTCTATTGAATTCAGCCAGAAGGGTGTCAAACGGGTCTCGAATCAAAATGACAGCCTTCTGGTACTTTGATCGTTCTTTGTCTCCCCATTCATGAGTTTTTATCAATGAAACTGTATTATCGTGGATACCCTCTGCTGGAAAGCCTCGATATTTAATGGCCGAATCATTATACAAACTACCAGTAGCTATACCTGTAATAGATTAAAGATACTCATTCAAATATGGCGCGAACAAAATACCTGAAATTTTGATGGGGAAAGGGTCTTGTGTAGGGCGTTCACAAAGAAAGTTGAACGAATCGACCAACAAACGAGAGTGACGACATTATAAATCCACAATAAATGAAATGGGGTTAGTTAGTGTCCCACTTTCCAGATACGGGTAAACGCCATATGTTGTGTGTTATGAGGGAAGTTTTGTTCGGACATCGGCGCTACGGCCTAACTTTATTTCGAATTCCAACTGTCATGGGTTATTTTACGTGTACGCCAATAGGTACACGCGACCTCATTTGTTTTTTGCCACGTGTGTATGTTCTGTACCACTGGCTACCAGGGGAAACCACGCTGGAAAATCTCGGGAACTTTCTCCACAAACACAAGGATCGGACCCTGGATCGATCTCCTGGTTAGTAAAACCAGCGTCTGACCCAACGAGGTTTCATAATTCTATATCAAATATGTGGACTGATTTATAATAAACTCGGCTGTCGGTATTGATTTTAGAAGTCAAGTACGGGAAAGGGTAGTGCAAGAGTTGCGTGTCAAAGAAAGAAAGTAAAACTGAAAATAAAATTAAATCTATAAATCACAAGACGTACATATATGTCCTGTCTAAAGTTATAATTTTTAAATATATACTCATTAAGCGCATCATTTTAAAACATTTTCGTTAAACCAGTCATAATATATTACAGGCATTATGGCTGATATCATCAGCTTTAATTTCTAATCTTTTTTATTTATTTGTTTTGTTTTGTACCTTCTAATCTACCGGTCCACCTTTACATTTATGTGTAAATTATCGTGTTGATTATAGATGCCATAGTTGAAATAATAGGCCTATATTTAAATGAGCTAATTCTTTAATCTTTGGCGCCTAGAAATGGACACTGATGGGTCGCAATGCATATGATAATGTAATATGAATGTATATAAACTGATTTACATTCAATCGTTTCTGTTTTACTATAATTTCCGATTAGTTATGTTTGACGAGTAGCATTCTTTGGTGTCTGGTTATTCCCGTCGATATCTGTAGTATTCTCCCCTCGGATATCGAGTCGCGTCATTACTAATGGCGCTTAAAAGCATTCTGGCAGGCGATTAGTGTGTCAATTTTAAAATGTTCACTGTGTTTTAAATACTGGATATCAGAAGCCAATCTTTTCACGGTAAGATAAAAACATCAATGTTGATTTAAAGTGACCACTAAGTCGTGATTGCAATGTCGAGGACTGTGGATGATACTGATCAGTTAAAGACTTAGCTACTTTAAGTTCCAAATATTTATCCAAGTTATAAACATATAATTTATGGTATTTTATGGTTAAAATCAAATAATATTTAAAGGCGTTACATATCCATTTGAAAAAGTCGAACTATCTAATTTATAAATCAACACTGTCTTTTATTATTGTATAGTGTGACTATCCCCAAATAATATAGTTTTCTAAATTGCACAATGAAATCTGCCACTGTCCACCGACCGACATTAATCCTTTTATTGTTTTATTTTATAATATCCTTTATTGGTTTTAATTTACTGTATATACTTCTCCTATTTATTATGTCAATTTTAATGGTCATCCCCTTAATAGTCAGTGGTGCAAGACAGAGGGCCTGGCGCATAGTCGTTCGGGTCCCGTGTACAAATTGCTGTACACATAAAATAACTCTTGGCAGTTGGAATTCGATATTTATTAGAGTAAGCCATAGCGACGCTGCCGGCATTAATTTCCCTTAAATACCCCATCTTCATTAGCCTAGTCGGAGCAGGACAGTAGGGCGTTAACCCCTATTTCATTTTTTTAATTGTCATCATGATTCTATTCTTCTCTTGTGGTATATGATCAGTGAGTATCGTATTATGTACATTTATTTACTGAGTGCAGTGTGTTGTATATCCGGAGTTTTGTAACTCACCGTTATAACACAGCCATGATATACAGCCATGCTATTTACCATACACAAAATATTACAGAATAACATTGAGGTATTAAATGTAGTGGTTTTTAGATATGAAGTTCGATTTGACAATTGATCGATATAATGTCTGAAGAGATACTTTATTTTTAAGTGGATGCTTTGTTCGGTCTTTGTCTACAATTGACAGATTACATCATGGCCTGTATAGGGCAGCGAGGCTTTTGCTCTTCAAAGAAGCAGGTGGATGAGTGTGTGTGTGTGTGTGTGTTTGGGGGGGGGGGGGGGTATCTTGTAATTTCAACACTGTCCACAATGACTCACTTCTTTATAAAACCATCTTCTCTAACCAGGATTAGGTCATCATAATAACATTCCCCGCCCCGGACGTACTCACAAATTCACTCTTTGTGCCGTCAAATATAATTCGATTTCAACTTTCTGACTCAATCAGCCAAAATTTTATGCTCCTCTGGGAGCATTTGACTCCAAATGCTACATACGCCACTAATAACACGCCGATTGTGAGTCACGGTGTCTCAGTGAGTAAGACGTTGGCTCGCTAACCTGGGGGTACCGTGTCTAATCCCTGTGTTGGCCGAGAAAGTTCATAATTAGATTTTCCGGCTTTGTTTCCTCTTGTGAGTGGTGCATGACTGGTAAGGGATAATGTATTGTCGTTCAGATAGAACGAAAAACCGTCCTGTGTACACATTAGCGTGCCCGTAAAATATCCCTTAAGATCGATATAATAAGAGTAGCTAGGCCGTAGCGCCGCTGTCCGGGCAAAATTTCCTTCGTGCACACTGTTTGGCGTATATGCACGTCTTCATTTAGCCCAGTCGGGGCAGAACAGTACCATGTTAAACTTCGTTTCATCTCATTTCGTTTCCAACTGGATCCGCGCTCGAATAGCAATGCTATCACAAAACCCGATTGCGTTCTTCTTGTGCTCAGCAGTGTGTAGTAATGATGTTTCCATAAATAGACAATTATATTAGGAAAAAAGTATATGTGATTTCTACTAAGAGACATGTTGTAATGTAATAAAAATTGATTATTTCAGGAAATATTAGAACCAATGTCATCTAAATTGTATTAAAATACACTGAAATCATTGACAGAATTATTCTTATCCACTTCTTTATCGTAATTTAGGTTTCCATTATAGGTTACAAAGAATTAATTTGTTTTGAGAATGAATGCCTAATAATATGTTTCGATTGAGGAGAGCATGTATATATGGCTTTGGCCTTTTACCTTCGACCAATCAACTTCAGCTTCTGGAATCAAAGTTCAAACTCTTATTTCTAATTTTGAGTGAGTGTGTAGCGTGGTCTGCACGAGACCTCGTTTTTTTCGTCCCATTCGAAAGAGTACTTGCGTCGTATAACCTTGCCAATGTGAAGATGGTTTTCTACCCCGAATTCTCTACATTTATGTTCATTTTAGTCGATCGTTGGCGTTTGCTGTAGGGCAAATTCGATTTTAATCCCCCTGAAAGATGTCTGCTGACGCGTAATGGTACTCTTAATTGGTATTTTATCGAAATTCCTGGAATTGGGGTCGAACATCGAGACGTCTGTAATTTGAATCGTAACAATCAATGGAAGCGTTTGGCACCTGAGCTATAATTACTCAATTATATCACGTCTCTATACCGTCTACATGTGTAGCAGTGTCAACAGTTATCTGTGTCAATCTTACATTTATTTTGGTTCAAATATGAAATTAAATGTTAACTCGTGGGAGTGGATTTTTTTTTTTGATTTTTTTATTTTCCACTATTCCGATCCTGTACTTTAATAGAATTTTTTGTTTTTGACACATTTACGTTATATCGCTGTTGTGGAAGCAGACAGACGTACGTTAAGCCTCAAAGATTTTGACATCTGGCGTAGAATATTTTTCTTTTCTTTTTTTTTTAAAATTCACTATTAAGGTCTTGTTCTTTGAAATAATGTTCTCGTTTCTGACACATTTCTGCGATGTCACTATTTTTAAACCCCAAAGAAACAGACAGTTTTTGATATCTGACACATGACCCCATGCTTCTCTTTAAATGCATTCTTTACATTAATTTCGTTTAACTGTAAAGCTATACTAATGTTGATATTTTACTGCGAGTGCAATCCAAATACACGAAACCCACAGTTTGTATGCATCAATCAACTCCACCATAACATACACGTGGATTTAACTGTCGAATATATGTTGTTGGTTAGTTGTATTTTACGTCCACTTCCACCGAGGTGATATCGCAGACAAAGGCGAATATACACGTGAACCCTACTTTATAATCCATGATTTATCTAACTTCATGTATAATATATCGACCCGACAGCTTCTAAAAGGGAGTCCTTGTTATATCTCGTTGGTGGCCTAGAATGTTCCTCGGATTTTCCGGCGTGGTTTCTCATTGTCAGTGGTGCAGGACGGGTGCAGTCTGGCAAGAACAGCGTCTAGTCGTTCGAGTGGGACAAAAAACAATGGTCCCAGTACACATTGGCATGTACTTGGTTTTCGATATAAAGAGCAGGCTGTAGTCCCGCTCTCCGTACGAAATATTCTCCATTGCACACTGTATGACGTATGCTCGTCTTCATCCGCCCTGTCGATGCAGAACAGGACGTTAAACCCACTTTCATTTCATTTCACCGTCTGGAAGTGAAATTTTAACCGGGGTCGGTAGTTACTTTTACAATTTCTAGAACCTGTATGTCACCCATGAGATATATTAAGTGTTTACTATGAGAAGATGTATATCTGAGATGATAAAAGTTGATAAGTGTATGTAAATAAATTACCGTGATATCTACAGTATAAATCATTTTATCTGATATACATGACTGCTCAACTGTCATATATTACATAGCATACTGTTCTATAATAATTATTTAATTCATGTTAGCATGCACAGCTGAAATAGAACATTGTCCGATCTTCATTTCCATGTTTTTACATAAATATAATCTAATACTACCCAATAGTCATTTTGTTTATCTATAATAAGTGTTGAAAGCTAATAATTTAGACTACTTTTTAAAAAAAAGAAACGTATATTAGATGTCACCTTAACCTCGATGTTCATGGATAGAAAAGCAGAAATAGATGACTCCATGTATTCAATAGAAATAAATGGTAACTTTAGAAGGATGATTTGATAGCACTATTTTCTAATGTGTGTGGAGTTTAAAGTCTATATTTTCCATCTTATCTGGATTAGTAATTGTGTCTTTTCATATAAATTGTTTTTTTTTATTACAGCTATGTCTAAACATTAAAAACTGTTTTTCTCTACATTTTAAAATTGTACACTATTTTAAGGCTATTATTCTGAATTTCAGCACTCGTGAGGGGAGCCCTATTTCATATAGATGTAACCTTAAACCTATGTTACAAGGATCTTTTGATTATTCAGGTCCGTAGTGCGGGGAGGGGGGGGGGGGCTCAGCGTATCGAGCAACAAGAGCATCGCTAACGCAGCAATATACGTCCACATTCCTGTTTTGTTTGATATGGTCCAGTTTGCATTGAGGGTCTGTGAAATAAAACTGGGTTGTAGGACTGCTATCAGTATAACATTTCGTTCACATTAACAGAACACAATTTTTATTTTAAAACAATCGATGTCTTTATTCTAAAAGCATGACGTTTTTTTTTTGTTTTTTTTTGCTTGATTGATAACGATAAGAGAATACTTGTGGAAACGTCGTGCTTTTAGAATAAACTAGTGATTGTATCCCATAAAAACTGTGTTCTGTTAATTTGTTCCCTGATCGCTAAATGCCACTTAAAGAATAACTAGAAATGGGCGTGGCTCTGCCCCTGGGGGTCGGGCATGCACCAAAAACAATAGGGATCTTCCTTGGGGTATAAGGAATAAGTATACCAAGTTTGAAGAAAATCCAGTAAGAATTGCGCCCTGTAGGCGACACAAAGACACACGAAAAGAAAATGGGCGTGGCTCTGCCCCTGGGGGTTGGGCATGCACCCCAAACGATAGGGATGTTCCTTAGGGTACAAAGAATGTGTATGCAAAGTTTCAAGATTATTAGTTAAGAAATGTGGCCTGTAGACGACAAACAAACAAATACTAGAAATGGGCGTGGCTCTGCCCCGGGGGGTCGGGCATGCACCAAAAACAATAGGGATCTTCCTTGGGGTATAAGGAATAAGTATACCAAGTTTGAAGAAAATCCATGAAGAATTGCGCCCTGTAGGCGAACCACAGACACACACACACACACACACACACACACACATACATACATACACACACACACACACACAGACAGGGGCGACGGCATAATACGTTCACATTATGAATGTGGACGTATAAAAAATGAGGTTCATGAGGATAGCCTCCTAGCAAACCTAACATAAGGAACAAATATTTGCAAATAATTAGGGGCAGGGGGAGTCCCCTGACCCACCCCTTCCTTTGGTTTCCAAGGGCTCGTTACTCTTTATGTCATTTTCTTATACGGAACTAATTAGGGGGTGGGGGAGTCCCCTGAGCACCCCCCCACCCTATCTTTTGGTTCACACGGGCTCGTTAGTCTTATTCTGAAAACCTACTGAAATAATTATATCCATGCACAGAGATACAATATGATTTAGTACACTTTGAGCTGTTAATATGCAATTACGTAATTGTACGTCTATGCATGTTCCCATATAGAGTTTATTCGAAGTACTTACCAGTGGCTTGCTGAACCATGTGGCGAACCCAGGTATTTCCTGAACCCGGAAAACTCACTAAAGCTGTGAGAGGTAGCGGGGTCGAAGATCTCTCTATATTTTTACACGACCACACATCATTGCTGTAGCCCACGTAAAAGGGTCCATGTCCGCTCATCCACGGTGAAGGAGAAGAACTCAAATAATAAAGACAAATTAAATTGAATAAAACCCCGAGTATTATGACACAACACACGAATGAGAAACAGCGCGGTCGACTCAAATATAACAGATGTCTACACATTACTAAATTCAAACACACATTCTTTTACTATGTCACACTAGTATTTTTCCTCGCTCATAACCCAAATCCACACGTCCTAGTAAACTACTAGTGTATATCTCCAAAATCAGCACAGGTTTTAAATTATATGTTGTGTATACATTCATATCGTAAAAACAGATTTACACACGATCTTTAAACTCGGGTCACAACATTAACAAAGTCCATTTTCGCGCACTAAAGTCAATAAAGATATAGATTTGTTGCAAGTAGAAGTTCTAGGAGGAAACCATAACAAAGTCAACTTGTGGTGTAATTGTACAGTTATTTTATTATCATAACTGGTGACAAGACGAGTGATGATTTATGCTTGAGGCTTGACGTCTACCTACCGTTAAATAAATCTTATACGGCAGTAAAATATATAGAGAGCATTGTTCAAATTAAATCAAGCAAATTAAAGCAAGGGACAAGGCAAACAGAATTAACATGAAGCTCTTGTGCGGGTTGGTTGAATTTAACTGCTGTTAAAATCTTTTTGTTTCATGGTGTTGTAACTTAATTTGATTAAGAAAATCAAATGAAATGAGTTTAACGTCCTACTTTTCTGCACCGACTGGACTAATGAAGATAAACATACGCCATGCAGTTTAATATGGGGACATTTTTGCCCGGATTGACAGCGGCGCTATGGCCTACTATTGTATCGAATTCCAACTGTGTACACGGGGCTTCCAAACCACTATAGACCGTTGCCCTTGTCGGGCCCTCCGTTCTGCACCACTGGAATGGGGAACCACTCACTGAGCCACGGTAGCTCTCCTAATTTGATTAAGAGTCTTCACAATGGGGTATTATAGACTAGAATTGGATTGCATCGAAATGCCATTTAAGGGCCGCATACAATATACAAAGGTATAAAATAAAAGCATAAAAATCTTCAGGGGCTATCAATTGTAATAATTGTGAACCATATGTGGCAGATTGTAGCTTTAAGACATGATGGGTGTATGTGGGACAAGATTTGAGCTCTAGATATGGTTAATTTAATTATGTCACGCATGCCCTCAGAGGTAAATGATAGATCAAACAATCAGTTATCTATATTGATAGTACAATGCACTCATATTAGTCTGAGATAACAACATTCATGGTTCCATAATGTTATCTCGTATTTTTTACTAGTACAGAGAACTAGGACGTTTTGCAGCCCTGGTTCCCACTTGAGAAATATTTACGAAGCCGACAAGCCATGTCCGTCCGTCCGTTCACATTTTGTTTGTAGACACTCTAAAGGTCACAATTTTTATCTGATTTTAACGAAACTTGAAATATAGGTGTACCTCCCAAAGATTTCGGTTCCTTTCGAAAATGGCATGTATTGGGCCAAAACTTCATGGATTATGGTCCCTGATTGTACCAAAAATCACGTTTTTAGCTTGTGGGCCCTCTAGAAGTCACAATTCTTATTTTATTTTGACGAAACTTAAAATGTGTGTTTATAACCTAATGATCTCAGTTCCTTTCGATATTCGCGCATATAGCACCGTAACTTCCTTGATTATGGCCCCAAAATTTACGAAAGACAGGTTACCAGCCAACAAAACATACGCCCATATATAGCAGCCAGGTCATAAGAGCGGTCAATAAGGGTTGTCGCATATTTTTTCTTTTGTCAGAAATGAAAACATTTACAACACATGAAAATCTGATTACAAGTAACAACTTATTAAGTAATTATCAGAAATCATTTGAATTTGTTTCGATTCTTTGTCTCATGGCCTTAAACACCGTGTATAAATTTATATTAACTTTGCCATTAGAACGTCCAAAAGATTTTTCAAAGTGATCAAGGGTCATAACTCTGGCAGTAATTATCGGAAAACGTTGAAAACCAATAGGATTCCTCGTCTCGTAACCTTAAACACCGTGTGCAAATTTAAAGTCAATCGGATATTTTAAGCCTCTAGAACATCCACAAGATATTGACCGTAAACACTGTATAAATTTAAAGTCAATCGGATATTACGTCATCCTCCACGAGATTTTTCAATGTGATACAGGGCCATAAATCTGGTAGTAATTATCGGAAATTGTTGAAAAGCAATAGACATCTTCGTCTCATGACCGTTAACACTGTGTATAAATTTAAAGTCAATCGGTTATTAACTTTGGTCTCTAGAGCGTCCACAAGCAAGTGTGGATGTCGACGGACGGCAATATACGACGACATTTCAATGTGGGCGTATAAAAATGCTATAAATTATATTCCCAATTTCGACTTGAAAGTTCGTTCAATTTTGTCCAGTAGAAAAATTAACGTGAATATATGCTTAAATTCTCTCTTTAAGAAGAATTAATTTCGTAATAATCTCATTTAATTCCGAGGAATTATATATATGGGAGAGAGAGAGTGCTGGCATAGGGAAAGTATTTGGTGTCCTCTCCCCTAAATAGCTTGGAACATACTGCAAAAATAAACATGTGATGAGAAACTATAAATGGCTATTGTACATAGGCCATTATATAAGTAGAGGACTTCAAGGGCTTTCTAAAGAGAGAACAAAGGCAGAGTCCTATCGACCAGTAAGTTTGACATCCACACTGTGCAAAACCTTGGAAACAATGGTTAACATACGACTACAGTTCTATCTGGAGAGCAACCGACTGATCGACGAAAATCAAAGCGGGTTCAGGAAAGGGCGTTCAACAACGGACCACTTGGTGAGACTACAGCAAGTCATGTCGCAGGCACTCCTCTCTGGGAACCTGTTATGTGTCGTGTTCGTAGATTTAACTAAGGCTTTCGATTTAGTCTGGCTAGACGGGCTGCTCTTCAAGTTAGGACGTATTCATATAACAGGCATAATGTTTCGGTGGATCAAAAGCTTTCTGAGCGATAGAAAGATACAGGTGAATGTTGGCATATTCCTGAGTGCCTTGCAAACATTAGAAAATGGCACGCCTCAGGGATCGGTTATCAGTCCCACTCTCTTCAATATCATGACCAACGACATACAGAAATCGTCCTACCTCGACGCCAAATTAACTGAGTTAGCTAAATTTGCTGATGACAGTACCATATGGAGGAAAGGGAGGAACTTCTGTGAACTACAAAAGAAAATGCAGAAGGCCTTAGACAAATTCATGGCATGGGCAAACGATTGGGGATTCAAAGTCTCGGAGAAGAAAACAGTCGGCATGCTTGTAAGCAGGGATAGAGGGATAAGCAGAATGATTCTGTGTATGAACGGGAAAACCATCGAGTTTAAAGACCAAACCAAGTTCCTTGGCGTAATCTTTGACCGAAGGCTGACCTGGAAACCGCACATCGACGAGACTGTAGATAGATGCACCAAAATCCTATACTTTATGAGGAAAATAACGGGCAGCACTTGGAGGGCCAACAGAGTAACACTAATGATGGTGTATCGTGCTCTAATACGATCTGTATTAGACTACGGCTCTCTGGCCTTCATGAACTGCGCGCCATTACTCTTAAGGAAGCTTGACACCATCCAATACAAAGTTCTGTGTATTGCGACTGGCGTAGGGCAAGGGACTGGGAGAGAGGCACTACTGCAGGAAGTCGGGGAGTTACCCCTATCCCTAAGAAGAAAAGAACTAGCGACAAGGTACTGGGCTAAGATCTCGCAACTGGGCGAAAGATCCCCAACCTTTGTCAGTCTAAACCATAATGGACACAGTTGGACTAAGTAGAATAGTGAAGTAAGAGGGGGTCACGGTTAGAGGGGCCCGGCATCTAAACACTAAACTACATATGGGATTTATACCAAACTGGCAGGATAGTGGAGTAAGGGGGAGTCACGATCAGACGGACTCGGCATCTAAACACTATTCCACCAAAAACAGACACCAAACCTACAGAGTGGGATAGTGGAGTAAGGGGAGGTCACGATAAGATGGGCCTGGCACCTAAACACAAACCCCACAAAGATGACATCACTAGCAGGATAGTGGAGTAAGGGGGAGTTACGGTCAGACGAACTTAGCACCTAAACACTATTTCGCAAATAAAACTGATACCAAACCCAGAGAGTGGGACAGTGGAGTAAGGGGAGGCCACGATAAGACGGGCCTGGCACCTAAACACTAACCCCAAACGATGACATCTACCAATCCAGAAGCAGACGAGATCATCTATCAAACGATATGTTTTGTATTAAAAAAAGGGAAGAACTTCCCACTAAACCAAATCCATGGCCTAAGGCCAAATGGAAAGATTGCAAAATCATATTCTAAAAAACAGGAATCAGCTTCGGCTCTCCTATGTCTTGTCTGCGATATCACTTATGTGGAAGCAGACGTTAAACACCAAGAACGAACGAACGAACGAAGGGCTTTCTAACGGCATAAAAAGTTTTTTCAAATTGTGGGTTAGTCCACTTTGGTTCTGACCCCTTCATATGTCTAAACTATATGAAAGACATACGGTAACTTTCCATTTAAAAGTAGCCGGTTCTCTCTGAATTCTCATATGAGCATGAGATGTCAAGCATGGTCAAATGAAGATAAGTATACTTCGTTAGACTGGTACTGTAGTGTCAATACCTTAGTTGAATTGGACCTTAAGCCCCATCAACAAACGAACCATATACATTTGTAACAACATAAAGAGAAAAGGAGATAAAGTGATGCTTGTTGTGCTGTTCGAAAACTCTTAGTTCCAATTTAAACAAAATATCTTTCATGGGATTCAAGTGGCTATTTATTTTTCAACATCCACTCGACACAAACTAGGTCATTTTGGGACTAACATATGGTTCTATTTTATTTCAATAATTCACTTGAAATATGAAGTCTTTAGCAGTGGGAGGAAACCGGAGGACCCGGATAAAAAAAAACGAGGTGGGAAAGGCGACCCTACTCCTTGTCACATACAACCGGGGAATCGAAACCATGCCAGTTGACTCAATGACAGACCTTATGATACAGCGCACACACTAACCATTCAGCCACCCAACCCCCCCTAAAGAAAATGAACATTATTTCAATGTATTATTTATTACAAGCATCTACAAGTTTTTTTAATAACATTTTTTGACCATAAGCTGTATAAAAGGAATATTTATGATGTGATGGTAATGAGGCAATGTCTTGGGATGATAATTTCTGATCTTCTTCTAATGTTGTTTTATATCTTGTTAAACTTTCTTCACCAGCTCTATAATATAAAATAACTTCAGACAACTTTTATAGCTTTTACTATTTAAATATAAAGTATTATTATCTTTGAAATCTACATAGAATGACAATTCTAGACAGGAAAAGCTTGCATTCCTTATAGAATGACGATTATACAAAAGAAAAAAGCTTGAATTCTACATAAAATGAAGACTATTATGGAAAAAAGACTTGAATTCTACATAGAAAAACGATTCTATAAAGAATAAGAAGAAGTCTGAATTTTACATAGAATGACCAGTCCAGAAGTGAACAAAATTGCATTCTACATAGAATGATGACTCTACAAAAGAAAAGAGACAACCTAGCGTCTACACAGAATGAAGACTCTACAAGGAAATAAAAGAACTAAACATGATCATTGAATAGAAAAGGTTATAAATAAAAGATAAATATACCTTGATAGTAAGTTTTTCCAGTCTGGTAATAAAGATGGTATATTTGCTGAAATATGAAAATATATTCAATTACCAAAAAAAAAACATTTTTGATAAAGGAAGCATGTTTATTGTATGGAAAAGCATAACATGGGTTAACAAAGAAGCTAAGTTAACCGAGCAGTCCACAGAGGATGATCGATATTTATTCGTTTGTAGATAATGGGAGTATATACAAGACTAATAAAATTTTATAGGTTTTACTTTTAGTTCATCCTAGCACTAATATAAGTAAAACATTTGCTGGTATCCATTACTAAATACCACTCAAAGGCGATAATATATAGGTAAACTGTTCTGAGTTATCGGAATTCGTTGAAAATTAATTACCATCTTCGCCTCATGAACATCAAAACAACTGAATAATATCTTTAGTCACAAGGTGTCCACAAGATTTTTGAAAGTGATCAAGGGCAATAATGGCTTCTTCATTTCATGAACACAAAAATGATTTACGTAAAATTGCAAGTAAATCATAAGTAAATCCCCAACAATTTAACTTGCAAGTTCCACACAAATGGTGGAAAACACAGTCTTGTTGCTGAACTTATATTTGTTGATTTTATGACCAGTACCAATGTTCTGCAAACAGAGAATTGCTCTGTGCCTTTCAGATGGTCTTCTGGATGGGGTAGGGAATTTAAAAATAGGTCACTGTCCAATTTTGCCAGCCTTAATTAAACACCCAAAAGCTGCATGTCATCTATAAAGCTAGTACACTCTGTAGTTTTGATTGGTTCATAATTATGGATGACCCGGAGCATGGCGTCGTCTATTGTATTTACATTTATTAAATAAAATAAGCCTTTTTGGTCTTTAAGATTAAACATTTATTATAGTTAATTAAGCAAAAAAAACAAGCTTTGGTGAACTTTTCCTTTAAATTGATTACCAGTAAACTTAGTCTTGGTGAGTGTGATAATGATTATTACTAGTACACTTACTGTCTTGGTGAGTGTGATAATGATTATTACTAGTACACTTACTGTCTTGGTGAGTTTGATAATAATCGTACCTAAAACAATTAGTAGTACACTTACTTTCTGGTGAGTGTTACAATGATTGTACATAAAACAATTACCAGTAAACTTACCAAAACTAAACATATTGTTAGATTCATCATCATCCTCATCTGCATCACTCCAACCTTCTTTTTCTACAAAATCTTGAAACTGAGATTCTGACATAAATATAACTTTAATTAACTGTTGACATTCATCTTCTGTTAAAATACCATCTTTACCAATAACTAGTGTATTTTCATCATCAATTGCCTCCTAAAAATAAAAATTATTTTCTTTACAAGATATGTAATTATTTTTTTATGATTGAGAGAGAGACAGATGGGGTTTAAGGTCCACTCAAGATAAACTAGGTCATTTCGGGACTAACACATGGTTCAATTTCATTTCAATAAATCACTTGGGCGTATGGTTTTTAAGCAGTGGGAGGAAACCCGAGGACCAGAGAAAACCTACGAGGTTGGGCAGGTGACCCAACTCCTTGTCATTAGGACTTGTCATTGTTGACTCAATGACAGACCTTAGGATACAGCGACCACATGCTAACCATTCAGCCATTTTTACGATTGAGTGGATGTGGCAGAAGGACGAAACTAAACACAAATTGTCTAGGGATCTTTCATGACATAATGTACCAGCGGATTTAACACACTTTTGCATCATAACTTGTGACATTACCCCTGGCCTGAAAAACTCTTGGCAACCTAGCATGAATACAGCAGCTTCCATTCGTCTTCAATTTAAGATAGTTCTTTTTGGGGAGTCATCCAAACAAATAAGGCCTGTGCACAGGTGTTTTACATTCACGTGGTCAATGTTTTTTGTTGTTTGAGGAAAATATTATATATTTTAAAATTGTATAACACATACCATATCCTGTAAGACTCCTAATTTTTCATAAAATAATTCATCTGTAGTATCTGTAAGTAGTTTAGTTGCCTTTAAAAGTGCCTCATTTGATATTTCAACCTGAAGAAAAGAAATAATAAAATCTTACATGTATATTTTAATATCAATATCAAACCTCTCTCAAGATGGGGGATGGCCGAATGGTTCTAGGCACGTTAAATTGTAATATCTGTCATTGAGTTAAGTGGTGTGTTTTGATTCTCTGACTGTGTACATGGCAAGGAGAAGGGTTGTCTGTCCAACCTCCTGGGTTTTCTAAAAATAAAATGGAATCATGTAAGTCTCTCTCTCTCTCAAAACAGATTTTGCACAAATCATAATTGCAAAAACTTTTTATTATATCAGTGTGATATTCAAAATCAGAAGTCTGTTAAGAATGCAATACAAAAAGATTATTAGTAGTGTGTAATACCTACTGTATCATTGTGATTATTAGGATATTCCTCAGCATAACCATACATCTGTAGTAAATGAGCATTAGCTGGTTCTCCATAAGAATTAAACACTTCTTCACCCTAAAAGAGATGATATACAGTAAGTATAATATATCAATGCAGCAGCAAGGTAGAACCTGATTCATGGATCACTTTTCTACTCCGTTTTTCCAACTGATTTGCTATTGGATCGCCACACTTAAATTACTAAACCATGGACAAAAATGTTGATTCAAATACTTGAAACGGATTCAGTCTTCCAGTTAAAATTTCAAAGTCATTTTTTTATATTCAAAAGTGGACCTGCTGCAGATTAATGTCGGTGCACCTGTTAAGATAAAAGATGCATCATTTGCATTTTTTGCTAAAATATCTAATTTCTCACGGCTTAATCCATGCTCATATGTACCCAGATTGATTATTTATTTTTTAATGCTATGACAGCAGGCTTATTAAATAGCAAGCAGCATAGATTGGTGAAACTTCAATTCAACACATATTTGTAAATACTTATTGGACTGATGTATGTATTACAGATTCATCTTTTATAACATTGTAATTTGAAGGGATTCCTGTTGCGCTAAAATTACGCAATGTGACTTTAACTCCTACCTTAGATATATCCTTCACTGCAACCATTTTTAAAACATCTGGATGGAATTCTAGATGAGCATTGTTTTTAGCAATACTGTTTAATATATCAGCCATTGGCACCATCATTGGTGTATTAGCTTTATTATTTGATTCATCTAAGTTAGTCTCTGTAAAACTATATGCCATTACGAATGCCACCATCTTTTTGTAAAATTCAACATCCTTGCAAATAGGACTAAAGTAGAAAAAAGAAATTTTGAATAAAATGAAACTGTACTTGCCACTGGCATTGAACCAGGGGGGCATTTAGCAGAAAGAGAGGCCCTAGGCTAATCTCCTCCCAACCCCCACCCTCATGACTAGAGCAAAGCTGAGGATGATGAAGGATGTTTAAGACTGCAGTGCTTATAACCTTGGTCAGAGGTCCCCTAGATCTTGAAGCTCTAGGCAATGCCAAGCCTACAGGTAATTCTGGCACTGGCCTAAGATACTCATACTATTCCTTTACCGGTAATAGAAAATATTTATATGACATATACTCACAGGAAAACGTCTGGATGTTTATTGATAAAGGGTAGAACAACATTATTAAAATCATTTGTTAATAAATCTATATCTCTAGTAACAGATTCGTCAACACCAGTTCCTTTTAATAAACTCTTTCTTTCTTCACTGAAATACAAAGACACAAATTGTAGACAGGATAAAGAATGTAAGGTTACTTGAACAAATGGGTTGGGATTGATGTTTTCAGTCACACTAACAAGATAAGAACTTATATAAGCAAAGGATTAGTCCATAAGGTGGCAGATGAAAATCTTATATGATCTTGCAATGTTGTTATGTCGCCAGGAGTGCTCATGTAGAATTTATACGGAACCCTAGCTTCAAGAGAGAGAGAAATGGGGTTTAACATCCGCTCGACACAAACTAGGTCATTTTGGGACTAACATGGTTCAATTTTATTTCAATAATTCGCTTGCGCTCCGGGGTCTTTAGCAGTGGGAGGAAACCCGAGCACACAGAGAAAACATACAAGGTTGGACAGGCGACCCTACTCCTTGTCACGTACAACCGGGTAATCGAAACCACGCCAGTTGACTCAATGACAGATCGTATGATACAGCATGCACGTGCTAACCATTTGGCCATCCAACCACCCAGAAGTAAATAGTAAAACAAAATCACAACAAACATCTTTTATTATACATGCTGTATTCTATAAAGTAAATCATACAAATTTGATTCAAAACACTCTGACAATCAATAGTTGGACTAGACAATTCTCCAAGATTTATTTTCATTTTTACAAAATTGAACACAAATCCTTGTACTGTAGATTCGCAGGGCAAGCTCTGGCGGAATTAGATTTGGAGATACGCATTAATTTCTAGCCCTGTGATTTTATTCCCTGATAGTATACTATTCAAAAAAAGTAGGGGATATTTGATTTTGGGGGCATAATACTAAAATATGCAAATGACTACGAAAAAAGTCACTATAGAACCTAACAGAAGAAACATTTCCAGTTACTGGTGACGCCCAAACGCACCAATAGCTACCGCATGGAATGCAGTTGATGCTTGGGATCATCATGGGGGTCCTACCCATGATTTGCACGACTCTGACTTTGAATGTTACAGTCATTGTGGCATTGAATTCCAGGGTGGAAACATCAGTTTAATTGTTTTAGTGACCAGAAAACAAATTTTGATATGCGTCGGCTTACCCAAAATGAAAGGTTATGTGCCCTTGGCATGCTACAGATCGGCACAACACAGGCGGTTGTGGCGCGGACGATGAATGTTTCTCAGTCTGTCATAAGCAGGCTATGGTCCAGATACCGTGATACACAATCTGTACAGGACAGACCACGCTCAGGTCGACCAAGGGCGACAACTCAAGCCCAGGATCGATTTATCCGTACCTTGGCCTTGAGAAATCGTGTCATCACAGCAAATCAGATCAGCGCTCGTCTTCAAACAGACACTGGTGTGAGAGTGAGTGGCCAGACGATTCGGAATCGACTGCATAGGGGTCACCTTCGCGCCTGACGTCCTCGCGTGATCCCTTGTTTGAGAGATCATCACATTCAGGCAAGACGTCGTTGGTGTAGGGATCGTCAACACTGGGATAATCGACGCTGGAGCAATGTGATGTTTTCAGATGAGTCAAGGTTCACTGTTGATTTTTTGGATAGACGTAGGAGGGTGTGGCGTCGTCGAAACGAGCGCTTCCAAGACGTTAACATCATCAGACATGATCGATTTGGGGGTGGTTCTGTTATGGTGTGGGGAGGCATCACTGTTGCTGGAAGAACGGCTTTACATGTTGTTGCAGGGCGTGTTACAGGCCAGTACTACCGGGACAACATCTTGGCAGTCCATGTTGTGCCGTTCGCACGACGTCATGGCCACCGTTTCATCTTCCAGGATGACAACGCAAGATGTCACAGGGCCAGGATCGTTACAGGTTACCTCCAACAACAGAACATCACCACATTATCTTGGCCAGCACTGAGTCCCGACCTCTCCCCCATCGAGTATGTCTGGGACATGCTTGGACAGAGGTTACGTCAACGTCAACAACGTCCTGCCAATGTCCAAGAACTTGCTGCTGCGTTGCAACAGGAATGGGACAATCTGGACCAAAATGACCTTAGACGTCTCATTAGGAGTATGCCACGTCGGATCAATGCTTGTTTGGCAAACAGAGGAGGATTTACCCGTTACTGACTTGGTTGTGATGCTGTGGTAACTTTGCTGTTTGACCCCGGGTATCATTTTACCCTTATAATGGTCAGTCTGTGCCTTACTTAGTCTAACGATCATTTGGAATAAATCGATGAATGTGAACTTCATTTCATTTTGTCATTTGTTTCTTCGTCAGTTTCATTAGGTGACTTTAATAACACTTAAAAATCAAATATCCCCTACTTTTTTTGAATAGTATATTTAATACAGCCATTTACCCAATATTAAGAGGCGACTACTAAGTACTAGTACTACTAAAAAACTACTAGGCAGTCACCTTACTTTAAAATATCTTTGTTCCACCAAACCCCAGTCCCCACCCACAATCAAGGGTCATTTTTTCCTTTAAAGGTTTTTTTTATTTTTTTTTTTGGGGGGGGGGGAGGTCAAATTCGACGTGCTATTTCGACAGTGTGATCATTTTCCGGGTTGACATATTTGGGTTTTTTTATTTGTGGGCACAAAAATCAATACCGATGACATCGGGATTTTTAGTGAGGCAAGGAAAGACTCGCACAGTCACACTTCACAGTACACGAAATTGAAGTGTGATCGAATTTCCTTCAGCATGTTTTTAACGATTGTGCGGGTTGCATCTTCATTTTACTCGAAAAAGATTATTGGAAATATCGTTGTCATTATTAAAATGACGCTCCATCGGCTTTGGGGCCGAATCATTTAGGCTAATGGGAATGGTCCACTGATCTACGGTACATGAAAAGATCAGTGGAACGGTCACAATTTCGTCTGCATTTTGTTGATAAGCGACACCTATGACGATTTTTTCTGTAGCCACCGTAAAGGGGGATAACTCTGGTGTAAAGTTTATAAAATAAAATAAAAAGATCACGGAAAAGTGCAATAAAATAATTTAAGTCGGTCGTAGTTATAGCTGGTCGGTCGGGTTAGGCCCAACTGAGATATTTTAAGGTCAGTCTGGTCACCCAAGATGGATTATCTAAAGTACGTTAACAATGGTCAGCATTCGGCATACCTCGGTCCCGAGATCTTACAGACGCCGAGGGTTGCCGAATGCAATGGTCAGCTATGACAATAATAGTAAATAGGATACTAATCTATAATTAACAATAAACATTACATAATCAAGGTCCCAAGTAGTCATCTAAGCAAATGAATGAATGGCTGTCACTTAAATACTACCCATTAACAACTATAAACGATTATTAAGTTTAAAATATAATTATTGTTTATTGTAACCATGAACCTCTTATAGTCGGCGGATATTGAGAGGACAGATTGTTTATCTTGACGACTGATGGGATAGACAGGAAGGCAAACTGAAGGGCATGTCTTTGATGATACGTTATTTTGTAATTGCTGTTCCTTAAGTTACGTAGCCTGTTGGTCATTACTGCGCCCAATACTGTACATTGTTATTGTTTTAAGTATTATTACCAGAATAAGGAATTATACCAAGAAGAAAAGATTGTTTAATTATTGTATGTTCAATCTTATAGGCTACTCCTAGACCTAACTGGGTAGAGATTAAACATACAACCTATCCTTAAAAGTTGCTCTCATGACATAAGCAAACCTTTTCAAGCCATAAGCAGTGCTCAACCTTCGCTACACCCCCATCAAACAAAGGTTAATAACTGAAGGATTCTGAGATAATGTAAACAACATGGCTGACTTTGGACAAAAGAAATGCAATTCTTCTATAAGTTCGAGAAAGTCAACCCAAAGTCGAAATGCAAATACAGACAACCAAAGCCAAACTAAGGATGAAGTTGACCTAATATTTTCTGCTACCTATGGACATTTTGAAACATTGTTAAAGGTACTTGTTAAAGGTATATCTCCATATAGTAAAGGTTCAAAGGGCCGTTTGCCCTTACATAATGCTTGTGTTGGTGGCCATGATGAATGTGTCAAGATATTGCTAGATCACATGACTGATATTGAAGGAACCGACTGTGATGGAATGACAGCAACTCATCTAGCTGGTTTACATGGAGAAATGAAGTGTTTGAAGCTTCTGGTTGCAAAAGGTGCTAATTTAGTAGCCAGGGACAATAAAGGCAGGCAGGCAGCACATCTGGCAGCCATGAGAAATCATTCGAAAGTTCTACGTTTTCTGTTAGATAAAAGTGTAGATTTGGATAGTCAGTGTAATTCTGGAAAGACCCCTTTGCATTATGCAGCACAATATGGTAGTTTTGAAGCATTAGTGAGTATGGTTGAAAGAGATTGTGATATGACAATTGGGGACAATGGTGGCTATTTACCTGCTCATTATGCTGCTCACTATAATAAATTAGATTGTTTAAGATTTCTAATAAAACAAGGGACATCACTAGAAGCAACAAGTACAGAAGGAAAGACACCCGCACATACTGCAGCATTATATGGTTCAGTAGATATTTTACACTGGTTACTAGAGAAAGGTTCAGACCCAAATACACAAGACAATTTGGGTAATACGGCAGGTCATTATGCAACTGAAGGTGGTAAGGCCGACTGTTTTAATTGTTATCTCCAACATGGAGGAGTTGTAGACATACAGAATTTGAAAGGGGACACGACTTTAGATAATGCTCGACGATTCGGTCATCCGTTATTAATGGAGAAAGCACTTAAAAATGAAATAACATGTCCTGAGTGTTTCCATCATTATCAGAAGATTGAATGGGATAAAACTAACCAACCTACTATTGTACAGAAGAACATTACGAACAACAAAAGAACTGCCTATGTATCGCCTCTACCACCTAAACAAAAACCATCCACTCAGTTACAACAAAATATGTTAATACGAGAGACAAAACACCAACAGCAGCAAGCAAATTTACCAACAAGAGATTTAGCTGCTCAATTTTTTGGTCAACATTTAGATCCTAATGATGTCTTTAAATTGAACATCTAAGTTCAGATCTTGTGATAGATTCATATTTATTCATGGCAGTGCAAATCTTGAAGGGATTAATTAATTTTTTTTGTTATCTTATTTTATTCCAATATATTGCTATGAATTATTGTGAACATATATATAGCCTATTTTTTATATAGATAGCTCATGTTATGTTGGCTGTAGGGAACTATCCCAATATGACCATCATAAAGCATATGAGTTACGTTTTAAAAACCTACGATACAATCCCATTTTGGTAAACATAAACTTATGTTATATCGATATATTGCAATACAATCGTTCGCGATACACTGTATCAATACATTTTTGTGGTATCTATATATTTTTCTACTTTTATTTTATATTCAAATGTTAGCTAGACTGTTTATAAAATAATAAAACATAATTTATATGGAAAACAATCACTGAGTTTATTTCACACTACATGTACATTTCAACAAGTTCCTCTTGTGTTCTCAAGTAAATAATGACAGTGTAATGGCATATAAATTTTCTAAATAATTTGTGTTTTATTATTATATATTCAATTACTAAATGTTGTATAAGGATTTCAACTGTTTATAAAGACTTCATAATCAATCATATTATTTAGACTTTGCAGTATAACCAATAAGTCTGCAAAGACAAGACCAAAGTTGTAAAAAACAAATAAAGTGAAATGTGTATTCACATAATCAGTCATATGATAGTCTTTGTAGTAAACAAAAAGTGTCCAAGACCAAAATAAAACTATTCAAAATAAAACTGAGCTTTGTGATAAACCCTGACTTTATTGAAGTATTGCAATACTACAATAATGTATATTGCAATATGATTTTTGGCCACAATACACAGCCCTGATTTTAAATCTATTTTATTTACCTAATTATTTCTCCTGTGAGAGAGAGAGAGAGAAATGGGGTTTAAAGTCCACTCGACACAAACAAGGTCATTTTGGAACACATGGTTCAGTTTTATTTCAATAATTTGCTTGTGCGTAGGGGTCTTTTCAACCCCCCATTTCTCCTGTGAGATACATATTGAATTAAACAGACACTGGCATGAGTGAAATATTGTCCTTATAAAATCATAGAGTAAAATTCTTTACACACCAATGTTAACTGGTCCTTTTTGTCTAAATTTAGGAGAGACCTAATAATCCAGCCAATAGCTATCACGTCAGATATAATTTATACTATGCATTGAAGTCTAACAATGGAGGGATTAACAACTGGTCACTGACCAAACTCTCTATAAACAAACCATTGTTTTAGATCTCAATTTAGTAGTAATATTTTGTAGTTTAACTGTCAAAGTGTCATAATTGTCTATGATATATTTTGTAGAACTGTAAATCAAATGCAGAGTGATCTATGATCTAGAACGGATCGGATCTCTTTCTTATAGAGAGAGAGAGAGAGAGAAATGGGGTTTAACGTCCACTCGACACAAACTAGGTCATATCGGGACTAACACATGGTTCAATTTTATTTCAATAATTCGCTTGCACGTAGGGGTCTTTAGAAGTGGGAGGAAACCGGAGGACCCGGAGAAAACCCACGAGGTTGGACAGGCGACCCTACTCCTTGTCACATACAACCGGGGAATCAAAACCCTGCCAGTTGACTCAATGACAGACCGTACAGCATGCACATGCTAACCATTCGATCATCCCCCCCCCCTTCTTTCTTATAAATACTTGAATTATCTATATTTAATAAATCACATAGAAGTTACGTGGACTCAATCTTACTTGAATAAGACCAGAAACAATGTAGTCACACATGTCACCACAGTCTGTCACGTTCTTATGATTACCTTTCTATGTTTTAATTAATTACAATTTCCTAAATTAACTTTGGGTACCAATCCTGACGTGAACTCGGCCTGAAAGTCTTAGGTTTTGGTTCAACTCTATCCAGCAAAAGACTATCTAGCATTTATTCTTAATTATCATTAACTGGGATTACTAATTACTGCTAGTAGTCTTTCAACTCAGATATTCCATACCCTAACTCCCTATGTTGACAAAAATTTCAACTGATCTGTGTAGCAGCTGATCAATGAGAACTGGTTATCACAACTTGTGTCAAACACCAGGATTACACGTATATAATTGAACAGCCCTTGTTAAAAAAGGATGTTTAATTTGGTTTTAAGTGGACAGGTTTGTAAAATTTGAGGCAAACACTGACACGCTGAGTAAGGTGTTGGCTCACAAAACCAGAGTCCTGGATTCGATCTCAGTGTTGGCCAGGCAAATCATCAGGAGTTTTGCCCCCTGCCAGTGGTGTATGATATTGATGGAGCACTTTAGATCATAAGGTCTGTCACTGAATCAAGTTTTCATGAATAAGATTCCTGATTAAAATGGGAGCGAATGGTCTAAGCCTAAGGCCTCTGCTTTAGATCATAAGGACTGTCATTGAGCCATGCAGTGTGGTTTTGATTCTGAGCTTGTACATGACAAGCTAAAGACTCCTATGTGCAAGCGAATTATTGAAATAAAATTGAACCTTATGTTGTTAGTCCCAAAATGACCTAGTTTGTTTCTAGTCAATACAGTAGGTTTACCTTTTCCAAAACATAGGTAAATTGAGTTCTTTAAAATCTGGCACCAGATCTAAGTAAGGTCTCCATGTTGACGTAGGGTTATTATATTCATACATCAAAGATATCAATAATGGAACCCATCCACTCTCACTAAGAAGATCATCTGCTTCTGTTTAGGGAAACAAAATAACAATATTATTTTATCTAAAATATATAATGAATTTAAATCCTGAAAGCAATTGATTCAAAGAATGATACATGTGGCAATATAAAGGAAAATATTGCCTTCCACTGATTTTAAATGTGTGGTAGTAGAGGTTAACAGATTTCAAATATAACTTTAAAGTAAAGATCTTTGCCATGATTTGGTTCATTCGTAATATCTATACACATGTTCCAGGTGCAACATAAATAAAGGACTGATTGTTACTGACTGAAGTATAGAGTGGTGACAGCTAATTCTCTTATAATTCCTTGACTACAAAGAGTTGTAAATTGAAACTATAAGCGTATATTCAGAACATACATGTATCCTACTTGTGGCTGGCTGTTCTTGGTGTGGGTTCAAGTTCAAGCTGATATCCCCTCACAGTCTCATTTTATAATTCTTTTTTTTTAAAAAGAAATTATAAGAGTTGAAAGTCGACTGTGTTGGCCTACTTGTTTGTTACCTATCTTTACTTCAAACAGTAACTGGCCCCCTTTATTTGTTACAAAGTCATAACCAAGACATGTTAAGATATTGATATTTTTGTACAGTTATTATGATTTAATAAAAAATAATAATATATTTATTGTCAGCATTTTAATTATACAATGATCAAGCAAAATTTGAGATTAATTTGGTCGATTTTGTGGTATCGTTGGTCTGATTTGTCTAAATACCATTACAATATTATATTCTTACCATTTTTTAGAAGATCTGATATGGAGGATGTTTCACCATGTAATAATATAGACCTGGGTACCTCGAATAGACATTCTCCTTCTTTAATATGATCTTCAGCTATCATACCATACTGGGCACATGATCCTTTCTTACCAACTCTCACCTGAGATATATACAAATATTGTTTTATTAATTGGTGCAGCTCAGTAAGACGTTGGCTTGCTGAACTGGAGGTTAAGTGTTCGATCCTGGTGTTGACCGAGAAAGTTCATCAGGATTGTCTAGAATGGTTCCCCTTTGTCAGTGGTGCAGGACAGAGGGTCTAGCAAGGGACAACATGTAGTTATTCCAATGTGACAAAAAGCTGAGGTTCTGTGTAGCCATGGACCTTATAATAAAATTATAAGGTCTATGGTGTAGCCTAGGGAAGAGCGGGGATGGTTCGGACAGTGGGATTGTCTGGACACCCCCATAGCTTTAATCTTTACAATGCTCTGTTTTCTGATTGGTTAATTAAATACTAATGATCTCATCTTGTAACATAGAAAACATATGACAGAGTTAAACATTCAAATGTAGATACAGATAAGCTTTTTTCTATTTTAGACAAAGTTGATGTAAAAAAAATTCTGAAGTTAAATGGTTAAATTAATTTGGTGGTTAACCGGTTTCTTTTTGGATTACACTGTTACCTCTTTGTTCATTTGCTAATTGGGGGGTTGGATGGCCGAATGGTTAGCACGTGCGTGCCGTATCATAAGGCCTGTCATTGAGTCAACTGGCGTGATTTCGAATCCCCGGATTTAAGTGACAAGGATTAGGGTCGCCTGTCCAACCTCGTGGGTTTTCTCCGGGTCCTCCGGTTTCCTTCCACTGCTAAAGACCCCTATGCGCAAGCAAATTATTGAAATAAAATTAAACCATATGTTAGTAACAAAATGACCTAGTTTGTGTCGAGTGGACGTTAAACCCCATTTCTCTCTCTCTCTCTCATTCGCTAATTAACAGATATAGATTGAAAATTTATCATATGTTCATTGTAAATACATTTGTAAACATAATGGCGGCTTACATCAGAATTATGGGTTTGGGTTATATTCGTACGGGTACTGCTTTGCTTCCATTAAATCAAATTCTGTCAATTCTTCTCAAATCCCTGTCCAGTAGCAACAAGGGGATGAGTTATTACTACAAATTTGGTCTGTCATTTGCTGGAATAAACATTTGTTAGCATTTTCGATGTAAATTATGGATTGATGTCATACCTAGAGAATAGCAAGCAGCTTTAAAGTTTTAGAATTATCAGTTAATTGATAATTCCTATTTGAATACGTTCATTTATTTCAGTCTAGTCCAGTCCAGCTATACTAAAAATATGCCTCAGTAAGATGACATTAAGCTTTAAATTTATCACTACTGTGTGAACTTTTTGAATAAATACAACTAAACTGTGAAAGAAATCTTTTCAATTAGCTTTTTTCCCCATCCTCCTCTACTTGTCCAAATAATCACCCAGTGGTGGCCGGTGTCTCGCTGCTAATGGGGTAAATCCGGACATTTTACTACCCCCCCCCCAAAATAAAAAATTGGTCTAACACAAAGACACTTTGATAATTATAGTTACACAGCTGTATCACTGACTGAATTTTCCATTCTTAAGTTCAGAGACAAGTGCATTAGTAGTTGCACAAATGTGAAAAAACTCAAATGTGTCCAGACCATTCCCAATCTCCCCTACATTGGCAGTTGGAATTAGACATAAGAGTATACCAGAGACATAAGAGTATACCAGAGTGCCACTCTCCTGGCAAAATCTCTCTTCATTAGCCAAAGGGGAGCCAAACTGTAGGACGTTAAGCCCCTGGATAATATTTAGCAATAAAACCATATGGACCTTATATTATATATATATATAATGTATTATAAGGTCCATGATTAAACTAATTACATGTATTTACACTTCTGTTAGCTCGCTAGAGGCGCCACTGATACTACTTTTATCAATGTCCAAAAAACTGACCGTAAAATGTGTAGTTTTTCTTCCCCCACTTCGGGAAGTTTAGAACACCAACATCAACCACTTTGCACTTTTCGTGTTGAGAGTTTGTGACGAGCAAGGTTTGGACATTCAGAAACATATTTACAACTTATTTTTTATATTTTGAAAAAATAAAATTATCAGCAAAAGGGAAAAAACGGCGCTCGTCAGTCCTCACTAAATGTAAACGTATTTTCTCATAGAAAGACCCCAATATCAAAGGAAATAAATTATATAGCCCAAATTTAAAAATTCCAATAAATAGTTAATGATTGGATGGATGTTTCCTGAAAATTTGATGCCTATATCTTCAATGGTTGATGAGCAATTGTCTTTGGTCACTTTTTTTTGCAAATTTAAAAAAAAGTGTATACTGACATCGATCAATTTTGGGTCATAATGGTGCAATAACATTCTTCTTTCTTAATCAATTTTGAAATTTTTGGGGGCTTCTTAAATGGAAGAGGGGGTGGAAAACTAGTAAATATTCAATTTTAGTCAGATTTAAAAAAGCTTTTGCATTGCTACTTCTGTTGTAATTTGTAAATAAAAATGCCTCAATACTTTACTTATCCTTACAAAATTATATCATTTCTATTAGAAATGGTTCCACTTCTGATGACCTCCGCCTTACTCCAGTCACATTATTTGCTCGTCTTACGCAAGTGACGCAAGTTTTTTAGTCAAATGACTACAAAAAGTTTACTGGCCTATAACTACCTTCATTTACACATAAATTGACCCCAAACTGTTATGACATGTGTTGACATTGTGCGTTTGAACCGATTTGAACTTGCGTAAGAAGTCCAGTTTAACGCCAAATTAACGGTATATATATAATTGGGAGTGTTACATTTGTAGCTACATTTCTATCAATGCAGAGAAAATGTTTAAAAGTATACTTATGAATCATTGCAAAACTCAACATGAACATGCCACATGGTAGTGTGGCAACATTTTTCTAGTCGGCAACTGAACAAACAACCTGAACTATGAATTGAATCATATGATTATGATGAAGTAACGGTACATCGGCTCTGGATCATCTCCTCCTATTTTTCAGAATTGTGAAAACTAATTACTTTGACATTCAGTCGAAATTTGTTGTCGTCCGACCATTTCAAAAAAGAAGTCAGCTGAATATCACTCGTCTCTTGCGATGATAGTTTTGTGGGAATTTCACTTTGGTCCTCAACTTCGTTTCTTTTAGATTTCGTGGGCGCAGCCATTTTTTACAGACTTTCTTTAGTTTTCATTATAAAAGAAGCACAAGGGGGATAACTATTGTGAAAATGTACTTTGGCTGTAGGCCTACAGTTTTTGTTTGGTTTTAATATAAGCCAATAATTTTTGTCTTTTTACACCTGGTAAGAAAAATACTGTCTGATTTTCAAATATTTTATACTCCCATAATGACATCCCAACACTTCAGGGAAATGACAGTCATCTATCTAGAGATGATCTACTAGTACTATTATGATTTCATTAAGTACTAAGTAGCCTATCTTTCTGAAATATGTTCTGCTGATTAATGTTTTCAACAACACATTAGATTTTACCCCCCCCCTTTCCTAAAGATATGCTTATCATTATCATTGCATACCCTAGCTCTGTTCGTTAGCCTAGTTGGTGCAGAAAAATAGAAAGTTAAAACCCATTTCAATAGGAATGCAGCACAGAAGATGGTATGTTAATAAAATTATGTTGTCTGGCAGCTTATAATTATTTTCATCTTACAAATGGCATGTAGAAAAAACTACTTTTATTCTGCAAAAAAAGTCATACCTGGTATTCAAACTCTTGTAGGCATACCTGGTATTCAAACTCTTGTAGGCCACACCAATTATATTTTGATGACAATAATTTTTTGGTAAAGGTTAACTATTGGTAGGCCTATTCATTGGCCATAAATATAAATGTATTGTTTTCTCTGGTTGTTATCTTTCTGTGAAAATATGTGATCCAATATCTAAGACATAATGAACATTTTAAAATTAGTACATGTGTTGTGTACGCTGTGGTTTTTGGTGCTATTTGTAATCAACAAAGAAAACATATATAAAACAATGCGGAAGTAATTAGTAATGACTGATTCACAGAATAATAATTTAAAAAAACGTGTAGAATGGACTACACAGATCATATGTAAACAACTCTCATTCAAATTGGACTGTTCGTGTATTTCATCGATCCTAAATGATTAGAAATTACTATAAATATTTTTAAAATTGAATATAAGTCACTTAATATACATTCTTATTACATACAACTATATGTACTTTTAGACCCATTTAATACTCCGAAGAATAGAGCCATATGCCCTTTAAGCTGAATTTATTATAAATGTATTTTGGTTTTCATTCTAGAAAGAAATAAATAGTGTTTTAAAAAAAAAAGAATTTAAAATGGAGGAAATTTTGAAAAAAGAATTGAACACAGAGAAAGTGGTTTTGTTAGGTTCCAGCAGTGGTGGATGTATTAATGAGGCTAAGACATATGAGACTGATCAAGGAAAAATATTTGTTAAGACCAACACAAAATCTGGTGTATGTATTGCCATTATTTTTATACATTCATATTTAAATGTTGCTGTATATTGTCATCAATCTTATCCATCCAGTATTATACCTGTTTGTCTCTCACTAGTGGCTGAAATCACCAGTCGATCTTTTTTGACATTGAGTCAGGGGTCCATATTATGGAAAACAAGATGACTTGATTTTCAAAAATTTGTTCAATTATTGTTGTACACAATTGGTTACTAAATCATGTAAAAAAAATATACAGTAGATGTAGACTATTATTAACTATTTGATTATTGATGCATGAACAGCAAAGCTTTTGTTGGGCTTATGTTCTGTTGTCTGGCAACCTATTTTTTTACATTTTAAAATATAAGTAGAGAGATGAATTCAGATGTGTCAGTAAATTAAATTAACAAGCAGAACATCTTTGGTTTGGATTCTAGGATTTCATCAACCAAAAAGAGTTTGTTGTGATGTACATCAGTACTTCATTTAATCTTTATACAACTCACATAGTTGTACCCATTTATTCTATTTTTATCTGAACTGTTTCTGGTACAGTGTGGAATTCATTTAAGTTGAAAAAAGTAAAGGTAACACAGGTTATATGGTTACGTTCATTACTAATAAGCACTTTACATATTCCTCAGTGCTGGATTTACCTGTGCAGTTTGATGTTTAGGCTCCTGTCAAGTTGTATAATAGTTTTGACACTGTCATAAGCATTTCCTACACGCATCCTCCTCTGCTCAGCTCAGTTGTGTTTAAAATACATCTTCCTCTTGTCGTAAGGGTGGGGATTGGCATGGGCTTTATAAGTGGAATAGCCTAGGGCCTTTCTTCATCTAAATCTGGTACTGTATATACTTGGGGTAAGTTCTGTTCCGGATTGATCTGTTTATCTATTGAGATTCTTATGAATATGGTTTCAGGCCATTTTGAATACCAATATAATTCACATTTATTTCAATCTAGAAAAAGTTACATGAAATATAATTCACATTTATTTCAGTCTAGAAAAATGTTTGATGGAGAATATGCTAGTCTTGTTGCTATAGATAAAGTTGGTGTTGTCAAAGTTCCTAAACCATACAAGGTAATATACATTTTATTTCAAGTTAATCTTTTATTTTATTCCAACTTGCCTAATACTCTTGTATTTACCATAGAAAAAAAAAATTGTTACCTATTTTATATTATGGGGAATAATGGGTTCTAAAAAAATAGTCATTACCTCTATTAATTATTACCTGCCAGTACATACGGTATGTTTTATATATGATACAGGTATAAGGTATCTAAAACATTAATTGTCACCTTTATTATGGTAGTGTTTGAAAAATAATGACTTTCATCATTACACAGGGCTAATATACCGATACTTTGAACTTGATTTGATGCAAACAATCAGCAGTTTGTATATGTTTTTATTTGCATTTCTAATAATTTCTATTAATTTATTTTACCATTGGTAATGATTAATTAAGCTTATGTGTACATGGATGTAAACAGTTTAGCAAAAAGGAAATAATGCTAAGGTGTTCCCAGGAGACTAAGGGGAGATAACTTTGGTGTATCTTTAAAGTTTAAACTAATTCAAGAAAATGTTCATGATCAAAAGTGACAGAATTGTTATTTTTTAGTTGATAATAAAAGGTAAATTAATATTATATAGACTGGTACTATCTGATTGACAGGTGATTGATCTACCAGAAGGGGGAGCTATTTTTGTTATGGAAAATTTAGATCTATCACAAGGTTTATCAAAGTTTGCATCACTGCTTGGACAACAGATGGCAAGGTATAAGAGTTATATATAATGGGTTCAGGTGGCTGATTTTGTCACTCATTAAGGGGTTGTTGCAGAATTTTCAACGAAACTGCGGATTGAAAATGATAAATTAAATGTGGGTTATTTAATATGTTAACATTTACTCCGACTGCGCAGACAGGCTGGTGGATGGGTGAGGATTTTTCATTAGAACTCAAGTGTTGAATTTTTGCGACCGTTGCAGGTTTCTCATCTGTGCAAATTATGATCCCATCAATTATTGACATAAGGATGTACTATATACTGGCATATTATATTAGCCCTGAAATTACCTGGTTTACCCTATTGTTGAGTGGATGTTAAACCCTAATTTCTCTCTTTCACTACTTGTAGGAATTTGTGTGCAACCTGTGGCCTAGAACACTGTATTTCATTGCCATAAATTAAATTTACAAACTTTTTGATAGTCAATAAAATTTGTTTGAATGGGAGAAAATAAGAGTAGGCTGTAGTGCCACTGTCAAAAATGGACTCTAGTGCCACAGTCAAAATTTCCCTCATAGCACACTACCTGGCATATGCTTGTCTTCATTAGCCTGGTTGGTGCAGAAAGTAGAACATTAAACCCTATTTCATTTTATTAATCAAATTATTAGGCTGTCATTGAATTAGGAAAGTGAATATTTGGCATGTTTATCAATAGATCCAATATCTTAACTAGCCCGACATTTTTAATCAGTAAACTTTTCATTGTTACTGCTAATTTTCAAATTGATTCAGTTACAATTGTCAATTTCTTTTCAGTCTGGGGATCACAGTGGCTAAGTGGGTAAGATGCTGGCTCTCTAGCCTTGAGTTCGGTGTTCGATCCCTGCATTGGCAGAGAAAGTTCATCCAGATTTTCCGACGTGGTTCTCCCTTGTCAGTGATGCAGGACGGAGGGCCTAACATGGACAGCTGTCTAGTCGTTCAGATGGGGCAAAAAAGCGAGGTCCCTTATACACATTGGCATGCACGTTAAAGATCCCTTGACAGTTGGAATTCGATATTAGAGTAGGCCATAGTGCCACTATCCAGGCAAAATTTCCCTCATAGCACACTGTACGGCGTAAGCCCGTCTTCATTTGCCCAATTCGGAGCAGAACAGTAGGAGGTTAAACCCCATTTCATTTCATTTTTTTCTTTTCAGTCTTCATTTACACAATTCTAAAACAAGACAAGCTATAGCCAAGGCAGAGGGTCATATAGGTAAAACTGATAAATTAACATATATAGATAAATATGGTTTTGATGTACCAACATGTTGTGGTTATATAGAACAGTGTAATACATGGAACAGTGATTGGATAGTACGTTTTACACATATATATTATATTATTGTATACTAGGGCTATTATTAGAATCAGGAGCCATGGTGTCTCAGTGGGTTGGGTGCCGGCTCACTAACCAGGACGGCCGGACAAGAAAAGGGTCTAGTTGTTCAGATAGGATGGAAAAACTGGTGTGCCATGAACATGTTGGCATGCATGTAAAGGAACCCTTGACAGTTAGAATTCGAAATAAAAGTAGGCCATAGCACTGCTGTCCTGGCAAAATGTTCCTAATAGCACACTGTATGACATATGCCCATCTTCATTAGCCCAATTGGTGTAGAAAAGTAGGACGTAAAACCCCATTGCAATTCTTATTTTTCAGTCTTTAATCATTCAAAATGATTTCCACTAAACCAATCTTGGACCATGAGTCTTTCATAGCCACAATCCTCAGAAACTGACACCAGTCTGACTGACTGAAATCACTCTTGGAACATTGAACGATTTGTCCGGACTTTGTTGTTTCTCCTAGTATTGAACTGAAATCTCATTGATTTGGAGGAGTCAAAATCCTTGATTTCTTCTGATATTGACATAACTGTACTTTCGTCATTTGTATAATTTTTCTTTTGCAAAAATGAGAATTAGTAATGAAAACAGCTCTTTTACTTAATCAAGGGGGTTTGGGTGGCTAAATGGTTTAACACAACCTCATGTGTTTTTCCCGTGTGCTCCAGTTTTCTCCCATTGCTAAAGACCCCTACGCACGGGCTCAAGTAAATTATTGAAATAAACCTGAACTATAGTTAATGTCAGTGGATGTGAAAGCCCATCTCTCTCTCTCTCTCTCTCTCTCTCTCTCTCTCCTTGTAGATAATTGTAGCAATGATGGTTCTTCTTGATGATATAATATTGATTCGTATATTTTTCAGTCATTTTACAGTAATAAATTAGAGTCACAAGTTACGCTTGCTGAGTCACAGGTTAGTTACATATCGTACACAGTCTATTATTACATAAGTCAACATTGTAATATGTCGGATAATTTTGCCACTACCACAGGTCAGACTTGTGAAAGGTTTTATGAAATTTGTAGTGGATCTTCCTATGGTCATAAGGCAGATCCCTATTTAAATTCAACAACATTTAAGTGTTTGTGTCAGAGTTGATACCTATTAATACTGTTTCCAAGATTTTCAAAACAATTTTAGGGTTTTTTGTATCTGGGATCTGAGTGCACCACTAAGTTTCCTCGGAATTCAGTATGTTAAATCTTTTACTGAAACAATGAAGTCTATTTAGTGAATGTTTACAAATTTTAATGTCTATCAAGTGGCTGTCTAATTTTGTTGTATTCTTGAAAATAAATTTTCAAGGATTGAGTTGAATTTGGTCTCCAAAAATCTTCAAGTAAATCAGAATCTGTGATTCTATCAAATTTGAAGGCCTCCACAGTAATATTTATATTATTGTGTTGAGTTTATATTAAATGACAAGAATATATTTTGTTTTTTTCTTATGGCTAATAAATATTTGGATTATTTCATCAGTATGGTGACAGAGAAGTTAGAGAGTTATGGAATACCTTAAATCCAAACATACATAAACTATTTACAAATGTTGATTTGGAACCTGCCTTACTTCATGGAGATTTATGGAGTGGAAATGCAGCAGAAAATTCAGATGGCCCAGGTAAATACCAACATTGAAATATAATTTGATTAATTTGTTTGGCACCCATAGAGAATTAGTTGATTTTTATGGATCACTATACCTCTGTGCATGTTATATGAATGATTCGACAATGCTGAATTTTGAACCGAACTGTAACAATGAAATAGAATATTACGAAATTTGGTTATTCATATAGTTTTGTATCTTAAAGCAGCATACCAAGAAATATTTTAGTGAATCAAATGCAGTAATTCTATATTGAAGACTATTAAAAACTTTGTCTCCGTAACTTCATGGATTATGGCCCCTGATTGTACGAAAAATCACGTTTTTAACTTGTGGACACTCTAGAGGTCACAATTTTCATCCGATTTGGATAAAACTTGAAATGCAGGTTTGAAACCCAAAGATTGATATTCGCGCATATCGGATAGTAACTTCCTGAATTATGGCCCCCGATTGTGCGAAAAATCACGTTTTTTAGCTTTTGGTCCCTCTAGAGGTCACAATTATTCTCCAATTTTAAAAACTTACGACTATATCACCATTACACCGTAATGTCGGTTGAGTTCAAATTTTGTGAAAATCGGACCAAAACTGCCAGACAAAATGGCCGCCCCTCGTACGCAAATAGTGTAAAAAATATGGTATATCATTGTAGACCCTCTAGAGGTCACAATTCTGATTCGATTTTGATGAAACTTGGGATACATGTTTATAGCCCAAAGATCTTGGATCCTCACGATATTCACACATATAGGATGAAACTTCCTGAATTATGGCACCTGCTTGTACAAAACATCACGTTTTTAGCTTGTGGTCCCTCTAGAGGTCACAATTATTATCCGATTTTAAAAAACGTTTAATTATATCACCGTTACACCATATTAATGGTTGAGTTTAAATTTCATAATTATCTAGAGGTCACAATTTTTATCTGATTTTGATGAAACTTAAAATATGTTTATATCCAGAAGATCTAGGTTCTTGTAGATATTCACGCATATCGGACGCTAACTTCCTGGCTTGTGGCCCCTGATTGTACGAAAATCGCTTGCAAAATGTGGGCGTATCTTGCATGGCAACTGACGAAACTTTAAAATGTATGTTTATATCCCAAAGATCTTGGTACCTTTCCATATTGGCACATATCAGACCATAACTTCCTGGATTATGGCCCCTGATTGTTATCTGTCCATCTCTTGCAAAATTTGGTTGAATCTTGCATGGTAACCGCTTGTTATCCATAAGATCCTAGATTAGTTCTAAATTGCAGCAGCTTTGTTATTTCCATCCTTATTTTTATTCTCAAAGTTATATTGATGAATGGAAAGAAGAGGGGAAAACGGCAATACTCCCTTAAAAGAGTATCATAGGCTGGACAGGCCTAGCAAATCTGTGCAGCTGCTGGATCAAACAATGATGCTGACAGAAAGAGTAGACGTTAATAGATATTTAAAAATCCCCTCTCAACATTAATAATCTTGTATGGTAATGATCACAGATTTTCAAGTAAAATTTTTGAAAGCAAATATGAATTAATTTTTGTATTTCAGTTGTATATGATCCTGCTTCTTTCTATGGTCATTCAGAATTTGACCTTGCTATATCTTGTATGTTTGGTGGATTTGGACAAGATTTTTTCACTGCCTATCATAAAGTTCTACCAAAAGCAGAGGGTTTTAAACTAAGATTAGACCTTTATAAACTGTTCCATTATTTAAACCATTGGTAAATATTAAATATTCTTTGTTTTTGTATACCCTTATTTATATATTATGGTCCCGTTCATTCGATTGAGAATGCAATAAAGTCTAAATTTTCCAATCAATTGAATAAAATCTGGTGTGCCACTTTATATCTATGAGATCGTTGAACAAGATTCATAAATTCTTTGCTGAATTATTGCCCATGACGTAATCAAAACACGTAAAAATAGCTTGTGAAGACAAAAATTATCCGATTTTAATGAAAAGAAATGGGGTTTTATGTTCTGTGTTTCTGTGCTGACTACTCTAATGAAGACGAGGTATGTGTAGAAATTTTGCCCAGACAGCAGCGCCATGGCCTACTCTTATTTCGAATCCTAACTGTCAAGGGTCCTTTCAGGTGTACGCCAAATGCCTGACGACTAAACACTATCCTGTCCAGCACCACGGTCAACACCGGGAGTGAACCTGAGACTTCCTGGTTAGCGAGCCAGCGTCTTACTCACTGAGCCACCAGAGATTTTACTGAAGCAGCTAGTGAACGCCCTTGTTACTTTACTTATTTATTCACAGTGAAAAGCAAAACCCCAAAACTAGTCTGATTTTTTAGTGTGTCAGCTATTTGAGATACTGATGTTTTAAATTGCTGGGATTTTTTAATCGCTTCTGTGGTTATGTTGTCTACTGTAAAGCTATTCCTCTCTGTTCGTGCTGGTGTGTATGGTTATAGGTTTCGAGTCTTTTGCTGGCTCCCCAGTCACGTTGATATAAGGAGGAATGATCAAGCAGATTTTGCTGCCAAAGCTGCTTTAGATCTTCCCCAATCACCCTTTTTAATACCATATAAAGATTTTAAATCGTGTATAAATCATTTTATTTATGACCGCTGTCAACGGTCTTGGGATCTTGCAGGCACAAATAAACTTCATCACATTAAGCCTCTCCTAGGAGATTGGCCAAACTCCTATAGAACCAACAGGAGGGATGAGGTTGTTTTGTGTCGCACTCGCATTGGTCATACCTTTTTAACTCATATTTTCATTTTGAAACGAGAGCCTCAACCGGAATGTGTTCACTGTCATGTTCCTTTGACAGTGAAACACATCTTGATTGAGTGCAAACATCTCAAGTACATTAGATCTAAATACTACCGTTGCCAGTCAGTACGTCAGCTATTTGCTCAACCGGAGCTATATGACAAAGTGCTAACATTTTTAAAAGAGACAAACTTTTATTCTCAATTTTAATTGTATATATTTAATCATGTATATCTTTTTAAATATTTATATATGTAAAAGATTTGTTATATTTATTCTTAATTAATATAATTTCTGTGATATTTGTTTTTATTTACATATATAAATTCATTTATGTGATATCGTTTTGATTTGTCTTGTAAGGTTCACCATATGTTTGGCGCAATATAGCCCGGTTGGAGCTGACGTGCCATAAAACCATATTTCATTCATTCATTATAGGTTTCGATGTCTTTCAATGCTATATGTTAAGTAAATAATAGTCAGGTTTCCAAATTACTGTATTTCCCATTGTATATAATGCAGGTTGAGTTTGTCATTGGTGTTCTAGGGAAAACTGAAGATCTTGTGTTTAAGACCCACCCTTCTCCCTATAAGATGTCATAGCAGTCATACTCCCCCATAAGGCATTATACTCTCCATCATGCTCCCCAAAAGGCATGCTCCTCATAAGGCACCATGCCCCCCATAAAGCACCATGCTACCCATAATGTGTATAGTATATAAAAACATACCTGAAATCTATTTTTATTTTACAGGAACCATTTTGGTGGTGGATATAAAAGTTCATCTGTGAATATCTTAAAATCTTTGATCAAGGCTACAAGGTGATGTAAAACAGCACAATCTTTTTTAAGTGAGCGAAAGTCTGCCATTTTTTGATTTTAAAAGGATGTAATTGGTTTAGAATTTGGAATTAATTTTGTTAAATTTTTACCCAGCATTTACATTATGGAAAATAATTAAAATTTTAATTCCACCATAATCAAAATGGTTGTATAATATGATTGTTGATGATGATCGATTGTGGCGTACAATGATAATTATGTTTATTCATCATTTTATGACTTTTAAAATTAGATCTAATGCGCTCTATAAATGCATTATTATACATACATTATGCAAGAGCTAAATCTGATTATTGCAAGTCTTTATTTATAGACTTGTCATAGAAATTATAAATTAGATCTTTATTTACACAACAAACACAAAATCAACTCTGTAGACCCACGGAGGGCTTGGATTCAGCTTGGATTTAAACGGGATTTCGTTGACTGATTTAATTTTAAATGGTGTCGTGAGCGGAGATTAACCGTTACGTTGACGTCATACTCCCGAATCGAGGCTAAATGATAGAGTGTACGAGTGTACAATAAACTAAATACAGATAATGACAAATTATACAATTCCTGGAGACCGTGTGATGACTAATACAGACGGACAGGTCTTCTGTCTTAATAATATCAATAAAAATATTTTTATTTCCCCCAATAGGCACGACGCCACTGGTGTATACCTATAGATTTATCATAATTGTATTATAATATTATGTCTTATAATCAATTGATTTAGTGCATGCCCAAAATTCAAGTAAGAATGAAAATTTACCCTCTCACTCATTTTATCCATTTGTTATAAAAATTAAAAAAAGTAAAACACAAATTTGGATATGATGACAGCAGACAAAAGACTGCAGAGATTATGTAGGTGGAGTTAACGCCTGTCAATCAAACGATCAGCCATACTAAGAATCGGTGAAGATGGAATTCAATCCCATTTCTAGTCAAAAATTACACTGGTGATAACTATGATCAGAATAAAGTAATTTGACTGAAATTTTCAATATATTCTTCTTTCATCATCTATTTTTGAACTGTTATAGCAAGAATGGCTAACTCCTTATAAAAATCTCCCATAATGTATCTTTAATTTTAATAAGTATATTCATTAATTAATTGATCCAAATAAAAGGGATGTAAAAATATAATCAGATGATGTAGTATCAACCATAGCTTTCAATCATGGCTTTCATGTCAAGATTTTGACTTGAATTTTTATTGCAGTCACCTTTGAAAATGGGGTTTTAAAAATAAGCTAGTTTTACATATGCCTGCCATATATCACACTGTGATACCCCAGATAGTTCTATTAAACAATGGTTTTAAAACTGAATTAACTAAAAAATGTAATAATAAATGAAAAGGAATAAAAAATTGTAACACATTTTAAATAGATTTATATATTGTATACATGTAAATTATATAAATTACAGAAACTGAATTAACTAAAAAATGTAATAACGAATAAAAATGTAATAATAATAAAAAAAAAGTAATAAGAAATTGTAACACATTTTAAAGAGATCTATATATTGTATAAATTATTTAAATTGCAGAAAGAAAAGTAATTTACTCATTTCTATAAATAACCATGAAAAATAAATATAAATTCCAACATACAAAATTTACTTCCTTAAAAGTTTGTTGTGGATTTTTACACATAATAGATTCTTGTAGTTGCTAAAGATATTTGTTAAAATGAATGTGATTATCCCAATAAATATGGTATATCAGAACTTCTTCAGGCGATACCACACTAATCCTTGTCATTGCTTCTATTTAATCCTGGGGGATACTGGGTGGCTGAACATCCTCGGTATCCCCACTAACCCCTAGGTCCATTCATTAGGGAGACACATAGTCAAATTATCAACCCTTGATAATTGGGCGATTTTAATCGAAAGATAAAAAAAATCCGAAGGGAAGTAACTCAAATTTTATTGTAACTAAATCGAGCATGCAAACTGCTTTATTAATATAAACAATAACGCTAAGACTGGTATGTAAACTGTGTTTTGATTGCTTCGTAGAATCAACCTACATGCCAATGAAAGCATCAAGGGCAGATAATTTGAATTTGTGAAAACTCATGTGAATGGACACAGGGCTTAGTGGTGTCAAACGGAATGATTCCACTTGGGATACCAAGGATGGCAGCTGGATGTTCCAATGGCCCAACCACAAGAGAGTGTAGAGAAAAAGGACAACCAGATTCTGAACAGGCACTTAAGCTATGCCACCTAGCTAAATGCATGTGAAAATATTGCCTTTGCCTCTTACAACTTTTCAGCAAAATTGAAGGAATATTTTGAAAAAAAAAACAAATTTAGTAAAATAATTTAAAAAATGGCACATTGGCAATAAAGGACACTTACCATGGTACAAATATAGACAGGGGCGCTGCTAGACAAGATTCAACATTGAAACAACTAAACCACATGTTCAAAGGAAAATGGAAAATACTTTTTGCAAAAGAACTGAAATATCAATGAACTGTTAGCTTTTACTTCTTTTTCTATTTTAATGGGATGATAATAGTTCTTTTTTGAACTATACAATCCCTGATATTTGTCTCTAGTGGGGCCCCAGATATAGCGTCCACTTAATTTGTAGATTTTTCTCACAGGTTCTAGTCCAGCAGTTAATGTAGGAAAAGCTAACTCTAAAAAAAATTCATGTTTACAAAATATATCAGATATAAAAATAAATTTGTCTTTATGTCTTCTTGGAATATAATACACATCAGACATACCTTTAAAAGCTGCTTCTTTTGTGCGAGTATTATTTTTTAGCTGACTTAAAAATAAATTTATTGTCTTTTTAGCATCAGAATTCTTTTTAGATAACCCTTCCATTTCCTTAAGACTTCTAATAAAGCGCTCTCTACCATATTGCCCCCACCACCAATTACAAAACCTGCAGTCACTGATTTTCATAGCCAGTGTTCGAAGTTCACGATTGGCACCCCATATTTCAGTCAAAGGTAATGATTTAAGGCTCCATGGATTAATAATGGCATCGTCCCCCGTCATAAGATAACCGTCGACGTTGAACTTCATTTTCATTGCGTAATTCATACATCTCATTCCATTATAACCCTTGTTTGAATATATCTCAATGAATGACAGTCTTCGTGGATAAAGGGTTTGGGCCACTTGCTCGAAAGCCCTAATGTTGTCACCGCAGTAAAGAATATTTTTGAAGTGAACTTTATATAATTTTTCTAAATAAGGCACAGCCCCATAATGTGGATAATTGAAGAGAATAATCAGAAGTATATTGGGAAATTGTGTGAGATTCGATTGCACCATATCTTGAAGAGTTAATGAGAAATTTGAACATAGATTTGATATTTGTTTCATCTGAAACCATCTTGGTCCCTCTGGTGGTCGATTTCTAAATAAAGATGGCGGACTTTGTACAGTTGGCCAGAAATAAACTGGTTTTAGTTCATCTATTTTTCGCTGTTTGGATGGTTGAGGAAAAGTAATGGGTTTTAATACCCTCTTTGGTTCAGTATAATTCAGTGCTTTTAAATCATTAAGCCAAGCTTTTACTAATTTCACATCATCCACACTCAAGAATTCTTTTGTTGCCATGGTTGTTGTTAAGTCCATTATACAATAGAAAAATCCGAGGTTCAGACCACATTGCCACTTTTGTAATAGGTTTATTAGATTTTCGGATTGAAAGTACAGATCTTTTTCATTAACAGCTTCACTAAAATACGAATGAGGTTTCAAAATTCGTCGACCATTTGGGGGCAGGAAAGAAATAGTTCCACCAATTTCCCATAACAGACGTTGAGCCCAATAACCCCTCCAAATATCACTGACTAATTGTGGCGTACTGATTGGTAAAAGTAATGCCCACATAGCTTTGTAATGAAACAATGTGTTCTGTGCATTCAGAGGTGAGAACACATTTTCTGCGATGAAAACTGGTGGTGCCTGTCTATCAAAAGTAACATTTAACACGGATTCAGTTTTTTTCCGTGTCAAACGGATATAAGCATCAACATCAGAACTTCCTTCTGTCATAGTTTGTTGTATTAATGGAGTTTTCCAATGACCAAGGAAATAATGATGTGTTATATTTTCCCCAACAGAATTCAAGGGGTATCCGCGCGGCCATAATGTTGGTTGCCCAAAATGTCTGTATGGGTTAAAGATGGATGTAGTGTTATATCGTAAGCCATGAGATTTTTCCTCATAAAGAAAATCTGTCAGATTATCCCACGGATAGCTGGCACCATCTGTGTCATATATATATTTAGCACCGTGTTGAATCGCGTACATATATCCCATGCACTTATTTTTATTCTTTCCATGTGGTATAGACTCAAATATTTGATATCCTAGGTTTTTTTGCTTTGTTTGATCCAGCACTACACAGCTTGGTTTTCTAAAACATAGAAAATATAAATATACACAGGTGAGTCTAAAGATATATGGGAGCTGTGGTATCTCAGTGAGTGAGATGCATGCCCACTAAGCAGCTGTGCAGGATGGAGGGCCTGGCAGGGACAGCATCTAGTCATTCAGATGGGATTTAAAGCAATGTGTGCACGTAAAAGAAACCCTGACAGTTGAAATTTAATTTAAGAGTAAGCTGTACCAGCACTTTCCGGGCAATATTTCCCTTATAGCACACTGCATGGTGTGTGTATTCATTAGCCCACTGGGTGCAGAAAAGTAGGATATTAAACCCCATTTCATATATTTTATTTCTAAAGTTATTTTGAATGTATTATATAAATATATCTTTAATTACATTTATTTTCTTCTTGAAAGTGATACTTTAGGGATAGGGATCTGACAGACCTTTTGCCTGTTCCCCAATCTCCCATTTGAATCAAATCTTGCTAAGATTTAATAAGTGCTATAGATATTTGAATTATAAAGCTGGCAATAATTGAAATTAGTCCAAGAAGAATCAAAGTTATCTTGTTCCAAAGCATCGACCAATGAAATTGCTTACCTCTGTTTAGCTTTAGCTTGAAATGTTAATCATTGAACTCAGTCTAGACATTCACCTAATGAACATCTACATCAAGTTTAAACATTCTACCTCAATTAAAAGCAGAGTTGTTATGTTCCAAAGTCTTGACCAATCAAATTGCTTATCGATCCTTAGCCTAAGCAGAAAATTCTCATCATCAAACTTAGTCAAGGTAATGATATAATGAATCTATGCTCAAGCTTCATCACTCTCACTAATTAAAACCAAAGTTAGTGGCCCCAAAGCATCAACCAATCAGATTGCATTGACCTAATAAACACCTACACCATGTTTGAACATTCTAGCTCAATTAGAAAGAGAGTTATTGTGTCCCAAAAAGTGTGACGGACAGACAGACAGACAGACTGACGGACGAACCCATTTTAATAGTCCCCTGCTTTCTTCGAAAGGCGGGGGCAATTAGTGCTAGAACATTCGAATCAAATCTTGTACTACTTTAATAAGTGATAGAGTCATTTTGAATTAAAGATATAAATAACCCATCTTCAATAGAAGGCTTGATCTTTCTCCGTACATCTTATCAAGGAATTCACGTAATACCCTGCATATTTCGGCACTAATTTCGAATGGGTATTCACCCAGCTTGAAAGCCTATCAGATTCCTCGATCATCGCGAATACCAAGTCTCGCGCTTTCCAGCTAAAATATCCACCTGTGATAATCGAGTTGCGAAGTTCAAGATTCGTTCAATGTCAAGGGTTCGCGGAAGTCGCTATATTAAATGTCGCTGTATTTGATTTGAGTGCGTTAGTGTCACAACTTTTGATTGGATGCCACTGTTCACTTGTCTGCAGTAAAGGGAGAAAACGTAGCTACCGAATTAAAGCTGACAACTTGAACTCCCTAACTTTAGCCATATCAGTTTATATGAAGTCGACGTATTGAAACACACATATTGATAATTCTCTTTTAGAGGCATTTAGTAACTGGATAGAGCAATAAACTATAACACATACTTAAGGAAAAACAGCTACTTATTGATTTGGGCAACGTTTCAAAGAGTTACCAGCTGATCGTGACACCAAGGAACGATTTATGGTCACACGTTGATAGCCTATCAAGTTTTAAAGCAAAATAAAAAAAATGCATTATATACATAATTAATGAGGGCACGCGGCTCAATGCGTAATAAAAATGAAACTGGAATTAAATTATGAAAGGCAATATACCTGCATTGCAAGGTCGATGATTCACTATGATCATAAACTAATACTACCATCCAATCTGTTATATTCTGTAAATAATCTAAATTCTCTTGACTAGCTGTACGATCTGATACTACAATCCATTTATCATTCAACTCTACAACAGGTTTCTTTAAAATACTTTTATTGAATTGAACAGTATACCTGATAATAAAAAAAAATAAATAAAATATTACTGCCCAAGAGTAAAGCCTGGCCAGACGAGTATTTGGAAAATGTCTGGATGGCTGGGGTCTACTGGTAAAAAAATGGGTCAGCTAATGAATAATGGGGCATTAGGCAACCTAGCTACAATTATTTATCGTTAAACTGTGTTTAACGCTACAATTGATACAGTCGAAGACTCCTTACGTAAGTTTAAATAGGTTCAAACGCACAATTGTCAACACATATCATTACAGTTTGTTTTGAAATAAGTAATTCTATCACAAATAGTGAAGACTGGACCACTAAAATAGTTACCGAATAGTTTTTCTTTGTGGTAATGCGTTCTACATTTCCAAAGCGATGTTTCTTATAATGTGAAAGCCGCCATGATACCGGCGAGTAGAAATAAGTTCGGTAGTCGAGAAATTTCGCGTAGCAGTTGGGTTTCATATCATAATAATATAATTATGCGGTAAGGCTTCACCTTTATTTCAATAGAAATTGGTTTATTATATATTAATCTATGTGCAGTACAGTTTTGGGTCAGTTTATGTGTAAATTAACGAAGCTATAGGCCAGTAACCTTTTTGTAGTCATTTGACTAAAAAAAAACTTGCGCAAAGGAACTCCGTAGGACGAGCCACTACTGTGGCTGGAGTAAGGCGGAAGACATCAGTAGTGAAACCATTTCTATAGGCAACCAAGAAGGTGCAGGATTCCTGGGTGGGTTTTGAGGCCCAGTCCTGTACTGAAAGTCATTATTTTTATTCCCTCTTTCACGCACTATAGACACGAGTGCATTTTTTTTAGTGGAAACCTTGAATTTATACCCTCCAAAATTCAGGAATTTGAGACCAACCAGTAATCGCTGGTCAGAATTTGGCGATTTTCCGTTACGGAGTTAGCCCCCCCCCCCCCCAGTATTTAACGGATTTTTTTCATATACGGTGGAAAGCTCTAGGACCACGATCGGATGAACCTTAATATTCAACGTTCTGTGCCTTTCCAATCCCGAGATAATACCATCTTTGCCAAAAAACCTCGTGAACTCGATAGAGGCTATATTTTTGAACGGATTTCTTTCAAATTTGAGAGGAAGCATCGGGGTAATGTGAGAATGAACCGTTTTAATATCAAGCGTTCTGTGACTTTCTGTTCCGGATTACATATTGTTCAAGCCAGCTGTTCTTCATAAACACTTTTTAATACCCACTTAAGTTTTATAATTACATAATAATATCAGTCTTAATACTAACATAGTACATATTAGTGACATTTAAGAACCACCTGGCTTGAGATATATCTGAACCACCCGTTGTATTTGCCTTTAAAAATAGAAAAGTTGAATTTAATAAATAAACTTTAGTTCCAGCTGTGTACTCATTATGTAGGCTCAATATTGGTCTTTCAGAAATCAGTAATTTTAATTCCGTTGGAGGGAGGCATGGTTTCGATTCCCAATGGGAGAATTTTTCATCTAACCCAGGGTTGTCAAACATCCAGCCGCCGAGGGTTTAAATGTTGATAGCTTTTAGCGTGTGCGCCAGCTAGAAGTCACAATTTGTGTTCAATTTTAACAACTGTTTTAACCACCGTTATACCCTAATGGTGGTTTAGTTCGAATTTCGTGAAAATTCGACTGAAACAGTCCGACAAAATGACCACTCCTTGGTACGCAAGGAATCTTTTATCACGCCAGTTGACTCAATGACAGACCTTATGATACAACGCGCACGTCAGTTGACTCAATGACAGACCTTATGATACAACGCGCACGTGCTAACCATTCTGCTACCCAACCCCCCATCAGCAAATGGAATGTTCGTCATGTACAAAGTGGCAACAGGTGTTCAGAAGAGTAAGCTTATATACCCTGTCTGGCGACAAACTCGCCGGCTAGCTGCATCCAAACCATTCGAAGAAATCTCGGTAAAATTTAATCAGAAAATGACTTTCAGTAGCTAAAATGCAAATGATGAACAGTGGTAACAGATGTCGTAGATATAACCTGGAAAATATATACGCGTCAATTAAATTTATCTAGAATAATAGCTATATTTACGAATCAACAATATGACGGCCATAAAACGTTTTAAAGTTGTTGTTTTTTTAAAGTTTAGTGGGCAAGTATCTCTGTAGTTGAAATTTAGATGACAAATGTCTTGATCTACTTGCAAAATCAGAATAAAAGGAACAAGCTCTTACGTATCAAACTGAGACACATACACTCTGTATAAGCTGGTGATAATGGAAAGTTACTACTAATAAATGGAAGGTTGACAATCGAAAAGTCAAAGTCATCAGAATTTCCGGCTTGGTTTCCCCATGTCAAGGACAACTGTCTGTCTAGTTGTTTGGATGGGACGATAAACCGAGGTCCCGTGTACACATTGGCGTGTACTTAAGAGATCCCTCGGCAGTTGGAATTCGATATAAGAGTAGGCCGTAGCACCGCTGTCCGTCAAAATTTCAATCATAGCACCTTGCATGGCATATGCCCGCCTTCATTAGCCCAGTCGGAGAAGAAAGAACGTTAAACCCCATTTCATTTCATTTCACTTGAGTGTTAGTTATGAGGAAATAACAACCGTTCTCATGGTAAATCATTCAGTTAAAGTGGCTTTTGCGAGACGCAAGAGTTTGTTCAATATATTCAGCAAGAGTTACATCGAAGTGGTCAATGCCATGACTATAGATGGATGCATTTAAAATGTATCCAAAGTGGTTATACTATTCAATTCGTTCGGTCATACTTAAACTTTTAGATCCGTTAGGTGTGGAATGTCGCTTACGTCGCAGAATTAGGAGAAGACAATATAACGGAACGTTGATTCGTATGACAAGCTAAAACGATTTGGATTGTGCAATTATGTTTGCATAGATTTTAAGGAGACCCAATATGGAAACCTCCGTTTCATAACCAAGGTTTTACGCCAGACAAGAAATTTAAAAAAGTAAAAAGTTTGAACCAGGTAAAATATCTATATATTTCTATGAGTAACGCATTGTTGTAAGATGTTACACATGCACTATAAACTACAGCAGTACTCAGTTTGCTGCATCACATTTACTGTTATACATTCATAGAACCTTAAAGGGACAATAACACTCTTGCTGGCTTGACAGCTCCAGAAAATAAATAATAGCCTTATTCTAAGTACTAGATGTTTAAGTGTCCTACCTGTTGTGTAAATTATCCATTACATCCTATTCTACTTGTCCAGAGGGTTCGAAAATATTTTTAAATCCAAGTCACATTTGAAAAGGTTTAGTTGAATTTTTCCAATTTTTTAAATTAGGTGTGTTAAGATGAAATTTGTATCACCAATTCATTGGAATATTGTAAAATAGTACAATTTGTTGACCAGAATAAAAATTGAGACATATTATTCAGTTACAACAAGAGTGGTATTGAGCCTTTAAGGTAAGGCCTGTAGTATGAATTTTGTTAGTTTTCTTGTCCCCCCCCCCCCAATTTGTTTATTGTTACTAATGACACAACGAAGACTAAGTGTGTATCTAGAAGATTATTCCATATTTTAGATGCTCTGACAGTGAAAAACATATTCTGTCAGCACTTGAAGAACAAAAGATTGTATTGCCAGGGGAGTATGGAAATCGAAATTTTGGAAAATAATTTTTAATTTTGGAAAATAATTTTTAATTTTGGAAAATAATTTTTAATTTTGGAAAATAATTTTTAATTTTGGAAAATAATCTTCAATTTAAAAAAAAAGAAATAAATTAAATTTGTAGAATAACTTTTTAATTTTATAAATTCATTTTTAACTTTATAAATTCATTTTTGATTTTATAAATTCATTTTTAATTTTATAAATTCATTTTTAAGTTTATAAATTCATTTTTAATTTTATAAATTCATTTTTAATTTTATAAATTCATTTTTAATTTTATAAATTTTATAAATTCATTTTATAAATTTTATAAATTCATTTTATAATTTTATAAATTCATTTTTAATTTTATAAATTCATTTTTAATTTTATAAATTCATTTTTAATTTTATAATTTCATTTTTAATTTTATAAATTCATTTTTTAATTTTTATAAATTCGTTTTTAATTTTATAAATTCATTTTCAATTTTATAATGACATTCATTTACAATTTTATAAATTCAATTTTAATCTTATAAATTCAATTTTAATCTTATAAATTCAATTTTAATCTTATAAATTCAATTTTAATCTTATAAATTCAATCTTATAAATTCAATTTTAATCTTATAAATTGAATTTTAATCTTATAAATTCATTTTTAATTTGATAAATTAATTCTTCGTTTTTTGGGTTTTTTTTTTTAAAGTTCATTAGAGTAACAGATTATATAATAAGGGGGGGGGGGGCTTAACTGCATTTAAAAAGATGGATGCTTGGTTTACTACTATAAGGGAATACCCTGTCGTCCTTGTGTTGATAACAGACGGTTGTACATTCGACATACTTCAGCCATTTTAGTACTTCCATTTGATATCACCAGCACACAAATAATATACCTTTCAAACTGGGGTGTCGTTATTTGTCGAGATGGAGTTACTTTTACGTGGATAAACTTAACTGGACTTCGTCGTTCTGCAAAACTGCAGATATTTTAGTCTGAAGAGGCATTTTTCCCTATCTGAACATATGGTCATTCTGTTGCATGAGGCTATATTTATTATTAGATGATTATTTACGCACATAGGGATGATCAAGACAATATGAGCTATATGGTTTGGAATAAGCTACCCCTTTTATTCACAACTTATATGAAACGGGTTAAACATTATTTGGAAATTTCCCCTTCACCGACATTCATTGACAAATCTTTCCCTGTCTAATACCTTATACAATTACTTCCATTCCCCATAACGCGATACAGTTGATTTCCGGCTTTAAATTGAGGTTTCTAGATGGTTTATTATGAAACTTAAAAAATAGGCATGTATCATTTTCCTCGCCGCATTCACGACATATGGAATATGCACCCCGAACATTT